TTGACTATATATTAGAATCAGCATATATGTGCTATGGTATTTCAATGACTAGCAGATGTGTAGTTGGTGGTTACAGCAGAGTTAACAGTGATTGTCTGCCCCTAAATGAATTTTCCATGCATGAAACAAGAAGACAATTATGGATCAAATTTGATCAACTAACCCTTTCTGATGTATTCATGGAACTCCTCTAATTTGAGTCGTTTCAGCGTAAAAAAAAGGGCCGTGCAAACTCCTGCTCCAAAGCCCACAATACCGGACGCCGCTGAGTAAATCAAGTTTGTGTTTACGTTTATCTTTTATTGGTTTATGACATTTCACCAAGCGGTTACAAGTTTTCATCATATGTAATGCATTCATGTCAATAAATGTTTCCGCAAAAATATTCATTAATTGATGCCTAGTGTAATAAATATTGCATTGAGGGCGACTTGATCATTCCAGGCATTTATTTTACTCCAATCAAGCCTATGTATGAGTATATCCACTAATATGCTAAGGCCATCTTCATTCCTTGATGGATCCAAACGGTTCTCTTATTCTGAATATGACCCAGGATTAAATCGTGAATCTTATCCTTTTTTCAATTACTTCAGCACCATTCAACAAATGACCAATTCGAGGTGTCTCGCCGGTTGGTGACATCTTCTAGACTCTGTTGCTAATAGCTGTTAGAACTGAAAACATAATATAGTATATATATATATATATAAAGTAAATTGATACAATTGGCATATACATGAGTTTAAGATGCCATCAACAGACGGACTAGTAATGTTCAGTATGCAACACTGTCTTGTTGCACAATAATGTGGAATGAATAGAAATTTGGAATGCTGGTTCATCAAGACACTAAACCAGTGGTTCTCAACCTTTTTTTTTTCGTTGCCCACTTCTATTACACAGAAATTCTGTGGCCCATTAGCTTTCTCATTCGAGGAAAAAACTGCAAGAAGAACAAACAATTCTTTCCGCAGAACTGGACACTCCCACTTCCATAATTCAATTCAACTCAGTGGCAAAAAAAACAAAAAAACAGCACCATTATTCATTGCTACTACAGTCAAAGTTTAACTAATTCATCAATAACTCTATCAAGTCTGTGTCCTACCTGAATGTGATTCTGTGGACCAGCAGTGCGCCCACTGGTTGAGAACCGGTGCACTCAACCATAACTAACCATAACGTGGATTCCACGTTCACTTGATTCCTTTGGAAAATTAGCCCATTTGTAGTGCCCTGCCGCTCAAGTTGCAACTTCTATCATGTGTTACTAATCTTCAGCCCTGCAAGATCTTCACATTGTATTCAAGTTCAATCATTACCTATTACATGACATCTTCATTGTGCATCTTGTCCTCCTCGTTACTACTTTTATATGCGCAGCGACGCATCCTCTCGTGCACTCAAGTATTTAAATATTTAACCGAACCTGTTTCCATGGCTGATGAAAACACGAAAATTACGAATTGCACGAATTAGTGAAATTGCACAAGCTTGTACGTGTAAATAAAAGAAAACTGGTGAACAATTAAAAAATCGTGAGAGGAATAATGATATTACGCAGTCATAAATCAGCATTTATCTCCAAAACGCAAGGGCTACTACTTGTTTGTCTGTTAAGCTAGTCCTCAGTTCAAGGGGAGTTGCCCAGAGGCCTCGGCATTAAATTTTGAACTGTTATTCACTTTTAGTTGTTTTTGAATTTTGACGGATTGCTCAAGAATAATTGCGGTTTAAAATTATGTATACTCGATATTAATAACTGCTGACCCGCATATCTACCGTTCAATAATATAAAAAAAGAAATACGGCCGAATACATATATTGTCCAAATTTGAAAAAAAAACTCTAGCACTTGAACGCGCATCTCGCGACTAAAAACGACTAAAATACTGTGGGTTTTTGTGGTGCCTCGACTTTTTTTTCATAATAGCTTTGAGTTTCTAAAGAGTTGCTGAATGCAACTTACTGGCCAATCTACTTCGGTAATATGAGAGTCTTGCGTGTGACTGAAATACCGCATTTTCCTCATTTTGAAAAACAGTAGGTTTATGACGCCGAGACACATTTTACATAGCTCATTATGGCTAACCTAATTACTTTCATGACGTCATTATTAGAGATGGAGCTCATAAACAGCATAGTATAGGGCCCGACCCTGCGCTTACATCTTATGTAATGGTTGGGCTCATTTGCTACTTTATCCGATGCCACAGGTCCTTGCGAACCAGGGCAGTGATGATACGTTGACTAATTTCAGTTTGCATTTGTTATGACGTCCTAATATTCGTTTCGAAAGTCGAAACAGCACCGTTTCGACATATCAGAGTTTCGAAACGCCCAGCACTACTTGATAGCATCATACGTTGAACGAATATTATATCAAACAGCCGAGAAACGAGATAAAGTGACTACAGAGTCAGTAGTTCAAAGCCTATTGCAAAATTGCCAGTATCGGCACGTTCGTTACATAGGACGTCATTTCTTGATTGCCTGACTGTTCGAGTACATAATTGTTTCAATAGTCATGAAATCACGCGATGTGAAACTGGAATTAAATGCCAAAAACAGAGCTCAAACACTCTAATCGCGAGTATGCGATGAATACAAGTTCTGGAACGAGTTCTCAGTACTACGTCATCAAAGACTGTTTCCGAACAGCGGTCAATTTTCGTTGAAACGAATTTCAAAAATTCAGAAGTGTAAAACTAAGTTGACTTTACGTAAATAGTAGGCGTAAAAGATTCTGAAAAAATATGTATAATCAAATTCATAAAAAAAAAAAAAAATCTTCGTGATAACCCACATTTGACAGCATAGTTTTCGAGTTTCATTATTTTGCCAAGGAGAAAATGTGTACAAATCAAGTGGTTTTTAATCAGACAATTAGTTCTAACATACTCTGTTACACAAAACAGTCAATGACTACTTATTTTCAAGAACGTTATGAATGCATCCGAAACTGGATACTCGTTCAATATTGTTTTCCTACTACTGGACAGTTTAGTATTTTTTGCTTCGCTGTCCATCAATGTTCCAATATATTACAGAAGTATACAATTCATAAGGATTCATAAGGCACGGGACCAGGGGGCAATGCTCTGTATTAAACTCGACAAAGCCCTAGTTTTAAACCGAAAAGGCGACGTGAAACGTTTATAATTTTTTTTGTTTTTAGACGTCTAGACCTGCCTTCCTGAGTCGTAAACAGGGTTCTGAAAATGCTTTGTACCCCTATCGTAAATTAAATCATCAATTCATGTTTGGCCATTTGAAAACTCATATTTATGTTACATGGGACACGTAGATTAATCTGGTATGATTTATATATTGCGGCTGTTCAAAATCGAATGAGAACCGGAGATGAAGACACTTCATCACGTGTGCGTCACCCAACCATCATGCTTGATCAATATTATTGTACGTTGTCGATAACCTCGGTGACTTCAAAACATACATTTCCGGAAACCCGTATGTACTTGCCAAATCTGTCGGAAAACATTTTCATGTTTTCACCCCAAAATGAGTGGAACTGCGTCATTATATCGCTCTGTGTTATGAAAGTTCGTGTCTAAAGCAAACTTAGCATTTGGCCCCTGTTTAATTGTTTTTTCTAAAAGTATATTACTTAACAGAGCTGGGGCAAGTTTTTTTTTCTTCATTTCATATTTCTTAGGTTACGATATATCCTTTTCAACATTAACTTCTTTCTTTTGTCTGTAGTATCGGTTGTAGTTGACTTTTAATTTGTAAGATTCGTCGGCTTCGCGGCGACGTATTAATCGATACTAAGTAAGATTTGGTGATACGATGAGTTCAGAAGTGCGGCAAAAACTTTCCAGATTTTGTTAAATGATACTAAGTAAGATTTGGTGATAGAATGAGTTCAGTAGTCCGGCCAAACTTTCCATATTATTTTGTTAAAACATTTGGATTGGAAACACAGAACAAAGCAACAAAATATCAGCGATAGTGCAAAAAAGTGAATTGGTTCACGCATCAAAAAAGTTTGCAGAGAGTGTGCAATTGATATTGTGAATAAAAAGCTATTTACCCAAATACGAGCGGGGTCGCGATTCCAAACATTGATTACAAAAGTTGGCCAAGAAAACCCGTTATATATGCAAACTTTCCATAAATGAACGACCACATGGGTAATTGCAGCCTACAATCATGCTTGGTCAGACGCGAGAAAAGGATCCATTTTTATCAAGAGTGTAGGTGCAAAAGTGCTATTTGTTTAGACTGGGATTAAGGAAGTCTTCACACCCGAGCAAAAGTGGTGTGAAAATGTAAGTAGTATTTGCAGAATACATGAACCATGTCGCGTGTCAATGCGGGAGATTTTGCAATTGGGTCGTCAATTGGATGATACAGCGTATACGAGCGGTTATTGAAAGTAAAGTGGTTTGAGTAATGCGAATTTTAGCTTTAATTGAAATAAAGTATTTTTTGTGCCCGCGAATATATTTAATCCTGAATAATATTTAAACTTTAACTTAAATAATCTCAAACAATCCGCTTCGCAGTTTTTGGCAGGTGTCGACAAATAAAATTGTAAATCCAAAACTCGTCATTGGACAATCAAGAAATTGAGTGATATACTTAGAGTTGTGTAGTGAAGCCCACACGAAACAGATGTTTTGAACGAGGCTATACAGTCATAGGCGAAGGCACCTCAAAATTTTAGAAAAGGCTAGCTAATACATAGAAATATACGAGATATTCTAGTGTTTTGTAAACAAACAAAGCAGCCCAACTGCTTAGTCTAGGCTTAGTCATATTAATCTTTTTATGTTAAAATCCCGTTACTTTGCAGTTATTTCCAATTTATAGAATGCAGAATGCGAATAAGGAATATTTACGTTACGGGAATTTTGCTCATTCTATTTTATATACAAATGCTTATTTTTAGCACAGAATTAGAGATGTAAATAGTGAGAGATAATAATATCGTAGTATGTTTATTCATATAACTAAATCTAATTGTTTTTTTTTATAGAAGGTAAAAATTAGGTACGTAGTGTGGTTACGTATTTACAGTAAAACCACGATGCGTACCATACACTTGTGTGGACTTTTCTTGTTGTTATGCCTTATCGAAGTCTCGAGCGGTCAAAGGTTGCGCGGACGAATACGCGGTTCTACATACAGGAGAGATATGAGAGAGGTTCCACCTGGATCTGCGTCTCTAGCATTTGTCTTTGACGTCACAGGTTCTATGTGGGATGACCTGGTACAAGTCATTGCCGGAGCAAAAAAGATTTTGGATACAACCCTTGGAAGACAAGAACAACCTCTGTTTGATTATATTCTTATCCCATTCCATGATCCAAGTGAGTTTTGTTGAATAACGACCTTTTTGATGTGCTAACAATATCAACTAGCCACGAACTATATATAGCCACAAATTTCATAAAGTAGATATCATGTTAGAATTCATAAACATTTAAAAATGATTAGAACAGGATATATGTGAATGAAGAAGTTTGTCTCGTTGTACTGATGAACATGATTTATTGTGGTGTGCCTGACACGTATCACTCTAAGCGTTTACAAGAATCATCACGACCTTAAACTGTGTCCTCTTAGGATCATGATTAAGTGAAAAGCCTAAAACTAAATTCCAGGCCTGTCGTTGACTCAATCACCAAATATAATATCATTATTTAAAATAATATGAATAAGATGAACGAGTGTGCAGTTGTTGTGTTTTAACAAATCCGATTTAAGTTTTGTTATTCTAACAAAATAGCTAACACGAAGCGATGTAAAAAAACTGTAGTTTTAGTTTTGTGCTTTTAACTTCGATTCCTACTTATATAGGTACGTAAGGCTATGTCTACAGAGTTTAAAAAACGGCCGAACTGGCAATTCATACTGCACTTTATTGCGCGAGAGAGTATGTTTTTGAAATTTTATTGTATATATTACATATGCCTGGTATAACCGATAACCATCACAAAGTTTAACCTTCGCTTCATCTATGATAACAAACTTAATTGACCTTGAAGCGATAAATACAACAAATGTTATTTTCAGAGAAAAAATGAAAGCTATTGATCGTTTCAAATTCTTCGTCATGATCCAGATATTCTCACCTCCAAGTTAAAAAGTTTCTTTGAACATTTTGTAAAATAAAAGAGATTTAAAGTTCATTACGTGATAGTAACTAATCATATTCTCTACCGTTCTAGTTGTCGGACCTATCACAGTCACGTCGAATGGGGAATTGTTTCAGAGAAAATTGCGAGATCTTTTTGTCCAGGGAGGAGGAGATTGTCCAGAAATGAGTCTGACTGCGATCGAGTAAGATAATAATTAACCGTATCAGTTTAAAATGAAAATAAATCTTTTAAAAAAGGTTACAACTGGAACTGGGGATAAAAACGCGATGACTGTTAATCAGCCAAAATTGACCGAGGACCGTTTCATAAGGCGAGTTTTAGGTCATCGGGTAACGATTATAAAGTATTATCGAATTGTTCACTCTTTTACAAACGAGATGCTAAATTTTCTGAATATTTGGAAGTATTTTATTCCAACCTATTCGTAGAATAACTATTATATGTGACAAGCGTGTAATTTTGTATTCAGTGAATATTGTAAATTCGAAGCGTTCGGCACTACGACCCGAAATTTATTCACTAATTTTTGAATGACATTCATTGGCCGTTCGTAAAATTACCATTATGGAATTACGCTTGAATCAGTATTGCCTAGAATGATACTTAGCGGTCAAAATAAATGTGACCGTCAACCAACTAAAACCGATTAACCAATTAATCGGTTAACCAATCCAACCAAGCTCTAGTTACCACAAGTCTCTCTCGTACAGTATTTCTATGGACATTCTAATTGATATGCCTTTCGAGAGTGGAAATTCAAACTCATTCCCTTCAAATTTTGTTCAGACAAGCATTGGAACTTTCTCTTCCAAGCTCGTTCATCTATGTTTTCACCGACGCCAGCGCCAAAGATTATTATCGACTAAAGGATGTTTTGAGAGTAATTCAAAGAAAACAAAGTCAGGTATGATAGTCAAAATGGCGATAAAAGACGAAAACAATGAGTTTGTTCCCTTGTTTTATGTCCTGTCTTGCCAATAACGCAATGGTGCATAAAGCGCACAACATGAATTACAATGATGCTTTGTGATATATCCGAATGGAGACGTTGGTCAACAAGGGCATAGTTAGTCTACCTTGAATTCGCCAGTAAATTGGCTACCTGGCGTGTTTTTCTGGTACATACTGCACGGAGCACACAAAATCTTCAATTTCAATATAGTATAACATAGCAACATCAGTATACGCGCCGATTAAAAGTTTATTGAAATAAATTTCATTTTAGGTTGTGTTTGTCTTGACTGGTGATTGCAACAACAGGGATAGTCCGGGATACAAGGCATACGAAAAAATTGCTGCGACGAGTTCTGGACAAGTTTTCATCATAACGAAAAGTGACGTTTCCGAGGTAGATAATTTCAAATAATAGTTGGGACATAATGCCCATTTCCATAACCTCAACCAAGTTAAATCAAAGCATGTGTATACAACCATAGAAATAAATCGGCGCTCCAGAAATGTGTGTACCAATATGGATATATATTACTAATTTTGTTCACCTACCTTACATCAGGTTGTGTAAAGGGACGGAAACCTATGGGCATGGGGTATATTCACTTGGCTAACACAGACAGTCCCCGAACTCGTAATAGAACTAAAATACGGAAAATCGGAATAATATTATGGCCTAACCCTCACCTGGTAAACAAACTACAGGAGTACCAATAAAACAGTGCTATTCATATTAAAGTTTAATGATGATATCACGAATTCGTGACATAATGTTCATGCGCAATTATCTACCTGGCAACGACTGGTGTAATTCCCTTTTAGACTACGTCAATAATCTATTTCCAAACAGGTTGTCAAGTTTATCGAAGTATCTGTCCAAGCACACAAAGTCGTTCTCCTGGCCACAGATCACGATCAACCTGGAGACAGAACATGGGAAATTCCATTTGATCCGGAATTAAAAGAAGTAACCCTTTCTTTGAGCGGTCCAGGTAAGATAAAAACATATATATATATAGTTGACGTATATAGCAGAATGTTGTAAACCAGGGGTGTGCAACCTTTATTACATGAGGGCCAGATACAAGTAACTGGGTGAAGCCGCGGGCCGCACCTAGAAACTCTACCTACGATCTACGAAAGGCTCTGGACACGAAAAATGAAACTTACGGAAATTCTGCTCGTAAAAATATTGCTTCGGCTAACGTAAGATTGTTTACATACGAAAGGCCTAATAGCGAACACTTAAAAATGCGTGTAGTGATAATTGTTTATTTTAGGTTAATTTATTGCAGTGTCCAATTCGAATTATAAGAACACTGAATATGGCGCACATATCCTAGCGCCGCCGACACGTATTGATTTGAAACGTATTACAATTATTTCATTTTTTATCGTAATCGAAGGCACCCGTGTGCGTCGCGGCAATAAATTATCTGCCATCGCATTGGCCAGTTTGTTTCTCGCTGGTACGTACAATGTGTTGCTTGCAAAATTCAGTGAATAGACGATGATACGATGGAGAAAAAATAAAAAATTGAATTTCATTTTTGTACATTGCGTTATCCCTCAGCTGTCAAATTTTACCACGTCCTCTAACCTCCTCCGACGCCTTCCTCCCATTCTCTGCGGTCTTCGTTTAGCCTATAGAAGGGGTGGGCAACCTCTGGCACGCGTGCCAAAATCGACACGCGAGCCCATTTATTCGGCACGTGAGCGAGGCCTCAGAAACAAGATCATTCTTCTTCAGATAAAAAGTTTCAAGACTGTGAATTATCTGATGAAACTTGGTGTTCGTTTATTCAATATATATCGTTTGTTAAGAATCCGTTATTTATTCAAACTCTTTTTGTCCTTTCATGACATAAGTCTACAAAGAAATATATTATGATATGACGTAACAAATGAGTGAGCTCTCGAGAAATTTTTTCGAGAAGAGCGCAGCATTCATTTGGCTACATTCTTACATAATATAGTTCGTCTGTGCCACCCTTTTTCTTCATTTCTGCTTGATATATGACGTTTTACAACTCATGTTGGTCACAGTTATTTGCTAACTTATTGTTATAAATTGACTTCGAAATAAATATAAGCGATTAGGGAAGGGAATACAAAAGAGAGGTGCAGAAAACGAACTATTCCGTGATTGGGATGCCATTGTCGAAAATTTTTTGTGTGTTTGAAACTTTGCAACCGCATTACTCTCCATCATTTCACCTACATATTATGCTTGTGAATCTCTGTTCTCAGTTATGAACTTTATTAGGTCTCGTACCAGAGGTAGCCTGAAATAAGAAACCAGTAGTTCTTGTATTTCTTTAAACGTTACAAAATAGAAAACCCAATGTAAAATCTCTATCAGCGGTAATGCAGCAGCAGAAGTATCACTGATATAGAATAAGAAAAGTAATCAAATCTATTTACGGACTGATATTTTCCCGAAAAGTGAATTTGTCTGTACATGTTTAAAAGGTTTATTATTGTGTATTTTGCTTTGAAAGTAGCAAATCGTGGTTTTTAATTTTGGTCGGCACGAAGGAGAATTTTGTCGTTAAATTTAGCCGATTTCGGCACGCGATCCGAAAAAGGTTGCCCACCCCTGGGCCCTATAGCCTAGTCGCCAACGCCAAAGGTAATCAAACATATCGTTCGTAGTTGTTCTTTGGTATATTTCTCTGTCCTTTCTTCTTTCCGTGTGTATCTTTTCTATTTATTATGCCGAAATCTAATTTTAACATGTATTTGTTACAAGTTTTAATCATTGTTATAATTTATACAAATATTATGTCCGAGTTCTGTGTGGGCTCAGAAAGGATTGGGGCATTTACAAGTAAAATGCATCTTTACTTACGGAATTTTCTACATACGAAGGGGCTTCCGGAACGAATTAATTTCGTAGGTGGAGTTATTGCAAGCACAAAAATTGTTTCTTTTTGTTATTGATCTTACGGCATAGTTAGAGGTTCTTTCAGAAATGTTGAGTTAAAACGTGTAAATTGAAAACTGCTATTCAAATTTACTGTCGCACCGACTTTGAACGAATTCAGTGAGAAAAACGTTTTCATAACATTGTGTATTTTGCAACAGAATTTTTCTAGCTAGTTTTGCTAAATGATAGTGGCACTCAGGTACTGGTATAGGCTTTGCCATGTAAAGGGGTTGGAATTGTGCATACGTTCCAGATAAACTAAACTAAAAACTCGTTTCGCGGGTACACCATTCAAAATTGGCACTTCTCCGCGGGCCGCACAATTTTCCTTGCGGGCCGCAGCTTGCACACCCCTGTTGTAAACAATGAATGTAACAAACAATACAATTTAAAAATTCATTTATTGACAAAGGTGAATGGCGTGGTGTTGTTTTTTGTTGTAATTTTCATAATCACAATTCAATGGTGGGACAGGCGATCAAATAAATAGCTTTCTCATTAATTAACATGCTTACAAATTACTCATTACTCAACGCGTATCTTTCTAAACTTTTTTTCAAATTTCAGACAGAAGACTTCGCTTATTCAACCCACACGGACACGAAATGACCGAACGAGATGGCCTTGAAACATTACTCGATCTTGAGACTGTTCTTATTCTCAATATAAAAAATGCATCTGCAGGTAAACATGACGCGCCCAATCATCCTATAATCTCATATGAGACAAAATGCCGAAAGCACAAGCCGAAAAACTTGTTAATATTACGGAAACTAGTATAGTTTGATTACTAAATTAACAAACAAAAACGTATTTATTATATATACAGAATATTTCTTTTCTCTAATTTATGTATTGGATATTACCTATGATTATAACGCGGACTCTTCACCATTTGACTCTCTCGTGCATATATTTAAAATATGCCTTCTCCCAAATTTTTGCATGATTCTGCGAAATCGCACTTCATGGACTAATTCGAAACAAGTTTGTGAGACTATTTACTGTTTTCACCAGTAGCTTTTGCCATAGTCTTACTTACAGAACCCTAAACCATACGCTTCACTAGGTAACACAACTGCAACTTATAGGTAGATCGTGCACATTTAATCAGTAGATTAAATGTAAATGGAAAAGCTGGCATACATTTATGTAGTTTGTGCGTAAACAGAAAATGGTATTGCCGAATAGAGTTTTATGAATGGCCAACATGTTGCACTGATAAACGTATAGGTAAGCGTATTTTGACGTATTCTTTGATTTACAAACGATTTTCGTGGAACATAGTATAATATTCTTGCCAATGAGTGTAAAAACTTCCGCCATTGCGACAGGTTACTGGCGGGTGTCAGCATTCAGCAGTGGGGAACATTCTCTTCGAGTGACTGGACTCAGCTCTCTCGATTTTCAAGCAAGATTTTCCAGACTTCCCACGTTGGATTGGTCTATCGCTGATTATCAACCGATAGCAGGTACTGTTCGCAATCGAATAATTTTCTGTTTAATGCTGCATTAAAACTATCGGACAGTTGGTTGTTCGCACAATCACCTCGTGTATAAAGTTTTTGCACCAGGGGCCAAAATTTTTGTCACCGGATGTGAGTGTGACCTAAAAAGTTACATTTTATGAACAATATTCATAGTGTTAAAAAAGTAAATGTGGAAAACAATAAGCCTCGTGCCAAAACTGACTTTAATCGCAATCTTAACAAATTTATTGAGCAATTTTTTAGGTAAAACGTCAAAATTCGGTTTTAGTTAGGTTGTGGCAGCATTTGGCAGGCCAGATTGAACTACTCAACGAGTCGTAGTTTGCTCATGTCAGATTTAGCTCAATTAATAGGGCAGCATGTAATAACATTACTACAAAAGTTTGAACGTAATTGTTGCTACCAATATCTATAAGTAAGTCAGTCGACGATTGTTGTGAAGTAATATGAACCGCACGCTGCCTTGTTGGTGTAAATGGTGTAATTTCATCAATCAATGAGAACAAGTTATTCGTACGCCACGACGACAAAAATATATCAGATATACCGATATGGTGCTAAGATTTCATTTGATAAAATTCTTTTGCATCCAGATGCTGAAACCCATGTACTTTTGAATGCTACCGGTCTCCCGCCACCAGGAGAGTTCCGCGAGATATCTCTGAGAGATATAAGAGGGGCTAATATTCAGGTACGTGAATTTCGTTTGAATTTCGAAACGAAATTTATATGTGGACGTATATTAGACAAAATATGGAATTTATCGAGGTCGTGAATTTCAAAAATAGCATGGATTATTCATGAGTAATTAGGATGTTAATTCTGGAACGTAACAACACTTGCTTGGACCTTTGAATACGTTTGGACGGGCGGGTTGAAGCAAACACAGGAACAACTGATATCGCACAACGCCTTCGGTGTTTTTAAGTTAATATGTTTTTACTCAACTTTTAATTGAATAGATTGTTAACCTTTATCACGCTCTCTCGTTTTCCCTCTAGGCAAATTGTTAAAGTAAAATTTGCCGTCAATTTTTTTTGTTCTATTTCTATAAGAATACGAATAGAGATCCAAAGGGTAAAAGGGCTCTCGAAGGAGTATAAAACAATTTTTAAGTTTTATCTAGAATTCGTATTATATAATTGTTGGTTGAGGCGAAACTGTAGTAATTAATTTATCATGTCTAAAAGTACTTAGATGCAATCCTGTTTATACGATATCTATTTTATCAGGAAATCACACTCGATCCTCCACCAGATCCCGGAAACCCATATTTATATGCGGTTCGCCCTCTTCTCACTCCGTCTCAAGATTTTTATATTTATGTGCAAGGCGTAACACATGAAGGATACCCCTTTCAACGAACAACTAAAAACGCAATCTTGAACGTTGAACCAGGTTTGGACCCTAGTTTTGTCATGTATAAATCTGGGATAGTTTGACGTCAGTTCGTATCTGTTTTTTCGACCGAGACGACATGCTGTAGAGCAGTGGTTCTGAACCTTTTTCAGTTCGCGGACCGGTAAAATTTCAAAACGAATTTTGCGGACCGGCGGATCCTTAAAATTACCCAAAAATGTCACGAAAACAAAACATAATCAAAAGAATGCAATTACGACAAAAGTAGGCGGTGCTAAAAAAGGAAAATCCAATTTAATGAGAAATTTGCTGCTTTCTTTCCGATAGGATACGTGTTAAACACGGTTCCAATGAACGAAGTAGAGCGTTGAGTTCCACGCGATTTCGTTAGCTTTGCGGGTTTCGTTCAGACTAGGCACATTGGAAGTGGTACATTTTGGTGCTGGGAACAATAGTGAAACCTAGCTCCAAATAGTTCTTATCTTACTGCCCAATAAAGTCTCCCTCTCGTTTTTTGCTTGTTTCTGCGTGATCCCTTTCAACATTGCTGCAAGGTCGTTTCGGGGGATGTTATAAAGTTGAAATAACAGTCTCCTCCTCAGTCCTGTCAACACCACTAACTTTGTTTTCACCGGTGGGTTTCTTTTGAAATAACCAAATAATACTTTGCTGTTTGTTTGCCTCTATTTTACTATAAAACATCGCTAAATTATAGACCTACTGTCAAATTACGGAACGTACGAACTGCGAAGTTCTCAATCAGGTTCTAAAAGCGCTAAAGCGCTCCACAACTTTTTTTTCTATGTTGCTGCCCGCTCTAACGGAAAGTTTTACTTCACCGACCACTTTTATTAACATTTTAGTTTCAGAGGGTAAAATAAGTCGAGAGAGGATTGTCCAAAACAAGTCGAATATTCGAATACTTTTTCGGCAAAATTTTGAATAATTCCGAATGATAGCCACTTTTCGCAGTCAGCTGGGTGTTTCGTTTTCGAGGGAAATCTTCAAACGATTTTCAGCGCCTTTTCACTTATATTAATGACGATGAGATAGAATCGGAACTTCATCGTTTGTCAACTTCTGTGCGAGTGTACGCCGCATATGGTTGGGACATTTTTGCAGGGTTGCGTTATTTGCATTCCGCCATTGCCTTGCAAGGCTTCTTATTTACGCATTCATTCTCATTGCGTCGAAATTGTCAAAATCATGTGAAGCTGTAATTGTAATGATAGCGGCTAAATTGATGAAAGCGATTGGGATTATCACGGTGAAACAATTGATATCCTGCTAAACATTCGAATTAATTTTTAATTCTAAGACAAATACTAAAGAAATACGAATAATTTAGCAACAAGTTTGTGGCCCACTATGAGATGCTTAGCTGTTGAGAAGCGCTGCCGTACTATGTGCTAACTCCTCCGTTATGACGCTAGCCGCATTTCTCAAGTCATAGACTTGACGAAAATACAGCCGTTCAGGGTTTGCAAATGGGCAGAGGACTTCTCACCAATTTTGGTATTTAGACGAATACCGGTACTACGAATCAATGAGAATCAAAAAAAAAAACACAAAATGAATGGACATGCTGTCAATACTTTGTATTTTGCAATTTGCTTATAATGTATTAATTTTGGAATATATTTGGCGGACCGGTAACAAGGTTGCTGCGGACCGGCGGTTGAGAACCACTGCTGTAGAGCAGTGGTAGGCAAACTGTGGGCCGCGGCGTAGACGCATACGATTTCTCATTACCTACCTGCTGCCCACAGCAACAGCCCTTTCGCAAAAGATAGCGTGACAATTGATGGGACGCAAACGCCAGCATCATTTTCATTGAACCTTGCAATCTTGTACAGCAAATACTTTTTTTTATTACTAATCAGTAAATAAAATTAATACTACTATATTTTGTGAATGGATGAACATCTCTAGTAGGGTAAATGGAGAAATGAAACATTTATTTATCCTTTCCCAAAGAACAATACATATTGGTTAAAATTTATGAAAAATGGGGCCGACATTCAATTTTGGCCATACCGTAAATGAAATCTCCACCCCCCTCTACTTTTTATTGATATTACTTGATCTCAATATCGAATTGTCTCACATCCTGAATGTAAATTTAATGATGATTAATATTTTACTTTTAAGTATTTAATAACAAGTATTTTAGTTAGCGTTACCTAAATAGTGTGTTAATTAGAAACAATCTTCCTTATTGCAAAGGAAAATACTAATTAATGCTAATGAGATCCAGATAATAACAACTTTTCTATATATCCGTTAGTTGCTCCCTCAGTGTACATGAAACCAACTCATCCAGCATATTTTGATTATCCTGCTGAAATACCTTGTGAAGTTTCAAGTTTGATTCCCTACCATGTGACATGGAGTAGAAAAGTGGATGGCAGATGGAGAGCAGTTGGAAGAAGAACCTTACATCAGTAAATACTATTTTGCGTAATGTATTACACTTGTGCGGGATGCGTCATTTTTTTTCGAATTTACAAATCATTTAGTTCTAAATCAAATTTTCAAATTCCATATTTGTACTTACCGGTATCATATTTATACATCATAAATTTTTTTGTATGTGTTATTGATAGAGTCAGTTCTACAGTGTATTTGAATATACCTGAAATAACAGATGAATCAGAAGGAAGTTATAGATGTGTTGCTAACAATTCAAAAGGCCTTGATTATGGTGAAACGTTTTTGGATGTTGAAGGTTAGTGAACATCTTTCTAATTTAGTTTTAATAATAGTATATTATTATAATATGTCTTTTATATTCACCAATCAACTCAGTAAAGTAATATGATAGTTTTTATAAGTATACAAAATATACACCAATAATAGTAATGGAAACGCATATCTGTTAGTTAGCAATTCATATAACCCCGTTCATTTGATATATCATTATTGTATAGAGAGACCGCCTTCTATCAGAGTTGATGGTAATGTCACAGTTGAACCTGGTAAACATGCAATTCTGACATGTCACATTAAAAGCAAGGTGAAGTTTACAGTTTCCTGGAGTAGATTGGATGGAAGAGCATTCGACATAACAAGGTATGTATGTTTTCAGTAAGTAAGTAAAACTGATGACATTCATTAGATGAAGAATTACAGTTTCATGTGACTCTATCATTTTTTGAAATAATTTAGAGTTAGAATGTTGTCAAATAATTCACTTGCTGTCACACGAGCTCGACCTGATGATGAAGGTGGATACAAATGTACTGCAAGAAACAAGGGTGGAACAGCAAACGATACTGTCTTTCTCACTGTTCAAGGCATGTTATTGATTATTCTATCTCATTTTTATTATCATTGTACACATTCTCAGTTGAATTAGATTTGTTGCTATCTCATTTGTACAATTTTATCAAAAAGACGGAGCTTTTCTTATGTATAACATCCATTTCATCCAGTTTCAAATTTTTACCTAATTAAAACCATATTTCAGCTGAACCTGAAGTATTAGTTCGGCCATTGAACCCTGTTCAATATGTTGTAAATCAGATCGTCTCACTCAGATGTATCGCGAATGGACATCCCGATCCTTCAATTGCTTGGCTGAATGGAACTGAGTTTATAAGTCAAGATAAACATGTGAAGTACATGGATTATTATTAATTTATTTTATTTCATTTATTGTTGCATCGTACCCAGAATTACTAGTTTAATCACATGGATTGGGGTAAGGCTACATACCACCCTTCATGCTAAGTTTACCATAAATTCAAACCTTCATTTTACATTATCACTGTCATAGATAAACCGAAGAACAATTTTTAGTTGGAATTATCAACCTACATCAAATGAACCTGATCTCATGACGAATTTGAGCTTATAAATATAAATTGAGCGTACACATCTTCAATATGCAGTATTTGTTGTTGATATTTGCAGCATGCTATTACTGCCTTTAAGCCTAAATTAGTAATGTATATGTGTTCTCAAGGCTCCAGGAATGACTCTGACTTTCGTCCAGCTCTGAATAAAAATAAGTCAATGCATCAAATGGAAAAGTTTTTTTTTTCTATTTTAGTTTATATTTCTTCAAATCCAAATTATTTGCCACTCTGTCCAATTAGCAATTAGTATGCCAGAAATAATACAATCTTCTTTAGGATTTTGTTCATCCCAAAACAATTATAGGATGGCATGGGGCTTCATGAATTTTAATGACTGATAATTTGACACTCAATAATTTAAATATATCTTACACAAATAGAATTCGAAGAGGTGGCACAGAATTGCGATTTATCAAAGCTCAACAGGAGCATGCAGGAATTTATACTTGCCAAGCTACAAACAAAGCTGGTTCTGCAAGTGACACAGGACGTCTGATATACACAGGTGAAATATAAACATGATGTCATTGTTCAACTAATTATTAAACTAATTGTTCCTAACTAATATCCAACAAACTTTTTTACCTAACATTCATTTTGACGTTTTTGACTGAAAGTAACTAAAGTTTAGATTATCGCTCTTCTATTTATAGATATATTGCAGCATATAACAATGCAACTCTTATTTGTTTTCTGGTTTGTTTAATTTATAATAATGTAATAAATATGTGATGAGGATTTGTTCAGTAATAATGACAGTTTTGAATAAATTTACAGAATCACCTCATGTTAGTTTGGATGAAGATAGGAGACTTGTGCTGGAAGGACAATCAACAGAATTTAATTGTCATGTAACTGGTGAACCGAAACCAAGAATTGCGTGGTATTTCCTAGATGGCAACCAAATTGTTAATAATGAGAGACATCAGATATCAGTATGTTGTTTTTATTTTAAAGTTTAGCATGTGTACACTCACTTTGGGCCAAAAACTTTGGGCTTTCTTTTTTAATTTTTGAGAGTTAGTATGATATGGGTAAATGCACTTCTAATTAGTAATATATATTTTAATATTTGAAATATTAATATATAAGATAATTTGTCTAGTGTTCTTTAAAATCAATATCAAGTCCTATGTTAATCGTTATCTACAGACACCTCCTCGTCAGTAGTAAATCCACATATATTCATTTGCCGGCCTTTAAGCTACTTTGTTTTGTTGTATTAACCCAATTATGAACTTTGGTCAAATAGGATGATGGAGTTCTGACTGTAAGAAATCTGCAGACATCTGATACTGGAGAATATACTTGTCAGGCAGTTAATACTGTAGGCAGAGACAGCGATGCAATATTTTTACAAGTTGGGACGATACCTAGAATTGTGCTTCCACCTATTGACACTGGAATTGATATTGGTATATACACAAAGTGATATTCCTTTTTAAATTTAATCCCTTGTTCTTTTTATATTTTTGTAAATATTTCATGATGTAGTGATGAGAAAAATAAACCTGACATTCAGTTTATAAGATTGCAAGCTCTTTTCATTTTACAGGTAATGCTGGTAAACTACCATGTGCTGCTGATGGTTATCCTGCTCCTGAAATTACTTGGTCAAAACTTATCGAATCTACAGAAGAAGAAGAAGACAATGGTGATGGTGTGATTGTTGGAGTATTCGAAATTGTGATTGGTCAAGAAAATGATAGAGTATACCACGATCTGAACAGCAATAGTCTTATCATCAAAAATATGGAAATGGAAGATGTTGGGTTGTATACTTGTTCTGCTGCAAATCAATTTGGCGGGGATGCAAAATCTGCTGAGGTTGACATTACAGGATTAGGTGAATAGAATAGAGTTTTATATTTTGCACATTTAGCTTTTTATTATTTCTGACAATGTTTGATTTTTCCACACATTGGTCAGAGACAGTTTGGTTCCCTGAATAAAATTAAATTTCCATGAGACAAATGGTTCAATACATTACAATACATACAAAGCATAATAACTTGTGAAGCTATATCAACATTACCAAGTGACTGGTTTTTTAGCATGATTGCATTTTAGCGGAACCACCAAAAAACTTTACGAAATAAAACTATTAATAGAAAAATTGTCAAGTTTTTAATAAATATTTTGCTTTTAGATTGTTGGCTGAATTTGTAAAAAAAACTACCGGTACATAATCATAAATTGAAAGAAAATGATTTTAATTGCTTTGCCTTTTTCCTTAAATGCAGTAAAGCCATGGATAACGTTAACTGAAGAAAGGCCCCATGTAATCATAGGCCAATCAATTGCATTGCCATGTCGTATCACATCTGGCAATCCAACTCCATCTCGACAATGGCGAAGAGACAGTAGAGTGTTTGATCCAACTGGTAGAATTTCAGTGAGTTTAATATTGCTTTACTTTTATATATCATTATTTTTTTCCACAAAACATGAAGTCACAAACTAAACGCAGTTAGAAATTCATTTTTATTTCTGTGTCATGCATTTTTATTTTTTAATTTATCGACATTCGATTCTTTTTAGGTCAGTCAAGAAGGAAGCGTTGTAATCACACAAGCTCAATCTAGTGATGCTGGAGAATATGTTTGCATTGCAAAAAATGTTGCTGGAGAGCATAGTACAAATACTATGTTGGATGTTTGGGGTTAGCTTTAACTTTGAAATATAAAAGTCCAAAGTTTAATTTTCATTTGTGAAGTCTATTTCACAACAAAATAGGACTTAGTTTACAAATATAAAGAGCGATTGCAAAGTTTAAACAATGGCAAGATCAAAGGTCGTTTGAACATATACTATCTATTCAACTTTGTTCTCTAGGTTGTTGAAAATATTTCAAAACTGCTGATTTATTGTTATTGGATTTTGTTCAAATTTTCTGGGATTAACAATGAATATTTGTTAAGCAAAATGTGATCTACAACTATTTCATACAATTAGATGGAATGATGAAATGAATAGAATTTTTAAATTGATTTGTAGAATTTTTTGTGTTATTACAATTTAAGTCATTTTTTGGATGCTCCAGAAGTATGTGTACCAATATGTAGGTAACTAATTTCGTTCGCCTTCTTTACATCAAGTTGTGTAAAGGGACCGAAGCCTATGGGCAGGGGGTATATTCACTTGGTTAACAAAGACAGTCACCGAAATTGTAATAGAACTAAAATAAAGAATCGAAATTCGGAATAAAATAATGGTCTAACCCTATCCTGGTGCACATGCTATGGGAGTACCGTTTTTAGTATATTTTGTCTACATCGTCAGTTTGGCTTATAAATAACGTCACGTATAAAGAAATGATAGTTGTGTTGATTCAAGATATCAAACTGTTTTATTTTTGTTATTTATAGTTCCACCATCAATCTCTACGCCTGAAACAGACTACACTACCATAGAAGAAAGATCTATCACACTTAGATGTGAAACTTCAGGCAATCCAGTACCTACTGTGCAGTGGACTAAAGCAGGTGTAAGAGGTCCACTTCGGTACCTTCCTGATTACAGAGTACTAAGAGATTATAGTCTAGTGATTTCTTCACCCTCACCAGAACATTCCGGTGACTATACTTGCACTGCAACCAATGCTGCTGGAACTGATTCGATGGACGCTCATTTGATTGTTTACTGTAGGTTACATTTTTTACTATACTTGCTTATATGAATTGGATGACTAAACACACTCAGTTGATATTTTATTAAGAATACATATACTGTAATATACTGTACTGGAAATGAGAAGAGATGAAATGTTTTATTCTTGATTAAGCAGTATTTCTGTTTTTCTATAAAAATACCATAATACGGGTATCTAAAATTGAAGCGCAGTATTTTTTATCATATAATGCCAAAACGTTTAATATTCATTTTTCTTTGTGTAGGACTTTTTGATAACATGTTTCTTTTTAGATAAACCTCGTACTAGGGATGGCTCATTGGATCTCTACACAGTCGTACAGGGTGATTCTATCACACTCGATTGTCCAGTTACTAAAAGTAACCCACCACCAACATTTAGTTGGTCATTTGAAGGAATTGACATCACTCATCGCACAGGACAATATGAGATATCAGATGATGGAAAGTTGAGGATTTTTTCCGCTCAAGTGTCCGATGATGGTTAGTTTACCCATCTTTTCTTTTTTTGTATCCAGATTTTGATTATTTTCTCAACTAAACTTTATTTGAATATTTTCCGCTGCAAGATATTTTCTACATTTACTGCGGATTATATTCTATATTTATCCATATTGAAACATTTTGATGTTTCACACGTATGACATGGCACTGTAAGAAGGCTTTCTAGCATTATTCTTGATATTCAATTTTAACTTAACTGTAACTTTTATAACATAACATAACATAACAAAGCTTAGATATTCATCAAATAAAATGTTGGTAGTCACTATTTTGATAGTTTCAATTTTACTAGAAAAATATCTTTTTTAATACAAGTTTTCTCACATTATTGTCGCAAGACACAAAAAAATAACCATGTAATAAGTTCTATATTATTTTATATTCAGGTCAATATACATGCACAGCAGTCAACGAAGCAGGTTCAGTATCTCATAAAATGTCTTTAGTTGTGCAAGTTCCCCCGCGAATCCTTAGAGGACCATCTATAATCAGGGTAAGTTTTTTTCAACATTTCTGAGGTTTTCAGGTCGTCATTCTGAAACTTGCTTCATGTAAGAAGGCCACTTAGACATAGTTTTAAAAGGATCAGATCTTTTGGATCCAGTATGGCCTATCTTGGAATGTTTATTCTAATGGAATAGCCAGGACTTCGAGCATTAATTTAAAGTAATTCGAAGTTGAATATCTTAGAGAGATTTTTCAATTGAGTCTAATTTATTACTTCATGGCTGAGGTGTCAAACTTTAGCTGAATGACACGGGTCTATGATGGGAACACAGTTAAGTGAAAATAATATTTAATTGCATTGAGGAATATAGTTGATGTTGAAAAATTATTTGGCTTAATATTCCCCATTTTTGAGTAGTAGTTAAACTGATACTGAGTATATCTTATATTAGGGTCTAGAGGGTGAAGATATTGGTTTGAGATGTGAAGCTACAGGAATTCCATTGCCAAAAATAAGATGGAGGAAAAATGATGTTGAAGTAACTGGTACTGGACGTCTCTCATTAACACATTCTCAAAGTAAGTTTTTTATGGATGTACCCATACCGGACATGGATGTTCACAAGCCGAGAGGCCATGGTTTGTCATATAATTAAGCCATCTTCTCAGCTTACCTCTTTCCTCCTCCCAAGATAAATATGTAAATCCTATCATATCCTAATATTTGATATATATATATGTGAGTCTGTTTGCTAGTACTGTAGAAATATTGGTTGAAATAAAGGTTGAAATATTGGTTGAAATAAAGGTTGAAATATTTGTAATGCAAATGTTTTTTTTATTAGCAAAAGTGGCCCTAATATCAATTGAACAAGAGCTGTTGTTTGCTGCAGCATTAGTCTGCAAATTGGCATTTCATTTTTTGCAATATCTGAGAGATATTGTGCTACATATTCGTCCTCGATCAAAAAATGATTTGCTGAAGTAAGACAGAGAGGGCTGAACATTTAAGTGAAATCAATAGGCTTCATCTACGATACTAATGAAAAAGATATGAGCGATCCATATGCATGCGCCAGTCTATCAGAAAATCCAAATAGTGGAATGGACTAATGTATTTACAAATGAATATGCTATGTATGTACCAAAATATATATTTTTTGTGTTCTTGAGTAGTTTTATTTTTTCAGCTGAATATTCTGCATCCAGTGAAATTATTATACATCCTGCAAGATTGACTGATGACGGAGATTTCATTTGTATTGCAAGAAATGTTGCTGGACGCGACACATCAATAACTAGTCTTGATGTTCAGAAGCGACCTACCATTCAAGATCCAGGATTTGGAAGAGATCTTACTCCATCAAAGGGAACTCATGTCACAATTCCTTGTGTTGCATATGGGGATCCATCTCCCACCATCAGGTTATTTTACTTCATCAAAAATAGTTTGTTTACATTAGTCATTTGATGGACATACTTATACGTATAATTCCTTCTCTATCTTACATGAATTGAGTTGTTTATATTTTGTAAAATGAGTTGCACAATTGTAATCATTTAAGCAGAAGTTATGAAAATAAAAATATATATTTTTTACTATTTACTTTTTGTATCCACAAAATTCAATAACATATTACTGTTACCAACAATTATCTATGAATAGATAACTAATATAGCCAAGTATTTTGTTTCATCTTTGTTCTTTCAACTTGAACATCACTTAACTTGCACATGAAAATATTTATAAATCATATCACATTGCAGCTGTTGTATGGATGGTTATTAAAATTTTTGTCATAGATGGTTCCATAATGGGGAAGAGCTCACTGGTGATGAACTTGATATTGACATTGCAAGTAATGGAAGTTTGCTGTTATATTCTGTTGATAGTGATGACAGTGGTTCATACAAATGCGAAGCTGAAAATAACCTGGGTAAAGTTGACATCGAAACAAAAATTACGGTCTACGGTAAGATATTTTTATTTCAGTTATTTCAATGATAAAGTAAAAATTTTGTATAGAAGTGGATTTTTTATATTTATGTCGCCCAATCATATTGCAAACCATTGCTTTTTGTCCCGCTACCGGTTTTATTCCTTTCAAATGCATGAAGTTGAAGTTTGCCTGAACTGAATGTACTCTCACTACTGTATCATACTAGTTTTGTGTAGACGAATCTCTGAGACCTCTTTAGTGGTTGCCATTAAACAGAAAGGTCTATAATTAAGTTTATATTCATATAAAAATATATTGATCTCATATTTCAAATCAAGTCTAGTTTTGTTATACAAAAATTTGTGGATTGCTTATTATTTTTAAATCATTATGAAGTTGGATATTTTTATGACTATATTCTCGACTTTACATAGAAAATATTGATTATGGTAAAACATATTCGAACCTTTTGCAGAACCGCCAGAGATTACTGATGCAGGTGACACCACAAGATTATGGGTTTTTGAAGGACAATCTGTATCAATGTTTTGTTATGCAACTGCTGTACCAAAGCCAACAATTACTTGGTATAAAGTAGAATCATCAGACAGGGTAGATATTTTTAATGTATCTCATTTATTTCACTTGAATTGTTATAAAAATCATTATTCAAGAATACATTCGGTTCATAACAAGGTACATTCAGTAGATCTTCTCATCTCTTTTATGTTGATTCCCACGATTAATGTTTCAACTTTTTCAAAATCGAAATTGCAAATATAAATACGTATTAGGAAAATAAATTTTGCTCATCTAATCTTAATAGCGACCATTATTTTCAAGCATTTTCTGATCTGTCACTCAGAATTTCAGCTCATTTTGTTGCATTGTTTAGATTCTGAATAATGAAGTAGACCACATCAATATATTGGGAGATGGAGATATCTTAAACATCACCCGAGCAAGAGTATCTGATACAGGAAGATACTATTGTGCTGCAGCTAATGTTGAAGGAAAATCATACAAAGTATGAATTTTTATTTTGAATTATTAGTAAAGCAAATAGTCTGCCTTATTCAAACAAAAGCCTCATTCCTCAAATATGGAAATATTTATAAAATGATTTGTTAAAATGTTAGTAAGACCTTTCTTGCTTTCTGCAATGTTTTCTATAAGAATCACATTGATTAATTTCTTAATAGCTACTCCATAAGCAGTTTAAAAATATACAGATCTTTGCTCTGGTACAATTAGACAAAAATTATTTTATTTTGATTTTTAAAAACTGTGTTTGTCTATATCAAGATGTGTGTTTTTTAGTTGATGTGTGAATATGATATATTGATGATATTTGCAAATATGAATTAAATAATATAACCTTGCAAATTATTTTTGCTCTTCAGTTCTATGAATTAGACGTTTATGTCCTTCCTTCCATTGATGGCAGTGATGAAGTTGACAGGAGTAAAGTTATTCTTGGTAACGATTTTACTCTAGAATGTCCTGTCACTGGAATTCCATTTCCAACTATACGGTGGTTCAAAGGTACAGTTTATTTAAAATCTTTTCTAGGAGACAAAAATAACAGAATAGTATTGCATACTTGTTACTTATAGATTTTAATCGGTAAGTATGTTAATAGGTATTCGTCTGTCTGTTTGTCTGTTAGATGCACGCGATATCTCACGAAAGCGAGATTGAATCTGCTCCAGATTTTGCATGTGCATTCATCATATGTCGTACCAGAAGCCTATAGATTTTGGATGAATTATGTCGTATAATTAGCGAGTTATTAATTAATTAGTGATGGGACACAAGGTGTCACTATGGAGTAAGAGCGCTGTTTTGGGGGATCCCCTAACTTTCAATCGATAAGTCTTCGGTCTCTGACCGATATTCTCGTTTTATTTATTCAAGGATTGCATGAAATATCTGTTGAAGATGAAGGAATGTTGATTGATAATCGTGGACAATCTTTGACTGTTCTTAACAGTGAACTTGAACATGATGGAGAATACACTTGTGTGGCTGATAATGCTGTTGGTGAAGCTGACAAAGATTTTGATGTTTCAATACTTGGTAAATGTTTATTTCAACAGTTAATAGTATGTTAGACCAATGTCTCATTCCAAATTGTCAACTTAGTTCGAGTATGGGATGATTTTCATAACTAGTTCCTCATCTCTGATGAAGGGAATTGGATGATGCAAATATCTGTAATAAATAATTCCGAGAACCAATCTGGGTGGGGAAAAGTCGAGAAACTCTCTTTTACATAATTATCATATATGAAATCTTTTGAATTCACATTCAATGGAAAGCACTCTAACCATAAAATAAAAATAAATAAATAGTAATGACAGATTTATAAGGTTTTTTATGTTTTTCTAATTGCAAATCCCTTGACTTAACTTTTGTATTCAACCAGTAGAATCAACTAGAACTAACTTTATTAGATTTTAATTCTTGTGTTTTCATAATTTTGTTAAAACGGTTACCGGTACTTACCGGTTAGTAAAATATTTTGTAAAATAGCAGCATATTTCACAGCATATTAATGGAATCTTTCATTAAAATGTAAAGCATTCAAATCTATTTTTCAACACTTTTTCTGTATTTTTTAGTTCCACCAACTATTGCTGGTGATGACATGACACACACCATTCAAGTTACAAGATATCTAGCTATTGAATGCAGGTACTATTTATTTATTGTTGATGAAAACGAACCAATAGAATGAATATACTTTATAGATTTAATAGCCATTACATTCCTCTGATAATCTTTTATTTCTGAATCTGTATTTCTTTTGAATGTGTATAAAACCAAAAAATGGTTTATCTGATATTTCGAATAGAAGCTATGAAGCACAATCGCTTTTCTTGGAATTATATTCTTGCATCCATTATTTCCTTTTCACAAATTTAAACTTTTTAAGGATGTTTTATGTTCGAGATCTTTCTTGGCAAGACTATACTATAGTTACTATAAGTTCCTTCAACTGGATTTTGCTTTGATGTTAAATAATTTATAATAATAAATGATTGACTGACTGTTATATTTCATATAATCTTCAGGGCATCTGGCATCCCAAAACCAACACTTTCTTGGTACAAAGATGGACGAACAGTTGCTATCATAAATAACGATCTTGAAGAAGGTCCTCAAACCCTTGACAATGGACGCTATTTGGAATTTTCAAGAATTCGGGTTGAAGATGAAGGAGTTTATAAATGCGTAGCAACTAATGAAGCTGGATCAGATGATAAAACACACACTGTCAATGTACAAGGTGACTATAACATCCTGAAACAATAATAATATATCTGATTTCGTATTGAGTTGGTTTAAGAACGGTGCGGAAAATTCTATTCACGTATATGCTATATATTGGATATTTTGAAATTTTATGCATTTTATGCATTTAATCGAGGCAAAATTGTGAGCTCCATAGATTAGAATTGGACTCTATCAAACTAAACGATTGATACTCTGTGTTTATTTATTTGTATTTGTGCTTTCATATTTATATTTGTTTTGGTTGACGAATCAATAAATCTCTCTCGATCTCTCTCTCTGATTGGTTGATTTCCTATTAGTCCTAATATTTGTCACATCCCAGATATATTTGTATGAAGTAGTAAACTCAAGATGAAAGAGTAATTATTATTCAAATATTGCATGCAAAATAATATAAGTTTGGCAATCAGATGACAGCGACTGTGATGCATGAAAATATCAAACATGGACTATTTAATCTTGTGTACTGGTTTACAATATCAAACTCATTTTCAGTACCTCCAAAGTTTTCTGGTGATGATATACCTGCAAATGTATCAGTGGTTGAAGGAGAAGATATTACTTTGACATGTTATGCCAGTGGAGATCCACCACCTACTATAACTTGGCTCAAAAATGGTGTTTTAATCAAAGATGGAGGACGATTCTCTATATCAGATAGTGGAACATTTTTGACAATAAATAGTATGGATTTATTTTAAAGCAAAAAGGAATTTTGCTGGAAAGCAAAGTTGTAAGAATTAATCAAGACATTAATTTTGCCATTAATTGAGAAAAGAAGAACTTTAAATATTGTAAACACGAAAACATATGGATTTCACACTTTTATATTTTATACTATTTTTTGTATTAGATGCTGCACAATCAGACCGAGGACAGTACACATGCAGAGCGACTAATGATGTGGGTGTTATAACACAGAACCAATTTCTTGATGTGTTGGTTCCACCACGTATAAGTGGCAACAATGAAAATATTGTCATTGAAAAAGGAGATCCTGTGGCACTTGATTGTGTGATTTCTGGAAATCCAAAACCTAAAATAAGGTTTGTTTTTTTACCAAAATTTGTGTTATTTCAACAGCAAGATGACTTGGATTGGTAACCAAGTGAGGGACTGTTGTTCACAGAGTGGCTAAGTTATCTTATATGATTTTCTCTTTCCTTCATTTGTTTTTATTATTATATCAAAGAGAAGGTCATTTAATACTGTTATTTAACTGCGAAATTTGGAACGTTGCAAAAAAAAAAAATTAATATTGAATCAAAGTAATGACCATATTTTGATGTTTCAATTTTTTTAGTTCACATTGTTCTGCTATTCATATCTTATTGGATAACTAAACTTTATGAGTAGATGGCGAGACTTATGGTAGTTGACATCAATAAAACGCTTTCGTTTGGGTACACCCGTAGTATGTGTACCAGGTTCGGGTTAGGACCTAATTTTATTCTGATTTTCCTTATTTTAGTCCTATTAAGAGTTCGGGGTCTGTCTGTGTTATCCAAGTGAATATACCCCTTGCCCATAGGCTTCAGTCCCTTTACACAATTTGATTTAAAGTAGGAAAACAAAAATAGTTACCTCCATATTGGTACATATACTTCTGGAGCACCCTAGTTTGTCTTTTAAAATCATCTGAAAAACTGAAATGACAGTAATTTCATTGACTTTTGAAATGCTTGTGGCTACAAATAGAACAAAATGCATGATATCTATGCATCGTTTTTGTATAAAGCACGGTATATCATTTTGATTATATCAACATTTGCAGATGGGAAAAAGATGGCCTACCAGTTTTGGCAAATGATCGAATCAGTTTCGATTTTGATAATCAGAGACTAATTATCAGAAATTCAGATGAAACTGATACTGCAAATTATACTTGTACTGCCAGTAACATTATTGGATCAGATTCAAAAGGCTTTAAACTTGATGTGCATGGTTGGTATATACTTCAATATTTTTAGATATGGAAATTGATATTATATAAGTATTGTCTTCTTCATTACACAAGATTTAATTTCTATGATTCTTTTATAGTTCCACCTGTTGTAAGGCCTTTTGATCAAGATGTTTATGAGGTTATTGAAGGAGAGAAAATTCAAATTACATGTGTAGTCAGTGGAATACCTCAACCAATAGTTAGATGGTTAAGAGATGGAAGTGTGATTGCAAGATCAAAATATTTCAAGGTTGGATATTATGTTGTTGGGATTTATTTGAAATTAATTTGGTATGGGATTAGTTAGCCAGTTATTTGTTTTCGGAAGCATGGACTTGATGGTGGAGGAAGCTGTAACCGACCAGCGGTTACGTGAACCACCCTATGGTGGCGAGGAGTCCAGCATCCTCTCGCACATCATCATTCCTGCATGGGATTCGAACCTACGAACCCACGAAGGGTAATCAGAGATGCGTTGGCGAGCGTATTTCTAATGCTTAGCACGATGCGCCACACCGCCGAGGATCTGATAAGTGGAACAAAATTTAATTTTAAAGTTATTCCACACACACAAAGCATATATTTATTAATATTTAATATTAATATTCACTTCTGAGGATAACATGCATTTTCATTATATTTTTGTGTTGCAACAAAGCACATAATCATTCTTGATATTCTTTATTTATAAGAGAGCTAGACTAGAAACACTAATAATATTGTGCCGATTCGAATGCACCATGAAACTCAATTTTATTGGATATATACCTATTTAATGTTTTATCTAATATAGGCACATAATATGAATAATAGTTCATCTAATGCAATTTTCAGCAATTAAGATTTATTTAGTTTGAATTAACAAATAGATTAAAATATTTATACAAATTTCAAAATATGATCATTTTGCTTCCAATAATTTTACCTCCTTTTAAGACACACTGTATACTTTTATTTTTTTGCTATAATTTCTCCCACTCAAACCTAATACTTTTCTGATTTGTTTGATCTACAGTTGAGAGAAGATGGCCACACTCTTGTGATACAAAATGCGGATGTTGGTATACATGAAGGTCGATATACTTGTTCTGCTATAAATGATGCTGGAGAAGATGAACAAGATTTAACTGTTAGTGTATTGAGTGAGTATATAAGAAAATTTGAAATTTGTAATTATGCAGATAAATCAGGATATTTCAAAATATTTCTTCATTCTAATTATATTTGTGAATGTTTGAGACTGATAACTTCACCTTACACTGGTAATCATTGTACCATTACCCATTAATACTTAGTGCTTATTATTTGTTTACTTGTTTGTGTGAGGGTGGCAGTGCTGCTTTCGCGATGGTTCTTTATTGTTCGTAACAGGCTGATGGAAAGACCTGTGAATGTCTAATTTATATCACTATATCTTCATTTTGATCATATTTGAAACATAAATATGACATAAATATTGGACATTGTAAATAAGGTCATTGTTTTGTCTATGTTAGTACCTTTTTTAAGTGACCGGTAAAGCCTGACGAAAATTTTGGCGGACCATCTTTTATACAAACGAACTTAGCTACAAACGAAGCTTATGCAATAAATTATACGCGTTAAGAAACTTATGTTGACAATATACTGAAAAAACGAAAGCCGTGCTATTTAATGCGAGATCTGTATTTATTGGCTGGCAATTAACTGTTCCAATATTGGAGATATGGTCGACATCGACACATGTGACGTGTTTCATACAGCCTACTTCGATATTTCCTTTTTTGTAGTTATCAATATTGAAAACCAGGCCTCACATTAATAAGATGTTGGGATAAGTAACAATGCCTGTAAACCTTCTGTCTCTAGCCTGGGTATTGATTGATGTTTGATTGAACATTTGATTTTACTATTGTTTGTTTTGCCATAACTAATTTTGTACCCGATGTGTTAACTTATGATTATCCTGGTTCCTGAAGTATAGAATTAGCACTGACTAGTCATGACCGGTTAGCTATGAGCAAGTAGTGGAGTAGTCACTAGTCACGTTCCTAGCGAGAATCATTTTGTTCGAGAGATCTTATTCCGACTGATGTGAGACTTTCTTATACAGGCGTTGAGGGAACAATTGACCCAGCGTCAATGCGACATAATGACATGGGAATTGTTTGTGAAGTCAGACATGCTGCTGAAATGCGTTATGTTTGTCTGGTTTAGTGCTTTTTTGATCGTAGAGTATGTGGTTAGATTGTAGAGGCTTCATTAAGGCCTTGTCCGTTTCTGTGTCACCTCTCTGCGGACCGGTAATAACCTTTCCGCGGACCGGCGATGGGCCGCGGCAGGTGGTTGCCGACCACTGGTCTATGTTATCTGTTATCAGTTGAGTAATCGTACATTTATATCTGCTTGTGTGACGACTCAAAGTCCCTAATTTTTTGATAAGAATGTTCTAATTATTCCTAAATTCAGAGACTTCCTATGTTTTATATAATAAATTTGGAATGAATTTGATTATTTGATTCGTTTTTGGCCATTCCTGCTTATAGTGCAGAATTGGCAAACCACTGACTCATGGTGGTAAAATGACCCACTGCATTTTTTCGCTGACTTGTCAAGTCACGAATTAGTGCTGGAATTCCGTTCCAAACTCTTTTGAAACAATTGAAAAAATTTTGCCATAACATTACATACGTTTTCCGGTAATTCATATGCACACAAATTTGTGTTTTTGTAAATGAATTTCATGAAATCGAGTATCAGAAATCACATTTGTATGATATAAGTGCTGCAAGTGTAAACACAATACTAAACAGTATTAACCGAAGATTATATGACTTGCAGAGAAGATGTAACAAATTTGCTGTATTTGCTTTGATGACGAATAAACTTCAACATTAGTCACCAGTAATACACACACCACTTGAATCTTGTTAGTAGCAAATTTACCATTGCATAAATATACAGAGTAACTTAGCAACATTTCCTAAGATACAAAGTACTTCTTGCAAGCATCTTACCTTATCTTGTTCCCTTCTAAATCTCTAAAAGCCTTGTATCAATTGATATCTGATAATCTTATGTGCTTTGCTGGGGAATGCCATGGGGAATTATTCATTCAATCAAAAATACATATTTCAATAATATTTAACAAAGCATGTCTATTCTAATTTAATAATTCTTCTTTTCACAAAGTTCCACCATCAATATATGGGCAAGAAAAAACTGTAAACAAAATAGTGAATGAGGGAAATGAAGTTGGATTGGAATGCAGAGTGAGAGAAGGAAAACCAAGTCCTATTGTGAGTTAAATATTATGTTTTATATTTGGCAAAAGACAAGGACGCCCAATCTTTTCCACTGAGGGTTGAAATGCACATTGATAGACATCTGGGCTTAATGAATCCAATTCAGGGTTATTTTATAAATTTATATCAGTCCCAAATGAATATTGTATGGAAAATCTTATGCAGTTGTTGTGTTAAACCACACTACAGATAAAAAAAGATGCAGCCGATATTCTGCATGTCTTAGTTTGTACACCCAATAGACAGCTTGTATCCATTCATACAACATCAGTTTTCCATGACCACATGATGAATCTATTGCATGGAATAATTTTACTTTTAAGATTCGATGGTATAGGGGAGAAAGTAATGCAATTTCAAAGTTGAGCACATCATGGGATCATGCACATTTTGATCAAACAATCACAAACCTTCGGGCTAAGGTTGACAATACAGGAGGATATTGGTGTGAAGCGGTTAACACTGCTGGAAGAGCAAGAAAGAATTTTACTATTGACGTTCAAGGTACTGATTTAAATTGATTTTTTTTTATTCCATTCCCCGTTTCTGTACTTCTTGTGATTGCATTATGATCGCGATCAATTTTTTGTGCAAATATCCTCTAGTTGATCATAGGTTCAATAAATTGTGAAAAGCCAGAAAAACTACTAAAACAAAACTGCACAATCAGTTTTGTTACATTCCACTTTTTCTGAATAGTTGAGAGCATGCCAATATCTCAGTTTAATTTATTTTAGTGTATTTGCTTGTCATTTACACATTATGAAATTGTTTAATACCTGATTCACAAACAAATTCGCCAATTTTAAATTAGCTTATCTTGTGTTTTCAGTGAAACCTTACATTGATGGAAATGAAAGGGAAAACAAAAATGTGATATTGGATAATGATGTATCATTTACCTGCAAAGTTAGTGGAGTTCCGAGACCAGAAATTACTTGGACAAAAGATGGAAATCCTATATCATATGATCTTAATGACAAATATGGAACAGAAAAAATAGGTGTGTTGTATTAACAAATTCAAATTTAAGGGTAGCCTACATTTGGATGAAAGGGAAATAGGCACCCGGTCACAATTACTGATTAGAAGATTGCTGGTGTGAATATAATAAAGTTTTATTTTCAGGAACCAGCAATGATTTGTAATAGAAATTTCAATACAGTAAATCGGCAAAAATATCTTGATAATTTTTATAAATGACTTGATATTAAAATAATTGTCGTCATTCATGATAAGGTATTGGAACCTACATACTGACTGTAAATGATGCACAAGATGATGACAAAGGAAGGTATACATGCATAGCAACAAATGATGCTGGACAAGATTCTAAAGACTTTGATCTAGATGTTTATTGTAAGTTGTTACACTTCAAATGCATCGGTTTTGCCAAGATGCTCAATAATAACATTTCTATCTAATGAATTCCAGTGCCACCAACACATGGTGGTGATGGCATTTTCAATATCACTGTTCTTGAAAACAATGATGCAGAATTATTTTGTGATGTCGAAGCTTTTCCCAAACCAACAATCAGATGGTATAAAGATGGACAGCCAGTTATATTACCAAGAGAAGTGTTGGATAGCTTGGAAGATTACAGAATTTTACCAATAAAAAAGGCTCAAGTAACAAAATTTATTTAAATTCAATTTGATATGATGTTGCATACTATTACTTTAATAAATAAAGTACACACATAGACTGATACTTTCAAAGGTTGTTAGATTTTTATTCCTCTTCATGATGAGTAACCTTAAGCATCAACAAGCATTTGGAATAGGGCAGACTCACAGTTGTTTTGAGGTTCCGAAAAGTTAGAAGATAGGAGAGAATTTGCTTGACGTCTTGCTGTTTTACATACCAGTTGATTGGCCACAGCTTTTTTAGTCAATCAAGCCTATACAAGCAATTGAAGGATTCACTGATCTCATAACAAGCCTGAACCGTAACCGATCAAGAATGCTTTGTCATATGCCTAAACCAATTCAAGTTTCATCTCATCATTTCCCTGGGATTAAAATTACAATCCTGTTCAATTCTCACCAGTGTTATATTTGGGATAGCTATTATCCGATGTACGTGTATTGACCTCCATGCTGGTCACTAAAATCAACCTTGGTATAATTTCTATACTTGAAATTATAATAATGTAAGTTTAATAATGTCATAAGTTTCCAAAACTTTATTACTGGGTTTGGCAGATTTCTGATGCTGGACTATACAAATGTGAAGCAGAAAATGTTGCTGGTATAACTGAGAAAAACTTCAGATTGAACGTTCATTCAAAACCCAAAGTTTTTGGACCTACAGTTGATGACATAACGAAATGTAATTTTGTTTTCTTTGGGCAAATTATGTATGAAGATAAACAAATAAACCTAGGTTTAGTCATTTAGGGATTAACTTAAATATACCTAAATTAATTAAATAAGAACAGAAAATTTTTATTTGGGTAACTATTCTTATCTACAAACCTGGATATTGAAGACTAGTATAATGAGTAGCAACTATCTTTAACTTGATGAATTATTTTACTCTTATTTGTCATTTTTAAAATCAACATCATATTTTGGACATTGTGATTAATCTTTCCACGATAATTAACATTATTAATTCAATTCAATTCATTTGTTAGTGGTTGGTGATAGAATTGATATGGTTTGTGATATCCGTGGTGTACCTGCACCTACTTTATCATGGACTAAGAATGGACAACCTTTAGTTATTGACGAATCCGAAATGACTCTATTATCTGGATCAAAGATTTTGCGTATTTTTGCAGCTGAGGTATAAATTTAAATGTTCACCATTTGTTTTATTCAATGATTTCACATTTATACTTGATTTGAATTTTTGTTTATTTGAGTAGTATAGTTGATTAATAGCGATGTTAGTAGAGCTTGTAAAAGCTCGCCTGAAAATATCTATCTCTGGTTATACATAATATTACAAAAATTGATCCAATAAAATGTGCTGCAAGACTTTCGCATTACAAATTTTAAGAGTAGCATTGTTAATTATCTGTGAAATGCTGATGAAAATTGTTTTAGATTACAGCAATATGTTAAATGTTATGTTCTGTAAAACACTAATCAAGATTAAACAAGATTTTTTGAGACGCGTTTGCTCACTTTGCAGCTTTCTTGTATTTTTCGTTATTTGGTATTCTTTGTTTTTTAGCTTAGTGATACTGGACAGTTTGAATGTCATGGAATCAATGTTGCAGGAAGAGCAGTAAAATCTTTTGATGTAACTATCCATGAATCATCAAGAATACTTGGAGATCCGCATGAGGTATGTTATCTAATGAAATATTTTCAATTGTTTGCCATCATTATCTTTATTCAACTATATCCAGCCAAACGTCTGCTTCTTCTGACAAAACCTGTTTGTAAACCTTTTGTATGTATTTAAATTAAATCTAACAGTCACAATTTCCATTAGGGGTTTGTTAACCATGTTGAATTCACAATGTTGTCTGCTTCCTTTCGATTATATCCATGGTCATTATTTTAACTGGAATATGTCTACATTATAATTATATTATATTGAAAAATGAATCTTTATTTTTCTCTCTGCAGATGCATGATGTTAACAAAGGTGATACTTTTACTTTGGAATGCTTGGTATCTGGAACTCCAAGACCAGAAATAACTTGGTTTAAAGATGGTCATGAAGTTCACACAGACTCGAGGTTAGTAGGTGGAAATTTCATAACACCAAACATGGAATTTGTGTGGAATTTAGGAATGTTTTGTATTGAACAAGAAATATGAATAGCACTTTTAAGTTGATGAACTATATGCAGTGAGATAAAGATATTATTTAATTGGATTATTGGATTGTTTATAATGAATTGTTTCTTATTTTTTGATGTAAAGAACAAAAATGAGAGAGAATAGAAGATATTTAATTGTAAAGAATTCACATGAAGCAGATGCAGGAAGATATGTTTGCAATGCCTCGAATGTTGAAGCCTATGATACCAAAGCTTATACAGTAAATGTGCGAGGTAACTATGTACTTTTGTGTACAGATGCTAAGTAAGATAGAGATCTTTGGTATCACTGAGAGCCCTCTTTGAATCAGTTCATTTAGATTGCAGCCATGCTATAACACAAATGTAAATTTATATTTATATTCACTGCTTGTTATGTATGGAATCTTTCATTTTATAAAGGTTTTATTTAAAACTAGCAAAAGGTTTCGATTATCCATATGTTCTTATTATGGTTTCATGAAATATCAAATCACAATTGGCTTATTTACGAAAAAGCTTTTATAGATCAATAATCTACAGATTTAATTGATAATATATTCTATTTATCAAGTTCAAAATAACAAACTTTGATCAATTATTGTGTTCCAATTTCAGTACCACCAGCTATTGAAGATGGACCTAATCGAAAGTGGGTTAAAGAAGGTCATAACATAAATTTAACTTGCAATGCAGTATCTAATTCTGCTGTTCAAATTCAGTGGTTATTTGAAGGAGAACCCATAATACCTTCTAGTTTAGCAAGGCCATCACCTCAAGGAAAACGACTGATGCTTTTCAATGTTCAGGTATATTCTGCATCTATTTCCATTAAAGCAAGATATTTTTGCTATGAAACTCTCATGAATAGGTCAAAGTCTGAATAGGGCTTTTAACAAATGAAAACTTATAAGTACTGGTACATTGTTTTTTGGTAATCTTTCATCTTCATACCCTCGATGAGTTGGTGTTAATGCTTAAAGTGCTTAGGTCCAACATGCAAACCATGAGGTTTATGATAACCATTACTCATTTCTTTACTGAGTGTTAATCTAATGTAAGAATTTTCAATTGTTTTGCAGCGAGAAAAAGCTGGTCAATACACATGCAGAGCCACAAATGCGGCAGGTTCAGATGACCGGAACATAATTTTGGACGTCTATACCATACCTGTTATCACTGACAGTGATACTATTGACACATACAATGTCACACGATCTGAATCTGTAACATTGGAATGTGACGTTTCTGGATTTCCTGAACCTACTATTGAAGTTTGTTTCAATTTGTATTATCTAGTAATTAAATATAAATAGAATTAGAAACAAAATTTTTTTTGTTTGCAAATGATTGAAGTTCATTTGAAAGATAGTAATGCCTTTGTTTTATTTCATTTGAAATAATCATATATGGCAAGTAATCACCTGATTAAATGAATTGTAATACTTCTCAGTGGTAAAATAAAAACTGTTTGCATAAAGTTTTCAATAATCACGAAATGCTATTTTTCCTTTTTTCCTTATTCAGTTTAGTGGACTGTAAATTTGACCATTGTCCTATTTATGCCTTATCTTTTTGCAGTGGTTGAAAGATTTCTACCCAATATTTTTCCACGAAGATGGTTCAGCACAGACAGGAAGTTATGAAATTCAAAATGGGGGGAGACTGTTGACTTTATTTAATGCACAGGTTTTCGATGAAGGAAAGTATAAATGTAGAGCAACTAATGAAGCTGGGTTTGATACTAAAGAATATGATGTCAATATTTTTGGTAAATGTTTATTGTTGATATATTGTAATTTTATTTAAAGTTTGGAACCAACTGTTAATAACATACAAATTAGTGATTTGGCAAGTTTTGTCTTATCATTTTTGTATGTTGTAGCAACTGTAGCAATGCAAAAAATTATCTAAAACTGAGTTATCAGTTCGAAAATAAAGATTTTGAAAAATATCCCACAATAACCATTTACTCATTAAACATTACCTTTTATTTTTATTATTTAAAGTTTGGTGTTATATGTGATAATATGATATAATCTATCGATTAATCTAATTTTTTTGTTTAAAATTACCTTTTACTATGGAAAAATAAATTTACTCATCCCTTGGTAAAACCACGGAATATCAATGTTGTATCAATAACCGTCAAGACGGTGACTCCTATATTTTCAAGCGTTGGTCATGTGACAGCAGTGACTAACCACAGGGCTGACTTAGTGCCACACAATCCAGTTTTTTTTAACTGGGTCCGGAGTTCCAACTTAGACGGACTTGGTTGTTTTTAGCACCAGGTCTGCCATTAGTTTTTTTTTTACTTTTGGGTGAGCGAACACGTACTAGTTCTTTAACAATACTTTTCCATTTAAAATTTGTACGCTTCAAATCTTACTTGAGGATTTGTTTGCTTTCCCGATTCTATAATCAGTTACTTTTATTTTTTGTTTTTATCATTTTATCGTCTACTGCTGATTATTGGAGTCAAAATAAACTTATACTTATACTTATACTTATACAAAGCCAAATGCGAGAAAAGGGACCGAAAATACTACGTTATTATTCGGGAGTCGTTTTAAAATAACTAAAGGCTTTATATATGTTTCTTACAAAACTGATTAGATTAGTAATCTCACATTTCTAAATGCATGTAAAGTGAGTCAACTCCCGGTGTTTTGATCGCTTTTGGGTTTTCTCCGACTCTGACCCGCGAGACATCCTCAAAAGTTGTTGTGGCCCGCCAACCGTGCAACCTTGGACCACTCTGCCTTAAAAACATGGTCTTCTTGATGTTGGTGCCAGTACTGTTCATAGGATAGTTGTGTAGTTGTGATCAATCCTTTGAGTTTTACAGGGTTGAGTATAATTTAGTGATATTTGCTATACCAATATGCTATGCTACGGAACATAGTACTTGAGTAATATTTAATATATTATTATTTGTTAAATTTATTGAAACTAGATGCTAAGGTCATTTATCTGTTGTTCATTGTTGTAGTTACGTAGTTTTTATCTCCAAATATCCAGCTAAACCAGTCTTACCTGATATTATTCACTGCCATCATCTGGTGGATTTAACAATTTATCCCCTTTTATTTGCAAAATTTGGGGCCACTCGCAAGTTCTAAAACTATAAATCTATTTTTTTTCTTTCATAGTCCCTCCTGAAATATACCGTGATGGTTTGAGAGAGGAAGTTATAGTTCGGGAAAAATCTTACATAAGGATACAATGTGCTGCTTCTGGCATTCCTGCACCAAAAATACGATGGCTGAAAGGTAAACAACATATAGGACATAAGCAAAAAGAAAAGTTTTGATATCCAAACTGAATTTTAATACACACTGGATATTGCCATACTCCGGCGGCTATATATTTTGTCTTCCCCAATGTAGTTTTTATCATATTTACTTTCCATCCGACTTATTTCAGCTGTAAAACATTTCTATTGGGAAGTTTTTTTTTTCAAATAAATTGATCAACATTCATTCAGATAAAATATTGCTTCCACAAAGCTTATTTTTATATGAAAGTGATCAACATTGTCTGTTTTTAGATGGAGAGCCGTATGTTCCAAGGCGTTTGACTCCTGGTATAGATCAAGACAGATTTCTTACCTTCCAGAGTGTTGAAGAAGATGATGGAGCTACCTATTCATGTGTAGCTGAAAATCCAGCTGGTCGTGATCTGGTTGATGTGAATATTATAGTAAATGGTATGTGGTGAAATTAAGTTCAATTCTCATTTAATTTTTTTATTACCTAGTTTTGAAATCCATATTTCATTCTTTTACTTTTATTTATTAGTTCCACCAAAGATAAGAGGATCAGAAAATCCATTCTCAACCACAGTTGAAGTTGTTGTCGGGGAAACATTAGACTTGGAATGTGAGGTAATCAGAGGAACTCCTGAGCCCCAGATTGAGTGGTGGAAGCGATCAAACAAAATTATAGAAAGGTAATTTTATTCAATATAGAAATTCACATTCTGTATCTCCTTTATGCACTATGATATCCACAGTCAGGATTATTCTGTATAATCTTAAAATAAGCAACATGAAATATTTGTGTTCATAACAGTGACCACATAAAGATACTTGCAGAAGGCCGGTACTTGAGAATACCACAAGCACGATCGGATGATTATGGTGTATATACTTGTGTAGCAAAGAATGTGGAAGGCGTAGACAGCAAAGCTTACAATGTTTTGACATTGGGTAAGTTTATACCTTACAAATTGTCGTTTTATTATTACATTGTGCATGTGGAAGCAGTGTCACAAAGTTAGGGTGTAGTTTAAGCCTGAAGCCTTTTGTTCGTTTTATAGAGCCGCCAAGGTTTGCCAGTGACAAACAAGATGAAATTGACGTTGTCCTTGGGTTTTCTCATTTCATAATTTGTGAAATAGATGCTCAACCACAACCCAGGCTTGAGTGGTTTAAAGATGGCCAACCTTTAAACACAGACAGAAATGTTCAAGTTGATCAAAATGGACGTGTGCTGTTCATTAAATCGGCAAGGTAATCTTCAATTCTTTCAAACAACATGATAAATAGTGCTAATAAATTCTAGTATTTTTTAAATACGTATAATTTACTTTTACTTTAGACTTGAAGATCGTGGAATATACATGTGTAAAGCTAGAAACAAGGCAGGAACAGATGAAAAATTGACAAAGATCAATATTTTGACTCCACCATCAATAAACGAAGGACAAAATGATAATGATGTTGATGTTTTATTAGAACGTCCAACATATCTAAATGTAATAATTTTCAAGTTACAATATACTATTGTTCTATTTAATATATTAAATAAATTGCATATTTTATGTGATATAATGAATGCATCTTGTGAGAAATTATAATTTTATTGTTTTTTCTTAGTGCACAGTGCAAGGTTATCCACAACCAACAATTACGTGGTTTAGAAATGGAATCAAAGTTGATTTGAATGATGATAATTTTGAAACATTCGACAATGGACAGATTCTCAGCATAGCGTGAGTTATGTGATTAAAGTCATATGATGATTTAGATTTAGATGATAGAGTTAGATGAAAATATATACGGTAGGTATATTAGAAATCATCCTCGGAAACCATTTTCATAGAGCATAAGTTCAAAATCAACAGTTTGAATGTTTAAATGATAAACAGGCAGTTTGACTTTTTATTATTCCATCATCTTGAATATTGCCTGAATTATTTTCTGAATTTTTACCTCACTATATGCAGGAGTGCAAGGCTTATTGACTCTGGCCGATACGATTGTCATGCAAGAAATACAGCTGGAAGAGACAGAAAAGATTTTAGACTTAATGTACAAGTTGCACCAACAATTTCTGGACCAAAATTTGAAGAATATATTATGCTTGAGGGAAGATATTATGAACTTGATTGCTTTTCAAGTGGAATTCCTGATCCTGTAAGCATTCTCAGATTTTTGTTTGATTTGATTGATAGTAAGTTAAGTGTTATGTTAGAATTAACTGAGCTACATTTATATACTAAAAATTAGTTTTTCCACAAGAATATGCTTAACAAGCTGTCATAAAGTAAATTTATTTAAATATCCCAATGAATAATAAGTTGCTGTGTTTAGACAAATGAGTGGTTTAAAGATGGTGATTTGGTGAGAAGAGGCCACAGATATTCACAATTCCATGGCGCGCGAAGACTGGGAATATACAGTGCTGATGAACGAGATAATGGTTTATTTGTTTGCACGGCAACTAATGTTGCAGGAATGGTGAGAGAAATTATTGCGTTTGCCTGTTTTATTTCTTTAATATTTGTGCTCTGTGAGTTTTCTATTTTCTATATCTTTTTCCATATTTCAACAAGTAAATGCAACACAAGTTTTTGCCTTAAATTATCATTTGAACCTGGTATTCCACTTCTATATATATTTTAACTCAATACATATTAAATCTTAGACATGTGATTGGGTTCTTTTGTGTTATACTCTAACCCGAGTGGCACAATTGTGTGCTCTGATATATATCAAGGTTCTTGAATTTCATTTTTGTTTTATTTAGGAGACGAAAACATTCAATGTGTCTGTTTATATGTCGCCAAGACTCACAGACTCTGCAAAATACAAAGATCTGGTTGTGAATCAAGGAAAAGAAATCACTCTCAACTGTGAATCAAACACTTTCCCCAAACCTTCTGTTACATGGATTAAAAATGGTGAAGAGTTGCCAGAATCTCATTTTGTAAGTTACCAGTAAACAGATAGTTGAGTTTAAAATTTTAAAGAAAGTTTTTGTCATCGTATTCATAACAGCAAGCATTTTAACATTACATAACTTAACATTAAGTTATTTATATTCAAAAAGCTTTTGTAGTTTTATCTTCTGTTACATTAAAAATCTAGGTGCAATTTGATTATACAATATATATTGATGTTTTATTAGATCTATCGATAGGGTTTCTGTGGCAGCAACAACTTATCATTCTTCTATACCTTTGCGCGGTGAATCCAGACGCATAATATGCAAGGATATTGTGGGGAGATTGAGGATAACTTTTCTGAGTGATCTAAGAGTCTTGCTCCACACTAATATAAATATATTTCTGTAACATCTCACCCTCGAGGTCAGCCCTCTTCAGATGATCTTAGTAGATTTTTCGAATTTCGAATATTCGTCATTCCCACAGGCTGCAAGCCATGATAGGAGAATAAAAATATCAAAGAATGGATTTTTGTTGACAATATTTGATGCAGAGCCAGAAGATGCTGCTCTTTATTCTTGTGAATTATTGAACGACGCTGGTGCAACTTCTAGGTAAAACGGTCATACCGATTTATTTTGAATTAAAAAATTGTCAGTGTTCTGTGTTTGAGCTATTTTAAAACGAGTTAAAAGGGAAAGCTATAAAAACTAAAAGTATTGTAAAAATATTATTTCCGATTTTCATCTGTCACTTTTTTTCCTGCCTTTTGCCCCGAACTAGGCCATGTAAAAACAACCACTGATATATAATGGTATGTAGTTAGTTATTATTTTTGAAGACTGCTTCTGGTTCTACATTGCCTATCCAATTTATTACACTCTGGATGAGGTGGCAGTCATAGGTTTTGAGTTTGAGATTTGTAACCTGTGAGGCTAACAAAGTTAAGTCTAATGCTTTAAATAATAGGCGACGCTTACATTTTTTCTGTCATCTGCAGTACAAAATTTTTGCAGTGAGGTACGTGTCAGTTAATTACATTCAACAGACATGAGATTCATTTTCATCTTTATCATAGGAAATTCAATCTTAAAGTAAACAGACCACCAGTTATATCAGGACCAGACACTGAAAATATCAAAAAGCCTATTGATAGCACAATCTCAATGGACTGCAGTGTGCAAGGTTCTCCAGCACCAGAAATAATATGGCTGAAAAATGGTTTGCCCGTCGAATTTTCTGAAAGAGTACATGTGACGCATGGACAGAATACACTAAGAATTGGTATATTTTCACTTCTGCTTTGTTGTGTTTGTTGTATATTTCTTACTAGGAATTGAATTTTTTAGGATGTTCTAGTTTAAATTGAAACATATTGTGTGGGTAGATGCGTAAGTTTCAGTATTTTGAATCGATACTTATCATCGCGTACACCATGCTTTCAAACTTACTTCTCAATGGCAGCTAATTGGAAATTTTGGGACAAAATCGTGACGCACATGCCAACTAGCAAAAATAATTGTAGTAAAGCATGGAAAGTATTTTTCTGGGGTCAAGGGTTGGAGAAACATCAAACATCAATTGCAGTAGAGATTTTTCGTTTCTTCATACATGCACATTGTTTGTGTTCTTTGCATAATTCAAAATTCATTTGTCATTTCTTATTTTTGCTTTTCATTCAGACCGATCAGTTGAAAGAGATATGGGTATCTATACTTGCATTGCAAAGAATGTGGCTGGAGAAGATAGCAAAGATTTCGATGTTGATATACTTGGTATACTACTTTTATGATATAAATGAAATGGATTATAACTACTTTTTAAATTTGTACTTTATGGTTGTCGTGATTGACATGTTGAAAGTTCTCAGCCTTCATGGCATATTATTTGTGATTGTAGTCTGCAAACCGTTTCTTAACGGATAGGGAATGTCTAAAATTGCATTGGCACCAGTATTATGTGTCTTCAGGTTGAATATGACTGCGTAAGTTGTTGTTTTCACATGAATACATAAACTTGTGTTTGCAAAGTTTTCTCAACCTGTATAAATGATTACAACTGTTTCTAACCAGTTGGTGAGTAAGATCTGACTGATTTGTGGTTTAACCGTACTTTTACTTGTTTTGTATTTAGTCCCACCTTTAATTGACAAATCCTTTGGGCCAGACAACATAGATGCAATTTTAGGAGAGGAGGTTTCTCTTGCATGTATAGTTGCTGCAGGTAATCCTATTGCAACTGTAGACTGGTACAAAGAAGGAGAACTTGTGACTGAAGATCAGGCACAAGTTTTGGAATCTGGACAATTGCTTCTCATACCATCTGTTAAGGTAAATTGTTGTTAGATTGTTGAGATTTAATGAATGTTTTGATTCAGGTGTTATATTGACATAACAATTTTGTGTGTCTGCTCATCTCTGCTTGTCATTATTATTACTATCAACAATTTTTCAAAAACATTTAAAAAGTGTTCCCCCATTCACAAAACTATATCAATTTTTGTTTGATGTCAGTTGTAAGTTGACCAGAAATTCCATGATTTAAAAAGTACTTTTTATTTTATAGACAACAATATAAAGTAATCTTATTTGTGGACATGCATGTATAAAATGCCTCAAGTCCATCAGCTTTTCTTGTGTCACTCAAATTCAATGATTTTAATAGATTGTTGTTATCAGTATTTTTTCGTGATTATACAAGTCAAGTCAGCTGTATTTTTTATATTTATTTGTTCCCAAATTCATTTGAAATGTGGCTTTATGTACCGTAAACTTTATATAAAAACTACAATAGAAATTAGGAATATCATCTCAATAGTTATGAAAAATCTGCATATTTTTTAGACGACTGATGCTGGTGGATACACATGCATTGCTAAAAATGGAATTGGACAAGATGACAGAAGTTTTGACATCAATGTATTGATACCGCCTTCAATTGGTTTCCGTAGTACATTTAATCATGTTGAGGTAATATTGTGTAGGATGCTGAATAGAACTAATTGAAAATCTTGTATTTGTAGTGCTCAAAGTAGTTTTAGTTTCATGTAAAGTTGAAAAAATCATTGTAAAGCCTTCAACGCTAATCACAAACTTCTCCATTGAAGGTTAATGAGACATTTGATGCCATTCTCGAATGTGATGTGATGGGGGGTCAACCTCCTCCTGAGATAACATGGACACATGATGATGTTCCAATACGATTGGGTCAACGTATCAAAACATTTGCAGATGGAAAGAGATTGGAAATTTACAGAGCTTTGGTAATGATACATGTTGATAAGTTTTACAAGTTTGAAATTGTCTATGTCACACACTATTGAAAATGCATGCCAGTATATTGTTTTTATTGATGGTTCTAATATAATTGTAAATAAATATAAATACATAATGTGTTACATTAGTATTATCAAATTTATCATTTATTACCAAATGATATTGAATTTGTAGTTATTAAAATGAAATAATGCAAGTGTAAATTCTGTCAATAATATAATTTACCAAAATTTGTCTGGCTTAGAAGACAGGTTTTAAAATAAGGAGGACAAGTATTAAAAATTAAGCTTGTCTAAATTGATGTTATTTCTTGTATACTTTTTATTAAAACTATTTTATATTCATTTTGCTGTTCTCTTGATTCATGTTGCCAATGTATTTTATAGACATCAGATACTGGTGTGTACAAATGTACTGCAACGAATGTAGCTGGAACTGTTATGGATCGCGTTAGACTTGATGTATATGGTATGATTTAAAGGTTATGCTAAGATAGTATAAAACTTGATTGTTACAATTTAAATATCATATATGTGTCAACTATACCTAGTTTTGTTTCATTTAGCTGTACTTTTTTAAAACTCACCTAATATTTTTTATGAATACAGTGCCACCTGCATTTGAGAGTCCTAATACAGAGGATATAACACTGATAGAAGGAGAACCATTGTTCATGGACTGCACCGTGTATGGTATACCCGAACCTGATCTAGCCTGGACGGTGGTTTGTATAATTTTTTTTGCTTGGTAACCTTTTTCTTATTCGTTGGATATATTTTCACGTCGCTTCAAAGTATTTTGCTATTTATTTTGGAAGGAGATAACATTAAACACAAACAAGTCGGTATGTGCCCAGGATACTGCCAGTCCATTTTGATCACTGCGCATCTCCACCGCATTCCTGCATGGGTGTTATACTGTTCCTAATATCTAAAAAATATCCACTAAAATTCCTAAGGCTTCCCCAGTTTATAAAATATTGAGTTGAAGGATGACTTTTTCGAAGGAGTATTTTCTTTTGGAATTTTAATTTAATTAATAGTTTATTTAGTTGATCTCAGGATTTTAATTTTCGACTTGATTTGTGAGAAAATGGGGAAATTGTGGGTTAGTTCTAAAGCAGTGGTTCCCAACCGCCGGTCCGCGGACCGGTGCCGGTCCGTGAAGCTTTTTTGCCGGTCTGCGAGAAATTTCGTTGTGATGATCTCCAAGTGCAGTTTTAAGTATTCTGTGGCGTCTGCAGCTGTCGCAAAACCATGTCGGTATTTCCATACCATGGCCGCTACGGCCAGACCTATGGCGACTGACTTTTTAGCTGCCACAAACCAATGACGAGCTGTCGTTACCGCGGCAGGTGGGCCGTAAAGACAGGGCTGTCCCGTATGGTGACAAATATTGGGTAAGTTGGAACGATTTTCTTATGGAAACAGTTTTGATGGATTTGGGGTTAGGGTTTAAGTAGATATATTTCCGCATGATCAATTCAATTTCATCTGGTGCATTAATTTGTGAATATACCGTTAATACTGATTACTGAAAAGCGCTATAAAACCATGGCAAGAGCTGCCGCGGTTCGTTCGTGGCAGGAGCTGCCATGAAGTGGTAAGAACTGCGCCTCTCAATCTCTTTACCGAAGACGAGGTTACGTTTTTCGCGACATCTTGGCGCCGAGCAATCACACTTTTCGCTCTTTCGGCTCCGATTCATCACGAATGCGCTCCATCAAATCTCACAAGATTCAGAAACCTAAAAATCGGCTTTCTGTTCTGCGCGCTTTACCTGGTTAATATGACCATCCATACAAAAAAGGTATGCATATTTCTTTGTTTAAACCAGAAAACAGTCAAGAACAGTACAATATTCCAGGAAGATATGAACTTGTTGTTACCCCACAGGTGGTCACGAGGCGCGCAAAAAAAGCATGGGCCGCAGAGATGTTTTCCAGTATTTTGAGCAGACACAGTAGGATTTTGGGCCAAGTTATCGACGACTTTGTCATTGTAACGTAATTTCGTTTGAGGCGTCGATTCGATCAACTGCAGAGGGATTAATATGATGAACCCGATGAAAAAGAAAAGGCTTGATTAGAATTGTAATTCTACTTTACAATCCATAGTACAGTCCATGATAGTTTTTCTCCGCGTGAAATGTTTTTAAGCGTGCTTTTTTTCTTTAGAAGCATATTGTGAGTGCCCGACATTGCATTATATTACGCAAATATATGTTATTATTTTCTGTTCCGCTCATTTCATTTTTGCCGGTCCGCGAGTTCATTTAATTTAATTTTACCGGTCCGCCAGGGTAGAAAGGTTGGGAACCACTGTTCTAAAGTATGCAACAATCGGTGCATATTTTCGCTGCTGCTTTGGAAATGCAACATCAATCGGGTCTTTTGGTACAACGCACATTACCAGGGTGTCATAATAACCCATGTGAGAAATTTCATCCAGATCAGTCCAGCCGTTTAGACCAGAGGTGGGCAAATTATGGCCTGAGGGTCAAATCCGGCCCACTGAAGCGTTTCATCCGGCCCACTTATGTCTGCTCAAATTACAACTATAGTTTTTATAGATATAAATTTTCGTTGAAATTCTCGATGAAGATAACGACATAACGACCCTGATTGTTACATTGTGCTTTTTATTATCATATAAACCTTAGCCCAGCTGTTGAAAATAATCTGTTTTTTTTACTCATAGTTTTTCATATTGAATTTTAGCCTCCAGCCCAGTAACCCAGCATATTATCTGTAACACGCCCACTCACAAAAATAATTGCCTATCCCTGGTTTAGACACTACAACTAAACCACAGACCGACTGACTGACTGACAATTGGGGCCTCCGGAGACTGAGATTCAATAAAATAATTATGATAAAATAATGTTGTTTTTTGTTGTTTGAGTACTATTCTATTTCACCTACATTATTGTATCATAATTATCTATTGTCAATTGTTAATTTTATTGCATGACAACATTTCAGTATTTTTATATTTTCTCTTACAGTCTTGACTTTTTCTGTTCACAGAGCACAGATGGTGAAGTGTCCAAACCTCTTATAACTGAAAGAGTTAGATATTTGAACAAAAATCAAGCAGCTACAATTGATGAATCAAGAGTTGATGACACTGGTTTATATTCATGCATTGTATCATCAATATCTGGAAATGCTCAAAAATTATTTAATGTCACTGTTCAAGGTGAGAACAATGAGTAATAAAATGAAAATAATTTCAGAAATTGAAAGTGAAATTTTGAGTTAACATAGTTAAAAATATGCAATTGTGATTCGCATTTTCACTGCACAACATTGCATTGTTGACGTAAAGGCGCTACCTGAAATCTAAAATGAAGATATAAGTGCAACTAAATTATATATATATATATATATATTTATATGGTATGCATTATAATACACTTTATATTTGCCTTTATATAAAAGGAAATATATATAAATATTTGTGGTAAAATAACCAACTATTTAATATCAAAATCATTTTATGATTTGATAGCTATTCTTTATTTTTATTTTCTAATACAAAAAAATCACAAACTCTTACCACATAGCATTTGTGAGTACTGAAAAACGTATACATAACTATGTTTCTGATGAATGGAAACACACATACATTTCATGACTTTGGTTAGTGGAATTCAGTAGTAACGGTATATCTTAACTTGAAATAATCATCATTAGTTCCTCCAAGCATCATCGGACCAAAAAGTACAGATACTGTGCGAGTAATTGAAGGAAACAGTTTTGATCTTGACTGTCCAGTCAGTGGTGTTCCAATGCCAGAAGTTATATGGTTGAAAAACGGGAGACCATTGCCTTTGCTTGATGTAAGCAGAATTAGAAATAATGGACAACAACTTCATATAGAAAGTGCTCAGGTAATGATTAATGAAATGGACATTGGGTATGGAAGCTTAGAATTCTATAGGTAGCTACTTGATATGGTGCAACGTATACTTCTTGGAGTATATGCTATTCATAGATTGACAAACCCAGTTTTACTCATACATAAACAGATAATAAGAACCAATTTCGCTGTGCTATCAAATTATTTCAACACATATATTGAGAAATAATCGAGCCTCTTCCCATGCAAGAGTTGAGTTCAGCAAAGTTGCTCCTCCCTAAACAGCAAAAATTGCTTTAATGTTTGATGGTTTCCTGGACGGATCAATCTGAACAAATTTAAGCAATAAAGAATTTATAAGAATTTGTATTTTTTGATAAGAAATATCCTAATTTTTATGCTAATTTCATTATAATTTGTATTTATCCTCAAAGAAATTGATTTTACTGGTTGATGGTCTCAGTGGACAGTGTCAATATTGCATCAAATCCTTTGAATGTGAGATTTTTGTAGCACTTTAATGTTTGTTTCGAGCATTAGTTGTCCCACATATACACATTCAACAACGTCAATTGTTCAAATTAAACTCTACATTTCAGTTGAATGATATTGGAACCTATACATGTGTTGCTAAATCTGATGCCGGTGAAGCAAATAGAAATTTTGAAGTTGATGTTATTGTGCCACCTAGTTCTTCTGGTGAAGGAGTCAACATTACAGCTGTTACTGGAAGTGATGTAAAACTTGAATGCAAGTCTGATGCAATTCCTCCTCCTACATTTAATTGGCTCAAAAATGGCAGACCAGTAAGTATTTATTCAGTTCTTTTGCATTCCTGATATCTAAAAAATATTCACTAAAATTCCTAAGGCTTCTTCAGTTAATAAAATATCGAGTTGAGGATGACTTTCTTTTGTAATGAGATAGACAAGTGTATTATAAGTGATTTTATTAAATTGAAGTAAAAAATTAGTACTTTTTATTTATTGTTCGAAAGCAGCATATATACTTTCATTTTATATTTTGTCATTTTAGATTGGACATTACAGTCACCTTCTCTTGCTTAAAAATGTACAAGTTACAGATACAGCTGTGTATATGTGTGAAGCTGTCAATGAAGCTGGTATTTATTTATAATATATTAATAATAAAGTTTTCTATTCTGTCTGATGTGAATATTTAAAGACTAAAGTTTAAAATTGTATTAATAATTTATTTATCGGGAATTAAAGCTCATTGAAGTTTTAATGCTGCCTAGATCTGAAAATGAGTAATCATCATTTAAATTAGTATATTTATTATTTTCATATATTTTGAAAAGTACAATTTTGTACAATTGTTCTTGTTCGATTCACTCCAATTGGGATTTATATAATTTTTTAACCAATTTACCTACAGGCAAATCTGTTCGAAACATGGGACTGACTGTTTATAAAAAACCGATCATTGCTCCAGGACCATCGGAAGTCATTACTCTAGTACATGAAACTATTAAGTTGATGTGCATTGTTGATGGAGTACCACAACCAGAGGTATTAATTAAATAAAATTTTAGAACCTGAGTAATGGTGAATCTGCATGTATATAAATATAGATTTATGGAAACAATCCATGAGGTTGATACTCAACATATCTCTTTTGTTGCTGTGTTGCCAGATAAATCATTGTCATATTTAAATCATTGAATATTGTAGAAAATTGTAGAATATCAATACAATTTTCATTCTTTGTTATTTTTGCTGGAATCTCATTTGTAACAATTGCCTCACTTTTTATGTAAGAATTGACTTCTAATCCGAAGACATCTTTGAATGTTATTATTTCGATTATCCAAAGGTATCATACTAAAACACAAGTTGTAGAATTATTTTTAACCTGAAAGATTCGTGATCCTACATTTTATCAGGTTTCATGGTGGAAAGACTCACATGAGATATCATCTACTGATGCTGAAAAATACAGATTTGTTGGTGATTCATTAGAACTCATTGATCTACAATTAGATGATAAGGGAGAATACATGTGTCTCGCTACAAATAATGCTGGGTCAGACCAAAGAAAGATAAATCTCATTGTTCAAGGCAAGAGGACACTTATATTGATATATTTTATTCTCAGTAATTGTTTATTATCAATTGCGACACATGGCCTATGAAAATTATGTTGGGTTTCATAACATGCGATCCCCGTTAGATGGTAAACAATCTACCTGGTACAAAGGACTAATTCTTCCTCTTTGGGAAATATCAATCAAAATCATAGTTTATATAAATATAAATCAGCAAATTTTCCTTGAGGTTTCTCCACAAATGTCTGTTACATATGAATCTTATGTCAATTCAATTAGAGGAAAATTTAATTTGAATCTGAGAAAGGACAAATAGGATATGAAATACATATAGAATATTTTATATAATCTTGAATAAAAATTTGATTGTCTGAAAAAGTTTTGTATGTTGTTACTTTTGTTAAATGTAACATTGCAGAAATACAAATGTGCAAGTATGCAGCAGTATTCTTCCATATCCATGTTCTAAAATGTTTTCAATTCAGAACCACCAACTATTGGTCGAGGTCCAACAAACATTACAGTACTTGCCAATACCCCAGTAACATTGCCTTGTGAAGTGAGTGGAACTCCACAACCTTTAGTCAGATGGCTGAAAAATTCTCATCCATATTACCCATCACAAAAGCTAGGTTACAGGTGATTAAGGAAATGTTATAAAGTTTGCTTTTTATTTGACTTTTGATCAAGATTTTTATTATTCAGTAGTATTTGGGTTTTCCTACCGAGATTTTTTCCAATCATTTTTTAATTAGTATTTGATGCATAATATTTATTGAATTCATTTTTGCAAACATTACGATATTGATTTATTTATTTTCTTTTTATAAATATTCAATATTTTTAGACAACTCGAAATTGGGTCGCTTCAAATCAGTGCTGCATCAGTACAAGATATGGGACTCTATACATGCAATGTTGAGAATGACGCTGGATCTATTTTCCGTGACATAAATCTGATTGTCCAAGGTAAAAATCATATTTATATGATTTAACTTTTAATTTCAAAAATTTTTTTATGAAACATACATAACAACTTTTTTCAGTTCCTCCAAGTATTGCAAACACCATATCAAAATATATTGTACAACCGTTTACTCGTGTACGAATTCCCTGTGATGTATCTGGCATACCTAAACCATCTGTAACATGGACCAGGGATGGAATTTCAGCAGATCAGTATGTTTACATTCATTCTTGTGAACCTACCTCTAGTCTACTAAAACAATAGAAAAAAATAATAGGATTGGATTTACATATTTATCCTGCGAGAGGAAAGCCGAAAGAACGGTTTAATAATATGACGAACCACAGCCTCTTGTCTGGTTACCAGTCCAAGTCAGCCGATAATTTATTTTCCAGATGCATGGACTTGATGGTGGAGGAAGATGTAACCGACCAGCGATTACGCGAACTACCCAACGGTGGCGGGGAGTCCAGTAATCCTTTTGCACATAATTAACCCCGCATGGGATTCCAACCTGCAAACTCATGCAGGGTAATCAAAGGTCCGGTGGCGAGCTTATTCCTAATGGTTAGCACGATGCGCCACACTGCCGAGCTTGCAAATATGAAATGTAGTATGTCTGACTATCATTTTTATGTCTGTTGAAGAAAAACATATTTTGAGGTGAACCTGTATACAAAAATCAATTTGATTATCCAGTTAAGAGTTGCAACTGGGTAGAACATTCTCTGTACAAATCATTGTAATGTCTTGTCTATCTAGACTTATTGGTGTCTACATGAATCCTCGAGACAATTCATTAGATATTCCATCAGTCGGAACATTACATGAAGCGACTTATACATGTACTGCAGAAAATCCAGCAGGTATGTATTCAATACCATTTATTACAATTGTTGTAGACACATGATTACCGAAACTGCATATATGTTTACAGGTCAAGCTACTTACGATGCAGAGGTCAAAGTCCAAACTGCACCTGTGATAGCAAATCCCACACAATCAGTGACAGCTCTGGAAGGAACTACAACGACACTTTCCTGTGAAGCGACAGGAACACCAGAACCTGTTGTTAATTGGAGAAGAGGAACGCAAATCATTGAAATGGATGAAAGACATGAAATGGATTCGAATAATGGATTGAGGATTTCTAATGTTCAGGTCGAAATTTAAGATAGTTTGATAAACACAAATTACATAATATGACATGAATTCAATTAATAAGTGTTTGCTTGACTTAAGGATATGATGGAATTAGAGCCTTAAGTTCTTGTATAGTGTTAATCAGTTATGAACCCTGCATACGAAAATCGTGAGTTTAATCGACTGATGGTATGAATTCTATGTGTAACAATTTTTACTATGATCTGACTTTGCTTAGTATATATTTCCTGCATAATTGGGATAATGTTTTATTTCAATTATCATTAAAAAATATGTGTCATTGATTTATATTATACAAAAAATCATATTCTAAAATATGTAGTATTTTCCCTAACATATATTTTCAGGTTTCTGATAGTGCAAAGTATACATGCGTTGCACAAAACGTTGCTGGAACAGCATTTGGAAAAGTTAAGCTGGATGTTCACGTTCTGCCAAAGATTCTTACTGATCTAAAGCCAAACATGGTTGCTATTGCAGGACAGGTGATCACGTAGTTCATGCGAAATATAAAATACCTAATGCTATGTAACAGACAATAATCCTTATTGGACACAATGTGGACCTATGGTTTTATCATCATGCTGTTGTTGTTGTTAGTATTTTACCCGTTTTGGTGAAAACATCGCTTTTCTGTTCAACTTCTGGATCAATTGCTTTGGAATTTTCAGTGGTTCAGATTGTTTTATCACTATGGCTTCTCGTCTGGTTACCAGTCCCTGTCAGGGTTCGTTAGCATGGAATTGATTTTGGAGAAAGCCGTTACCAACCAGTGGTTAGTGAACCACCAGAGGTGAGGAGTACAGCAATACTCTGACACATAATTATCCCCCACAGGATTCGAACCCGCAAACCCTTACAGGGTAATCAGAGGTGCGGTGGCGAGCATATTCTCAGTGTTTTGCACAATGCACCACAACACCGAGCCATATAATTGAGCACTGCTCTTTTTATTTTTTCAATAGAGCTTTATTGCACACTCGTAGTATATTTAATGTTAAAATATGAAACAAAGTTAATATTTTTTATCATTAACTACAGTATCCAAGCCTTCAATTTGAGATACCAAATAAAAAATAAAAGAATTTATTTACCATTTGCATAGTAGGTTACTAAAATTTAATGTTGTATTTGTATTTGTACTGAAGAACTTTTTTTGCACTAAAACCAAGATTTATGTCAAATTATTTAGTGTCAAAATTGAGAGCAGAATTTTTGAATATTAAGCTATTCATATATAAACATTAATGATAGCAAGTATATTTGTTATGACACAATAAATTTAAATACGTGTTATGTGTAATTTGATGGTTGTTTTTTAGCCATTTACCTTCCCTATATCAACAACTGGAAAACCAAAACCTGCTGTTGGTTGGTCCAAAGATGGCTATGAATTGCTGGAAGATGATTCTCATTATGTAAAGCAAGATGATGGATCGCTTCTCATCCCCATTGTTTTACCTGGTGATGCAGGTATCAATGAAATTTGCTTTTATATTTATATATTTTCATCTTTTTATTAAAACACTCTGTTTAATTCAATTTCTTCTTTGTGACATGATCAGTGTCTTACGTGAATGATTTACAAAAATAAAATATAAAAAAAAGTTAGTACTTGAAAATAAATTATTCTAAATTATAAAGTCATAAACACTTGATTTGTGAGCAAATTTGTTAAATTTTCATTAATCAATGTTTCATGTTCTCAGTGCTGTTCCTGTAGATGAGTAAAGAAAAAATGAGACTTTTTTCCCGTTATAAATGGCCATTAATGGCTATACCATAAAGCCTGACATATATACTCCACCTTTACCCCTGTTACCATACCCACCCTCTTTGCACAACTGTCTGTATAAAGGTTCATATTATACATATTTGATTTATGATATTTTATCCATATCAAAAGGGGTGTATGCCGCACATTCGTGTTTTAGGCCAGTATGGTCTTGTGCATACATCCCGTCTTCAGTATTCATAATTACTAACTCTTTTATATTGCTTTTACGAGACGTATAACATACATACATATCTTCTTGCTTCATTCATAAATGTTTACCCATTTTCCTGGATCTATTTTTAATTGTAGGGAGATACAATGTTACTGCTTTCAACGATGCTGGGTCTACTTCCATAATGACACAACTTGATGTTATTGTTCCACCTGATCTTCGAGCATTGGCATCTGAAATTACTGTGACTCAGGGAAGTCAAATACCACTGGATATAGTAGCTGATGGAAATCCTTTGCCTGAAATAACTTGGACCAAGGATGGGGAACCAGTAAGTAAAATGCAATGGATATTTTATAATCAGGCGCAGAATTTTGCTAGTTGCAGGTCATAAACATGTTGTAATTGGTCACATTATACATTTCAAATTGAATTTAGCTAAATCCAGATGATGAAAGAGTGCAGCAGTTGTCCTACGGATCATTAATAATAAACAATGCAATGTCAACAGATACTGGATATTACACAGCTACTGCTATCAATGATGGTGGCAGAGATTCAATTAAAATAAAAGTATGTATGATTTAGTTGTTATCTTCAACAATTAAACATCTAGTTATATAGTAGTTAGTAGTAGTCTAGTTATCTTTTGTCTATATATTGTATTACTAAATGCTAATAAAAATCAAAATGGTCTGTCAAATTATGGGTCATGATAAGATAGATGAAATTAGAAATATCGATCAAAAATAAAATCAGTATAGAAAATATGACCTGTCCATTTGCATTTGCATGTTTTCATCAAATTTTATGTTTTTATAGGTAACGGTGCAGGTTCCACCCACTTTTACTGTAACGCCTGAAAATCAAAAGAAACAGAGTGGTGATGATATGAGTATGGTTTGTGCTGCAGTAGGATTCCCTACCCCAACAATAACCTGGAAATTTAATGATCAGGTTCTTCCTGCTCAAACTGCAATCAATGATGCTCCTGGAAGCAGTTTGTGAGTTGAAACATATTTTAATTGGACTGATACCTGAGTAACATTTTATGAGAATTGTGCATTTCGTTTGAATCCACTTTTTGATTTTTTTCATTATTATTTTGAACAGCGCAGATATAATTATATGGCTCATTAAGCATGGTATGAAATCAATCAACATTTTCTTCATAGGCAATCCTGGTTTTCAGAGATTTTACATGGGTTAAGGTTTAAGTCAGTTGTTCCCAGCCTTTTTTGCGTTGCGACCCCCTTTGGATATTTTCTAACATGCTGCGACCCCTTGTACGATATATGATGAATTAAAATTAAAATTATTAGGACTTACAAAAGAAAGGATATTAAAGCTTTAATGCGTTCCTGCAAATTAGTTACCTTGAATCAATTCTAATACTATCAATTACTTGATTATCCCAAAAATTAAATTTTTTTAAATGTCCTATCACTGAATTGTCCGACCATTAAGCCGATTTTCAAGAGATAATTTTTCAACCTGATTTACTGGGGTCAGATTATTTGGGTTGATTAGCTTTTGACCAGAAAATACCAGGAGTCAAAATTGGACTGGGTGGTACCGGAAAATACGGTAATGAAAATACATAACTCGTACTTTCACATTACTAATGTTATAGAAAGCTTGCCTACTGTAGACTCAAGATTTCCAGATCAACAATTGATTTTATATTAGAAGATTACCACGAGGTCTCTTAGAGTTGCGCAATTTACACACAACACTTAAAATTAAAAATGGAATAAAAAACATATTCTATGAAATTTGTAATCTACAATAATTTCCAGCCATGAACGCAAAGTTTCTTGTCAAATAATAATCCAAGACACAAGCGGAAAAATTAGACAATTATTGCAATGTTTTCAACTGGGAAAGAATTCAGTCCAATGGAAAAATTTAGCCGTTTTAGGGAGGAACTTTCTCTCATTATATCTCGTAAGCACTTCGTATTGAGTAAATATTGAGCAGGACAAATATTAATTTATTTTTTTATAATAGATCACTTGATCTGTACAAACACGGGAACGCACTTTGCACATTACGTTAGAAAGCAACCTATTAAAGATTAAATAAATAAAGTACTTTTGTTCATTGAGAGGGATGGAGCCATGGAGGGTTCCAAAATAGGTGAAAGCAAGAATCCCATTAAAAAGGATAAGATGTCAAGGTGGTGAGAGTGTTCTGAAGTGGGAGACCTCAGTTTGATTCTGGGATTGGTCAACCCAAAGCCTTAAAAATTGGTTTCCATCGTTTCTCGTTTTTTATTGCTCTGCCTGTAAACAAATTTCTTTTTTCCACAGTCATTAGAATAGATTTTATAGAAAAAAGTCTTACATAAAATTATTTTGTTCTGCCAACACCGAAAAGTGCTAGGTAGCGACACCCAGTTTGCGAATCACTGGTTTAGGGTGACATATGCTTTTGTTCAATTTCTTTCATCTAGTTGAATTGCTTAAAAGCTTAAATAAATATCACTTCATAATCGGTATTGCTCGCAAACAAAATTCTATGTACCATAGTACTATAACAGATTTTTGACATCTTTAAAAGACATTCGATTCATTGACATAATGTATTTTCCTATTCCTAACTTCTATTTTATACAGAACATTAATATTTTAGCATAAAGTAAGCTATAGCCTTTTCAAATTCAATTAAAATACCAAAATGTGATGCTATTATTCATGAGAATACGTGGTTAGCAAAGGTATTTATTTTAAATATATAGTAATAATGAGTAGTTTTCATTCAAATGAATAACGAATTATTTTCACTAACTGTGACTTATTATTTTCCTCCATTGTTCTCTGTTATTGTTGTAAATATCTTATAGTAGATGAGCTGTATGTATTTTTTCATGATTTTTTTACAAATTCAATTTTACCACTTCAGATTGTTCATTGAAAATGTGAGAAGTCAAGATTCCGGAGATTATGTATGTCAAGCAAGTAATCAAGCAGGAATTATTGCTCATTTGGCATCTGTGACTGTTGATTCTCCACCGGTTTTTACAAATGAGCACGATCCAGATGTATATGCAAGACTTGGAACAACTGCAAGACTTGATTGCCCGGTTTCATCCAATCCTGCTCCCACTATAACATGGACTAAAGATGGAAGAGTGAGTTTCAACTTTGAATTACAGAAAAACCGAGATTTCTTTATTCCTGACAATGAAAATATAATCATTATTTCCTATTCAGATCATTGGTTCCATATCATTCAATTCGTTATCTAGTGATATATAATATTATCATTACAAACCTTTCAAATTTCACAATCGAATGCTAGCTTAAAAAGCCTTATATTTTCAATGATAATAATGAGCATCCGACTAACTTTTGCTTCTGTTATTTGAATTAGTTCATCTGGAAAAACTAGAAATTGGATGAAAGAAATTTTTTGGAACCATTTCTTTATTTATTTTTAAAAAAGGAGCTCTCACGTAGTGGTAGATATGAAATACTGTCGAATGGATCTTTGATTATATATCGTACTGAGGAAAATGATGCCGGTGATTATAAATGTGTCGCAACAAATGAAGCCGGGAGTGTAAGTATTATGAAAATAGTAATGAAAATGAAAAAAAAATATTGAGTCAATATCTCTATGTAATAGAAATTTGGCATCAAAATAAACAATCTGTGTGTTTGTGGATGTATATTTATTTTAATCCTGAGTTATAAAGTACTGTAAGCCAAATTATAAGGAAAAATTGAAATAATCTTTTTTGAAAAGGAAATATGTGTTGCAAATTTTCATACATTTTCACATGAGTTGCACAATACTTGATGGTTTAGAGCAGAGGTTCTCAAACTTTTGGTGTTAAGGAGCCCCTGAAGAGGATGACTATTATTCACGGAGCCCCACAATAAATTTTAAAATTGTTACTTACCAATTAATATTCCTTACAAGGCATGAATAAATCTAAATTTCATAGATAAATTATATATTTTAAGGCTGTAAATTTGACACTTGATAAACATAATAATAAATTCGGGGTCGAACCTCCCTTCTGATATTTTTGAAAACTGAAAAATCTATAATACTGTGAGCGATTGCATCTTGATAAAATCGCCGATTATTTTTGTCAGTTAGATATGTTTTTTAGTCCGTAAACATTTGCATGTCGGTGTTTATTCTTCTTAAATCACAAATTTTCCTCGGCATATGCATAAATTGTTCCACAAGGATTGGGCGAGGACAATAATTGCTTTTTGATCTTGTGTGGAAATATGAGTTCAGTGTAAAAAACATGGCATTTTAAATATGCCCCCATTGGTCAGTGATTGTGCAATTGTGAGTGATACTCATGGAGATTTTAACGCCGACCTTGAGATTCTATCGTGCTTAAAAATAATCTTCTGTGCTGAAAGATCAAATCCAATTTGACAAATCCCAAGATCATGAAAATACGATTTCCATCTATTTATAGTTGGTACTTGGCAGTTCAGAACGATTATTATGTTATTTTAGAATAGTAATCTTTCATTTTAGTAATCGTAATAGTAATATAGACGCAAAGACGAGTAGCGATGAACACAATTGAATTATCGTGCTCGCGTCGGCCATAGATTGAATATTTTACGCAACAGAAAACCTGTTATCTGCTTAAAAAGTCTTTTTTCAACGAGTGGCCTCATCGCGAAGAATGTTGTGCGAGAATTTTCGATTTCAATTTTGAACACCCACCTCCCTCTCTTTTAAACTCCTGGCTCGCTTCTGCTTGTAGATAATTTCATATTTGAATTACCGCCTTGCGATATTTCGCCGCTAATATTGTCACATTTTATTAATGCCGTTATTGCGTCTTTGGACAGTTACAAAATTAGCCAAGTAATTGAATAGCCCGCGGAGCCTTTAGGTTTCTCTCACGGAGCCCTAGGGCTCCGTACGGAGCACTTTGAGAACCTTTGGTTTAGATATTCATTGATGATTTCAATCAAGACATACCTTCAGCTTTGTATGTCAAAGTATATTTTTGCTTTGCGTCTTATTTAAATCAGAATTAATGACCAATTGCATAATAAAATATCTGATGTAGACATGACTTATTTGAGTTTTTATTGAAATGAAAAACTTCATATAGATTGACCGAACAACAAAACTTATTCTGGAACTCGCACCATCATTTTTAACCAGACCAAGTGATACAGTTGCAGTATCAGGCAGCAATGTTATAATGAACTGCACTGCTCATGGTGTTCCAACACCAAATATACGTAAGTAATTCACTGTTTTTATCTTGTATGTTGAAAGTCACAAGTTGTGGGCCACAAATATTTTCTGATTCTTTTTGCTGTAATTGTTCACAATTCTCGTTTTGCATTAAAAAAATGTTTCATTACATTAATTTGTGCATTTTCTTTGTAAAATTGTGCCTATGCCAGTAATAAGGCTGTTTTTGATTTCATTACCCGTAAGTGTGTTGAACAATGTAGAAAATCTTTTCTACTTCAATATATTTATTCATATTTCCATATTATTTATATTGTAGAAGAAAAAACCTAGAAGTAGCAAAATAGATTAAGATTTCTTTCTAATACTGAACTTCTCATGCTAAAATTTTTTTTAGAATGGAGGAAATCGAATCGAGCACTGCCAACTGATGGGCGATTCACTGTTCTTCACAATAATTCATTACAAATTGCAACTATTCAATTGGAAGACACAGGACAGTATAGTTGTATTGCTACAAATGAAATTGGGTCGAGAATGGCAAAAGCATCTTTAGTGGTTAAGGTAAAATTTATTCTATTTGATGCAAACACGTGGTTTGGTGGACTTGACCCTAAAATTGACCAATGGAAACATGAAACATGAATTATTTGGTTGAAATGTCATGAATAATTCAGATGCTAATTGCCACACTTTCACATTTTGTGCAAACCAGTAGATAGTCTAAAGATAGCAACTGACAGGTCTTGAAACAATTCAACTCAATACTGCTTTGGAAACAGCTGCTTGAGTAAAACAGTTGACATAAAAAGCGAGTACCTCTAGAACAGGGACAGGGAATCTTCTTGGTATTCTTGGAAACACAAAATAAGGGAAACACTTGGCTGCCAAAGATTTGGATTTAAAAAAATTGCATAATATCTTGAGCGAGTGGGAGCAAGTATTGTGGTCTACTCTATCATGTAAAAGCAACCTTGTCCACCATTTAAATTGCAAAGTTTGTTTCCAAATGGTATAGATAAGAACTTATGGCTAATTTAGTGCAATCACTGCAAGCCTTACTGTGGGAACGAAGCTTAGATCAGCAAAGTCTGATGACTTGATACAATACATATCATGTTATTGAGTTCTTTTCTGTTCTTCACCCAACTTCAGTTGACTATGATTGAGGACTACTGATAAATTCATAGCGGTTTGTTCATCAAATATTAAAAAATTATACTTCAATAAAAGTACGTACTTTTAGCTGAATTTTTTATTTATTGAACGAAAATTCTTAAATTTTTTTCATCAAAACTTAATCTGACCAGGAAGTTATTTTAAAGTGTAAAAAAGCAATCATTAGTATGAAATTAATTAAGCTATGTCCATCAGTCTATTTATTCTTCTTCTTGTCCATGAGTGATGACATAGCAGAGGGCTTTGTAGTCAAGGTTTCCAGCAACATCGATGGGTGCGATTTCCATGACTTGGTCAACTTCTTCTTTGGTAAATCTTTTTCCTTGAGTTGTAAACATTTCTGTAACGATGTCCTTGTGGATGACGCCAGTGTTTTCAGGATCAAGGATCTTGAAAGCTTGAACAAGAGTATCTTCTGGGTCAGTTCCTTGAAGTTTGTCTGCTAACATGTTCAAGAAAACAGTGAAGTTGATTGCACTTGGTGCTTCCAAAATCATAGCTTCCAATTTTTCCATTTTGATGTCACGCACTCCAAGAGCGGAGTATGTGTCCTTGAGGTCAATTTTGTCAATGAATCCATCACGATTTGCATCAATCATTGAGAAAGCCTCCTTGAATTCTTGAATTTGATTTTGGTCAAACATTGAGAAGACATTGGAGTTAGCTTTTTGTTCCTTCTTTGCTCCCTTCTTTCCCCCTTTCTTTGGTGCCATTTTGATTCAGTGAAGAACAATTAAACAACTAGAAGAGAAGATTCTACTTTGTTAATGCAGAAGCTGGAATGATATCTCTGTTCAACTACGGTTAACTTTTATATTAGTTTTGGTGCTAATTTCAACTCACATTCAACATGCCAAAGTGTGAAAAATGAAGTGTGAAAATATGTTGTCACTTGTGGTAATAATAGTATTTTGCATATGTGCACATTTGGCAAAGGTGTTAATCAAATGCATATGTTTTTGATCAGTTTATATTTTGATTTGTTAAGATCTAAGTTAGAATTTTTTATGTCTTTCAAATACTTACCGGTAATATAAGTTTGTTAAAATGGCCTCAATCTTTTAATTCTTAATTTTTGAATGGACATGGCAAAAGTTTAATGAGATATCACTTCATTATCGTAGATTAGCTCTAAATTCCTGATTCTTCAAATGGGTTAGAATGTTTCAAATCATGAATGTACTTGAAACTGATTTATGACAATTGATTAGAGCTACTAGTGATGTTAATATTTTAGGTACATGGTCAATTTGGTGAATGGAAACCATTCGGTGCTTGTTCAACAACTTGCGGAACTGGTTCTAGAACAAGGATAAGATTCTGTAATTCACCACCACCAGCTAATGGCGGAAATGATTGTGTGAAAAATAGTGAAGACAGTACACCATGCGAACAAGGACCTTGCCCTGGTAATTCTTTCTTTTTATTATTCTTGTTGCGAATTGAACGATATGCTTTTTATTACCAATTGAGAAGTTCCATAAATTTACACAGTTTAACATTTCCGGAAATTTTTTTGCCTGGTCAATCGGGGAATACCCGACGAGTCATTTGGTGGGTTTTATGGTTGTCACATATAAGCTCTAGTGGATGTTTGTTGGTGGTTGCCAAGGCCGTACTTATCAATGATAACAGTCTTTAAAAACTTAATTCCTGAGTTCATAAGTTTATTAGATATTAGACCTTAAGTGTCCCTGCTCGATAACCAGTTTTGATTCCCCTCGGCTTTTTCCCCCCTGTAGATTTTATGTAGAATTTTTTTTCTTTCTATATTTTCTATTTTTGACTGAATGGAAAAAATAAACTCGGCTATGGGGTTCAAATAGGTAAAAACTTAATTCACATAGGATATTCTTCTTATATTCTGCATTTTGTAGGAACTATCTAATGACTGTTAAATATGAGCAGTAGATATCTCTTCAAAGATTAGCGTACATAATAGGTATATTAAATATTTTAGTTAATGGTGGATGGGGCGAATATGGTTCTTGGGAGCCTTGTTCTGTTACCTGCGGCCAAGGTCATGAAATGAGACTGAGAGAATGCAGTAATCCAACACCTCAATATGGAGGCCTTCCGTGTTCTGGAGATGGATTTGAAAAACGACTATGTAGAAAAACACCTTGTGGAGGTGAGATCTTTGCTGACACTCATAATCTAAAATTGAATTATAGCAATTTAATGATGCAAATAGGTATGACGTCATTGACAGATGTCCATGTCTGATATCTAGTTTTGCGCAGTGAAGGAAAGAGGGGTTGGGTAGGATGGAATTTTCACATTAATTACAGGATAGAGAAAAGCTGTTAAAATAGTCTAATCATATTATAAACCACGCCTCTCATTCTGTTACCAGTTTATGTATGGAATGGAAATAACTAGCCAGTTTGGAATATATTAATTTTAATTTTGAGTCTCAAATCAAAGGTGTGGCATGTGAATAGAATTTTATGTTCCAAATAATGTTGAGACAAATATCAAAAAGTTAATATCATTACATTATGATGGGATTGGGTTTTCATATTGATCCTTGAGCAGGCAAATATGATGGCTTGATATCGTCACCAATCTTATCGTTTTAGTCCGAAAATTAAATTCTGGAGGCTTCTGTACCTGATTAGGGTTTGATTGAACCATTCTATTACAGCAAGCAGTCCCGCAAACAGCAATTTCTCCACTTATACTTATGGGAATCTTCTATCCTGTACACATTAATCTGTTAATGATGTGCTTCTAATAATAATCAACGAGCCTATCAAGGTTTATTCTAATAATTATCATAAAAAATCAACCACAGGGTACACCAAAAATTTAATTGGGGCATGTACCAATTGGTTAGTAAATTTTAAAATTCTTGAAGATCAATATAATTTTGATATTATGTATTTTATAGTATATTGAGGCATACATTATGTACTTACCTACATAGAACTGAATAAACCAAATTTTAGTGGATGGTGGTTGGAGTAAATGGAGTGCATGGTTGCCATGCAGTGCTACATGTGATGAAGGTGTATCAGTACGAAACCGTGCATGCAACAATCCTGCACCAACAACAGGAGGAAGAAAATGTGAAGGATCCGACACCATGTCTAGAATTTGTAATTTGAAAAATTGTCCAGGTACTATTATTTCTTATATAGCTAAATGTTTTATTTATTGTCAGTCATTGGTATAGAAAATATAATTGCTACCTGACATGGAACAATGTCATTTTCTGGTAAAGTTTAATGTCACCATTTTAGTTTAGTTAATATGCAGAAATAGGAATACTGTCCACTATTGAATGTCACATAAGTCAAACATTCTTTCATGTTTTCATAAGATGTACTTGCGTGGCCATCAACCCAATGAAATGTCTGTTTAATGCATCAAATCTCTTATTTAGTAAATGGCAATTGGGGTACATGGGCAGCATTCAGCATATGCTCTGTGTCATGTGGAGGTGGTACTCGTGATCGAATAAGAACATGTTCTAATCCAGCACCAGGTTTTGGTGGAGAATTGTGTCCTGGATCAAATATACAACTTGATAATTGCAATGCCGAACCTTGTCCAGGTGAATGCATTTACTTAAATGCTAAACTGATTATACACAAATTTTATTTATTCAATTCATTTTACAATTGAGTTTTCTTCTCTTATTGTCGCATGTTCTGAAAAAAGTATTTTTGGCCTCTGATTTGTGAATTTGCTAGATGGGTACAAATATTTTTTTTATATTCAGAGAACCTTGTAAGCCGTTTTTCTAGTTTTGACTTTATTGCTCAACTTCTGATATTTATTGACAAATTGTTTTTTAATATGATAATAGTGAATGGAAACTGGGGTTCATGGGGAGTGTGGTCGTCATGTTCTCAATCATGCGGAGGTGGGCAGCGTAGAAAATATAGGTCATGTGCTGAACCAAGACCAAGATATGGAGGAAGATATTGTCCCGGAACCGATGTTACAATGCAGTCTTGCGGTTTAATACCATGTCCAGGTAAATATATATTATAAGTTCATCATGATGCTATAAGTAATTTATTTTGAATGATGTATAAAATTATATGTTAAAGTTATATCTAGTTCAATGTGAACAATAATCACATCAGCAAATAGTGTGGAAGTTGGATTTCGATGACCGCATCACTCCCTCCTGTCCATATCAAAGCAATTTTTATTTATCTCGTATTTTTTTCGTGTTGATGACTGTTTGTATTTTGATTGACAAAATAATAAATATCACTCTCTCTCTCTTTTCTATGCGGAACCAGGTTCTGTGGGTGGGATCAATATTGTACTTGATCAAAGTGTAGTATAATATATACACAATTTTACACATGCTCTCTGAACTATACAATAAATCTGATGTAAAGTGTCGAATAGTAGGAATATTTTTTTTTATCAGCAGACTCATTTTTTGTCTTTATTTTATAATTTCATATTGTGATAATCCATACTGACAGTTTGATCACAGCGTAAATAAAATGGTCAGGAGTCTTGGTGACCTGTAAAGGTCTTGCATACTGGCAATCACGATTCAATGTTTAACTATTCACTGCACTGTGTTTCGATAAAAATCTGTACTATTGTTCTTTTTTAACATTGTTTTGTGGAAATAAAATCTCTATCTCTCTGGTTATATTAGGCTATTATGTTAGATTTTATTTGTATAATTGAATGTGCTAAATATATTTTAGAGGATGGTGGTTGGAGTGAATGGTCTGAATGGACTCCATGTTTGGTGACCTGCGGAAGTGGTATTCGAAACAGAAAGAGAACATGTACAAATCCAGTACCACAATATAATGGAAAGTTTTGTGACGATGATTCAACTCAAACAGATCAGTGCTCATTACAACCATGTCCAGGTTCATAACAATCAGCTGATTACATCTTTTTTTTTCTGTTGTCAATTTAATTTATTATTTTATGCTAACTGAAATAGAATTATATCATATTGGGCATAGACTTTCTGGGATTGTTTTTAGTAAATAGGCTATCTATAATTTTGTATTCCTAATTTTTTTAAGATGGACCAAGAACCGCAATTGGAACGTTATATGGAAATGTAAATGATGTACCTATTATTGGTTCAAGTATTTTGTCTCACGGAACTCCGATTGGTGATGATAAAGTTCGTGTTGTATCAGTTATCAAGGATATTCCCAAAGCAATTGGTGAATATATAGATATAATTAATTGAAGAAGCTATTTTAATACAAAAACATACTTTTTGATATACATTTTTTCATAATTACACCAACTCACCCAGGCATGCGCATATTATTGCAATAAAGCTCGTAATTTTAAACTACTGTTCTGCCATGCTGTCATTAAAGTTTAAGTCAAGTTTCATCAAACTGACAAGAGAGTCCTGAGTGAAAAATTGATTTTAATAACCTGTCTATTTGAACTCAATTTCAGCACTATACTTCCTGACACAATTTTAGCTCTTTCCTTGTAAGAAAAAATTCAAGGGATTCAAGTCAAAATTATTTAACATAATTTATCAGGTGAAGACTTAAGAAATCAAGTTTCAATTTTAACACCAATATACTGGACATTCGCAAAGGAAATAGAAGGTGCATACAATGGACATACATTGACTGGAGGAAATTTTGAACGACATGTGAATGTATGCTGCTATTCATTTTTCAAACAATATAGTACAGTGTTTCTAAAGTACTTTAATTTCTTATATTTGATATTTTAACTTGTTTACATATTACCATATTAACATTGTAATCTAAATCTATGTTGTACTCGCTTTTGTTTTCATTTCCACCTTTTCACGTGGAGCTAAGTAATTATATGTTGTATATTCATGACCTTACTTTCTATAATACGAAAAATGTTTTAGGTGGAATTTCCAAGTGGGCAACTTGTTGAAATGTTCCACGATGCAAAAGGAATAGACAAGGAAGGAAACCTAGTTGTGGACATTCAAATTAATGGAGATGTTCCAATGTTCCCCCCAGATATTGATCTCAGCATTAAAGTGAGCATAAAATAATTGTTTATAAAATTTAAAAGTATACAAGGAAATGAATAAAAATTTGGCATTCCAATTGGATGATCAAATATATGTGACTTCTTATAATATGTAGAAGACATTATATGCTATATTTCATAAATACAAAACGTTGCAAGGAATTTTCACAATTCAAAGTTGTTAAAGTTTTAAAACTACAAAACACCTTTTGTGTTACATTTCATATTTTTCGTAGAAGATGATTTTGTCAATTAGTAAAGTACTTTAGTAATCTGAATTTACATTGCAAACTTGAAAACAACCCATTTGACAATTGGAAATAAAAATTCAATTCTATTTTTTATTAAATTTTTTCAGGATTATTTTGAAGATTACATTCAAACAGGACCGGATTCTTTGTATGCATTTTCTGATCGTTTTTATACAATTAACAATGAAATTATGCTGTACACTTGGAATCATTCAATATACTATGATGAATCTCATGGCGTGGTAGGAAAAATGGATATAATTTCGTTTGCATGGCATTAAGAATATATGTCCAAGAAGCAGAGCCTGGAGTATTTTCATATTTTTATATTTTCATTTGAATCCAGATAATTTGATCTTATTATAAAATTATATTATTATCACATTGTCTAATATTTTATTCCTCTCATTTTTCAAATCGATTTGGGTAACCAGAGTCAATAGAAAGTAATTTGTGTTGACCTTAGTTTTGGTTTTCCAAAATAATTTTTACTGTGATACAGTGGCCATCTATATATCTGTTGAATGATTTTATTTATGATTTCTGAGAGCAGATATTACGAAGTTAAACAATCTCAACTTAGTAGTTATTATAATAATTAACCCATTCATTACTTGGTAACAAATTGTCTTATTCTTAATAATCTATTACTTTCTATTCAGTAAATTTATTTCCTCTCATGCAATGCATATATCGATATATATAATATGTATATTTATATACTTGAGTACCGAGCATTAAATGCTGATAACTGCTGCCGGTACCATGATTCAAGATTATAATTTTTTTAGATGCCATATCTTGTGGAACAACTATTTGGAACAGACATTGTTGCCAAATATGATCCAGAAACACTTGAGCTCATGTTCCAGATTGATGTGACAATAGGGAAAGGAGATCCCAGTAATGAATGTCCACATGGTTTTGTACTTGATCCAACTGGACAATATTGCAATGGTAAACTTCCTAACATACAACATGATACATTATAATGTGTTAGCGCTATTACTTTATGTATCTATTGAAACTTATTATTGTTTTATTTAAAATTTACATAGGCATATTCAAACCCCTGAAATACCCCTTTTTGCTCTTTGAAGATATCAGAATGCCAAAAAACATGTTAACATTAGTCATAATGTGATGTGGTTTTGTGAGGAAATGTTATCTTACGTGCCATGTACTAGTTTTAACTTTTTTATTTGTCATTCAAATGTTGAAAGTATGCATGTATATGTCAAATTTATTAATCTTCGTATTGATGCTGGTTCCTGCTAGACAAAAAAATGTTTTTTTTATAAGCAATCCGAGAATAACATTTAAAGCATGGAATTCCAAATCATGCAGAATCCGTTTTGTCTAAAACTAGAAGTGATCCGTATTAAGAACAGTACTTTCACACCCAATACCATCTGAACCTATGTGTAATTCATTGTCTTAAAGATGAAGATGAATGTAACACAAGACAACCATGTTCACACATTTGCCACAACCTGATCGGATCATACAGTTGTGAATGTCCAGATGGATTCCACATTGGAATGGATGGCGACACTTGCAAAGGTACAGAAATTTTAAATTGAAATGTAGTAGTTATCAGTGGTTACTTTGTTGAACTTTTATACACATAAATCATTGTGCATCATGAAGAAAAAGAATGCATCAAATTTGTATGGTTAAATAGAATCTGTTATTGGCTTCTGTTATTTCCTTCTGCAATGTCTAGTAACTACCTGTAGATTTCAAATTCGTTGATTTTAATTTTTAGATATTGATGAATGTGAGGAAAGCTCTTATGACTGTGAAGCTCCATATGTATGCAAAAATACACGGGGTTCGTACAGATGTGAAATAACTTGTGGACCAGGACTTCTAATATCTGAAGATGGCCAGCATTGTACAGGTTTGTGATCTATTTTACCATGGTCACATGCTGTATTTTTATTTACAATCATTATTAGGTTCTGAAAATTCTTTCCCATTTACCAGATCAGGGTGGTCCAAACCCAGGCCCGCGGGCCACAAGTGGCCCGCCGCTTCATTATCTGTGGCCCGCTCCGCATTCGAAGAGTAATTAAAATATTGTATTTTAAATTGCTTCTCATAAAATAATTCAGAAAAATTCGACATATTGTTGTTATATCACCACTTTGACTGAATTGACTAGTATGATGGCTAGCTGAAGCAACTATCGAAGTTGAATGATGTGATGGGCAGTTTAAATTGTTACCTGGATTTTTATCGTTTTGGTTGGGAATATATGCTTACAATATAGGCATGATAGAAAACTAAAAATCGAATGTGAATTCTATAGTCTAGGTTTGCAATGCCTGTTAACTATGTGTTTACACTAAGAAGTGCTTGTTTTGTACAACACTGTTTGGTACTCCTGAAGTATGTGCACCAAGATGTCGCACAACCTGAACCCTGACCTGGTACACAACCTGAGTTCAGGTTGTGCACCATCTTGGTGTGCATACTTCAGGAGGTCTCACTGTTTACCTATTCTTGGTATGGTACTATTGTGGCCCGCGACCAATGCCAAAATAATTGTGTTGCCTGCGGAGCTCACAACCTTGGACCACCCTGCTCTAGATCATACCATTCTTTACCAATCACTCATGGTATGCTTGCACAATTAGAGCATTAAAATGATGTGATAGTGAATCCTGGAATTTCTGTATTAAAAAACTCTTAATTTTTTTTTCAATTCATTGCCAGATATGCTGAAACTGTTAAACCTCTTATACCAAATGATTTTTTTTCTACACTAAAGAAGCATCAATCATTCAATGCGCTGTTCAACGAACAGTAATCACCCAATAAATGTATGAATCATTTCCAACAGCTGTTCAATGTCATTTATGCTAGAGCCAACCCTTGTTAGATCCATGACAATGCGTTTTGCAGCACATATACATGAGCATGAGCACATTTAGGCAAACCTTATCAATATGCCTCAATTGCCAAACAAATATCCGTACTACTTGTCAGTTATCCCACTTTTTCAATAAAAACCAAAGCCCTTTCATGGAGTGCCAATCATGAATATTTGATTTGATCACCATTTTTACTAGATATAAATGAATGTGAAGGAAATCGTGAAAGGATATGTGAACACATTTGCAATAATACCTATGGATCATTCAGATGTAGTTGTAGACTAGGATATCAACGTTCTGATGAAACAAGTTGTGAAGGTAGGATAAACTACTAGAAAGGAGTGATAACTATTCAAGATAATCTCAGTAGTCATAATTCTAAAAGTTGATGTATTTCATATCCATCATTTTATTCAATTTTTCTAAAAATGATGAATTTTATTTATCCATAATTAAGACATCGATGAATGTACCAGGGGTGCATGTTATGGAGATATCACTCAATGTCACAATACAGCTGGATCTTACTTTTGTACGAACAGTTGCCCTGCAGGATTTTATCTTAATCAAGAAACTGAAACATGCCTTGGTAAGTATGCTTAATCCATCTGTTTTATTGAAAATGATGAAACTATTCCTATTTGCTTTGAGAATATTGATAATGGTGTTAATTACTTCCAATAATTTTGAATAATGTACCACCAATCTTCATGTTGAATCATTGCAGAATTTAGGTAAAATTAGTGAACTTATATCTGTGATAATGTTTGCAATGGTTCAATACTTTTGCCTTGTATGCTTGCATTTACATGGTGGTGGTTAAATAGTTTAAATAGTAATAGTGTATGTATAGTGTATTTTCAACTTCATTCTTCAGTATTTCGATCATGCACCAGCACAACATGAGGTCTTTTATGATCAAATGTAATATTTTCTTTGTAGACATAGATGAGTGTGGTACTGAAGAACTCAATCGTTGTGATCATTTATGTGAGAATGTAGATGGATCATACAGATGTTTATGTAACGATGGTTATACGATGGACAGGAATACTGGACTATGTATAGGTATGGTTCTTCTGCTGGAATATGTCGTGATGTATGTAAAAAAAAATAAAACACTGTATTTATGACTCACACTAATTCTGAGTGATGATAAAGTAAAGTTATAGTTGAATTCCATGAAATCAAATCTTTTCAGATGCATTTTTAGAGTGCAATTTATAGTTTCACAAAACCGATATTCACTTTTTGATAGACCGAGATGAGTGTGCTGATGGACGAGGTCCTTGCCAATATGGTTGCGCAAACCTTGAGGGTACTTATAGATGCTTCTGTCCAAAAGGTTACAGACTGAGTTACAATGAACACTCTTGTGAAGGTGATGTATAATTTCAATTAACTATTGCTGCTCATATGCCTTGTCAGCTCTAAATATGTATACCTCTAACATGGTATATATTTATAATATACTTGTATTGTGATGAAATTGCTATTGTGGTGAACTATTAACAGGTTAGCAAGGTTTAGGCTTTACCAATACAAATGCATGCGAGTTAGATATACACCTGCTGATATCATTATTTTGTTATTCTACAATTATGTTTATATGGTGACACAATTGATATGTGGGTTTATGGTGAACTCTAGTATCCTATATGTGTATAAAATACTTGTCTGGTGAAACAATTGCTAAGGGGGTTTGTCATGAACTATTAATAGGTTAGGAAGGTTTTGGCTTTTTCAGGACAATTGCATGTAAGTTTTATGTTCGCCTGCTGATTTTTACCGTTTTTTTATTGTACAAATATGTTGTTTTGGTGTAAAGGGGTTTGTGGTGAACTACTAACAGGTTAGCAAGGTTTAGTCTTTACCAATTCAAATACATTCATGTACGCCTGTTGATATCACTATTTTGTTGTTCTACAATTATATCCTGCGATTAATTTTGATAATTTCAAGTGATATTTGGATTCAGTATTTTAATTTTATATATATATTGGACATAAATTTTGTATCTCACTGCGAAATGATGAACTTCTCAGAATATTTCATTTTCCTATTTAGATATTGATGAATGTAAAGAAGGACTAGCAAAATGTGTTGGAAGAGATGTTATGTGTGCTAATTCACTTGGTGATTTTAGATGTGTAAATACGAGATGTCCTCCCAATTACAAGAGACATAATGGGTAGATATAAGAGTCTATTGATTCAATATTACTATGTCGGTGCCAATTTTTTATATGCTACTTTATTGATCAAGTTTTGATATGTGGCCTCTGTACTTGTTTATGCACATAGAGTACCTTCCCTCTATATCACAAATTGCTAGGCAACAAACTCCTAGACAGAATCAGTTTACATGTTACATATAATGTCCCATAAGGTTCTATTCCCATATCGAACTTTCTGGAGTGTGGTTCAGTATATAATTAGTTAATTATAACTTTTTCCACCAACAATATTCATCAGTTTGGATTATAATCCATAGTAATACTAATCTGGATAAGTATCCCAATGTTGGCATTTTATATATTTCTGATACCCATTCCATTATATTCTGCTGAGTTTTTATGAAAAAAAATCTTTACGTCTTGTTAATTTGAACAATCATACACTGGAATTTGAACAATCCTATCAACAATATCATACATTATCAGTGGAATAATTTTTTAATTTACAGAATTTGTACAAGAGATTGTCTTGGCGATGAGTGTGAAAATAAATTTAAGAGTGTGATTCGTTACAACTCTACCTATTTGAGAGTTGGAGTTCCCAAAGACCAAGATTTGCTTGAGCTAGCTGTTTCCTATACAAATCCAACAGGATCACATCAGTTACACAGCAATACCATGTGAGAATTTGTTGAAGTTAACGGTTCATTGAAATGTTCTCGTTCATTATTTTCTTCACCCTTGGATTTGTGAAGAATTTTAATATTTTGATTAAGTACTATAACGAGTTGAAATGTTTTAATCAGCTAATATTCTGATTATGATAAATGCATTGTTTACAATGTTATAAAAACATATCATGGTAACATCGTCATGAGCAATCTGAGGCTGCCATAAGTCATTGACTACAACCACTGCTACATCTTTTTTAAAACTAATGCATGCTCTATGATTGCAGCTTCCGACTTCTTACACCAGCTTACGACCGAGCCTACAGACTGTTCGGACTTCGTGTGATAGATGATGAACGTGGCATAGTTTACACGAAACAAGCCATCACACGAAGTCATATTGACTGGTATAAACTTCGAGTTAGTGCTCGTTCCCGCTCTTCTGTTGATGGAAGCACTGAATATGAGACCATATTCAGTCTCTTCATAAATGTTGCTCCAAATCCTTTTGTTTGAACAATGCTGCCTCTGACACTCCGAAACTGCTTTAATTTTCATAAGGTGTGATAGATAGTTCCCTCTCTTATTTGTTCTATTTCGTGTTTTCATAGAAATTTTTAGAATGCTGGCAATTCGCCAACTTCTTTACACGATGTCCAATGATTTGTGACGCCGTGCGAGTGAGGAGATCAATACTGACGAATGAGAACAACCCGCTATACGAACTTACCAATTCAATTTTGTAAAATATTTTGCCGAAATATTTCGCTTAATATTAGGATTGTAAATATTGCATAAACACCAAGTTTCTTCATTTTCTTCTTCAATAAATATCAATCAGCTCAGTTTGTTTTGGTAAAATATGAGGAATGTGAAAGTGATTCTGAAGAGGCGCGAAGACAATAAAAACAACTTAATTTTTGTGTCAACCAGCCAGTCACGCATGTACTAATCTGAGCATGCTCGACAGTTGGTGCATTGTGCTAAACATCAAAAAGCAAAGCTATCTCGCGGCTAGTTCCCTTCACAGGCGATACAGACTTGAATGGCGTTTGGGTTCATGTGCGCGTCATAGACATTGTAAAATTGCTAAGTGAAGCAACAAAACTCGTCATCCTCTTTGCAGTGTCCAAAATTTAATAATATATAATAATATTATACAGCTATTTTGAATTTCTCAAAATCAGCAAACAAATATTTTAGAAATCTGTCGACGCATTCAGTTTTAATCTTTTTCACAAAGAAAAGAAAATCGATTTGTGCATGAAATATGGACCATCTTCCAAATCAATGTATTGCCCATAATCGCGCAGCTTCCATTTCTTTGATTGTTATTTGAGTCATTTTTATTCCAGTCAGTATTATTCCACTTTGGAGGTGTTCCGTCTGACCTAATCCAACTCCCTTCATGTGCTGAGTCGGGTAGACCGATCCAAACATTTTTTGTAGTTCCATCTAGCACGTTAGACTGAAGTTCTCTGTATTACAATTTCAAATGTAACAGGTAATCGGAAGGATGCGACAATATTTCATAATAATACCAGAGGACAATGAGAAGTCTATGTTATTAGATATATCTCTTGACACAAAAACATACTACGCTACGGAATAGTTCTAGGTGTGCACACGTTAACAAAGCACGGCAGACCCACTGTAGGAGGCACTGCAATCAAGTTTATCGTTTCTTATCGTGGTAGCTAATACATTATCATGATCGGTTATCATGGTAGCACTTAATTACGTTATAAAAGTTCATCCAATTATACTTTCGAGAGTGATGTACATAAAATATGTAGGCCCTATCTGTTTTCATATGGTAAGAGTATATACCTTCGGCTATCATTGTTTGATAATTCAGAAGCGAGTCTGGAACCTAGAATCTTGCACTTTTCACTTGCCTCATCATAAGTAACCATAATACGAAAAAACTTGTACAGCATGTTGTTTGTTGCCAGATACCAACTCCTTGTTTGAGACTCGTACATAGTTTTCTCTACCTTACTCTTTTTTGATGAATTCATTAAAGAAATCTAAAAATTTTATAATTTAGCTTAAAAATAAAAATTACTTTCGTAGAAAAGGTTAAGTTTTAGGATATTATTAAAAATAGCGACACATCTAAGATTGTAGTTACCGCATACTAAAATTTTTTTTTGAGGTTGCACCCACATTTTTCGTATATACTTCTGTACAATTGAACACTTCGAATCGGTTTTATCTTCAGAATGGAGTTGGCAATGGCAACTAATTCGTAATCTCAAAACCATAGATTCCCAATGACCAAACAAACAGGGCAATATATGTATGTTACGGTGAATGGCTGGTACTGCAGTTCAATATAACAATATTTATTTCGTCCTAGATGAAGCTGCATCTATAGATTTATATTCCTGGATTATTCGCAGATCTTACCGCGTCTGTTATTTTTAACTCCGTTGATTGTATTCGTCTTTGCATCTCTACTATCTTCAAATTATACTGCGTCTGGAGAACTTCCATATTTGCCTGTTGTCCTGTATTTTCTGCGAAAAATAATTACATTGAACCATAAACATACTTGCATTTCCTAAATTGATTCAGCAGTTTGCTCGGGTTAAGAATATTATTCAGTGACCGTTTGCATTTTATTTGAAAAATACGAATTAGTAAGCGTAGTGGTTGTACGAATAATCTTATATCATTTGATTTTAATGTAAATATATGCACCTGACATGGGTGTGTACTAAAATAATTTGAGAATAAGGAAACAATGGATCTGCAATGCAATAAATTTTGAATAAAAGAAGTGGTCTCACCTTTTGCCGAATTTATTTTCAGTGTTGTAGAATTGTCGGATGCCTGCTTTGTGATCGTTTCAAATCTTTCTTTTGTTTCTATCAATATTTGGTTTTGGTCTTTAATCATTACCTCCAACTTTTTGACTCTCTCTTTTTCATCTGTTTGAATGGAGAAAGAATTACGTTTATCCGTATTTCAGATATTGTACATATTATTTTTATTGTCTGATGACTCAAAGAATATGAATGGCGCGGTAGCCATGCATTCATACCATTTAGAAATCGATTTCGGCATGAATTCTACACACGTATAATAAATAATATGTCACACAAATAACCAAAGCATATAAACGATGTTTACCACGATGAGTCAGCAGATTTCTGATGTACAGGTTGATCAATATGATTCCTGCTATCAGGATAATTATTCCGGTGATTAAAAGCTTCTCCCGAAGTTGGTAGTTATCTGTGTAAATAACGCATTCACTTTTGAAGGAAAAAAGTCAAAAATCCTTGTAAAAGGCGATAATCGAAAACTAGTTTTTCATTAGTATTTGCTCAAAGCAAGCCTACACGGCTTTTGAAATATCGAAAGGTATTCAACATAATGATGGACAAATCAGTCGGCCAGAAAAATCTTCATCTATACACAATATTTTCGTCAGAAATGAAATCGGAATACGCAAATGAGGCAATTCGAAACAAACAAAACAAATTTTGCTGTGTTTTTCATATTGTACGTAAACACTATCCATCAAATAGAATTGCATGGTGTCAGGATATTGGCTAATCTTACTCGGCACATGGAATATGAAACCGGACTACGGAAAGAATTTTAGACTCTAAAAGTATAAAACAACCCACCACTTTCGAAGCAACAGCCATGTTTGTAACCGTTGGATTTATATGATTTCCGTCTTCTTGGCATTATCATCAATGGAAGGAATAACTAAAATGTAAATGGAGTATCAGAAAAGTAATAGTTCTCAGACGAAAATTAAACTTATATACATACTGAATACCATTACTAACCTGTAGATAAACGACTAAACAGACCGTAATTCGCCAGCTCCGAAACAAGGTTTGTCGCTCGGGAAGACAGCTTTTTTGTGAAAAAAAGAGAATTTTTGTTGTTTCGTGCTCAGTTCAAATTATGACGTCATTATTGATAACTGTTCCAAAGTAACCTAGAAACGACAACTTCCCTAGTGGCGTTTAAAGATGATCAGTTCGTAGATATTTATTACCGCATTTTCAAAAGTATCGAAATAACAATATATATATATATATATATATAGTACTCCAACTCTTGCTCTTTGTACAAAGGAATCGTTTGAATATGCAACAGCGGAGTTTTTTAGGGAAGTATGTATGAGGTGTATGCTATGCGAGTCCTTAAATTGCTTCACAACGATATGAAAATTAAAAAATAAATTTCGGTCATATATATATACATTTTTATTTATCAGTTTAATTATGCTATATATATAGAGCGTTATTGAGTCAAAAATGTTATTGACAAACAATTGCCACATATAATTGTCATTTCCCCTGTGTGAATTCGTGATTTTGACTGTTTTTACTTTGCTTCGTAATTCGTACAACATAATTTGTTAGTCATTTATATAATATGTCACTAAATTTGGCTCATTTTTAGTCGGGATCGACAACCGTATAACAAAAGTTTTGCAGGTATATCTTCTAACAATAAGATTTATTACAAGTGAAATAAGTTAGACATTCACATCGATTCATCGGTGAGTGGAGTGGTTAAATATACAAATGGATATTGTTGGTAAATTATTATTTTTTGGTAATTCATCTCACGCACACATTTTGATTTTGTAAGAATTAATTCAGGAACAATCTACACCACACTTCTGATGTATTTGTTTTAATTTGTAGTTTCTAGGGTAGCTTTTTTCATAGTTTTTACTTTTATTTATTTTTAATGATTGCGACACTCGTCTATTTCCACTTCACGACAAGTTTTGGTGATAATCAAGTCAGATCACAATATTCAATGCAGCTGAAATAATAGAGTCGGTACTCTTACAAATGGGTACTCTTACATCAAGTTTAATAATTCTAATAAAATTATTATTTAAAGTAATCATTGCACAATTATCCTGTTATTTTCAAATACCACACTTTTACAGTTTCGAACTAGCTGTAGTTCCTCCCTATGCAACCTGAATTTATCTGTGTGAAAACTACCAACCTGTTTATTCTAGTTGACTGTACTTCCCCAAAATATATCTACCACTCAAAACGGGACTAATGCAGCTCAAATATATGTTTGAAATATTACAGTATTGCCAAAAATAGTGTTAATTTTTAAGGTAAAGATTCAGTCAATCTCTGACTTGGAAACTTTGCATTGTTGTTTGCATCAATGGCTGGATCGTAAAAAATATTATTGTTGTACCGATTTATAACTAATGCCTACAAACCCACATCACCTGTGCTACAATGTTAGTTGGTTATTGAAATTTGCCTGGTCACACTGCGGAAGTAGTTAATTCATTTAACGTTAATATAATACAAAACAACGGTTGAATTACGATAAAACTTTCGTCAAAACTCACCGCGAGCGTTGCGCGTGGAATGATGCGCTCATTACCGCACATATGCTCACTCTAGGTTTGTAGTCTAACCTACAGTACGCGAATTCTTGTCTGCAAGGGGAACACGAAGAGGGCATTTAACTATAATACTCTGAAATATTTTAGTTTTATGGTCTGCATTAAGGACAGTAGTAATACGATATATTGCACAACCAGGCGTCTTTCTCGATGGGTTCTACATGTGGCTGTGCTTTTCCAATTCTACATGTACTCAGAACTAAACAACAACCATTTCATGTCGTGGTGAATTATCGACGTGAAGTAGACCCCAATCTGCTGAACATATTTAAGGTTTTTCTTTCATTTCATAAACAAGGTATAACTAATTTTCAGTTTTAATTTTTTTCAAAACTTAGTTTTCTCACCGATACCGAGAAGTGTACATCAATACGAAATTAATTTTAAGCATAAGTTGATGTATGCCTTATTGCAACAGCTAACCATCAAAATTTTTTTTCGCTGCAACCCGAAGTGAGAGTCAGAGTTGTTTGATTAATTGTTTAAATGTATTTTGTTCAATGATTGTTGTTGATTTCTTGGTTTCCTAGTGGAAAATCACCGAGCCGATTTCTTTAACGAATGAGCCATTTTTAAACAAGCACAAATTATTCAGCGGTGTTTGGATATGGCTGTGGCCGGAGGAGAGAATGATGATATTAAAATATCAATATGATATTTAGCACATATGAACTAAGTTGCGTGAATATGAAAACAAAATCTAGCATATTTGCTAGGTAAATAAAGTTCAAGATTTTCATATAATTACACTGCACACCGCTTCACATAACCCCTTTCAGGTTTACGGACTCGTGAAATGATATCTATTTTTTAAAGTAATCATCAGTACATCTCGATTCTCAAGCTTGATACAACGTCAATCTCATGATTCAAGTTGCACAGTGGCAGAAAATGATATTTTTAGGTTTAGTTAACATAGTGACATTTCTAGAGTGATGAGCAATATAATTAGAATAGAATAAATAGACGAGTCAAACGGCCCTCAATGAGGAATATGCTTAATGTATCGGGTTCGCTCTACAAATGCTGTTACTCAAGACACTGAGTAGTCTTCTGGGTTATATTTTCTATTCATAACAGATATTAAAGTCATTTGAAATAGTACCACAGTTTTTGTCATTTTTAATATGTAGTAATATTTGTAAATCTGACTAAGGTCTAAAATTCTGGGAATTTGTGATTGAAAATTATGAATGTTGACTCTATTTAAATCAATAAATATAAAACCAACCAATTACTGGAATGTCTTCTTTAACTTTAAAGAAAAAAGCTTTATAGTAAGTACACTCATTGTCATTCTACTTGACTACCACGCGTATTTTCTTGCGTTCAAAATAATATACGGATTTAGCCATGATGTGACGTCACATTATCTTCAAAATTTTATGTGTCAGACATTGTCTCTGAGCTAATCTGGTGTAACGGCTGGGAGTCTGTTGAGGGGAACGTCTAACACATGGGTGGGCAATTACTTTCCTGAGTGGGCCGGATGCGGATAATAGACTTGATTACTGGGCCGGAGTATCAAAACTCAATATGATCAAAAACGGCTTATTTTCAAATAACTAGACACAACGATTATTGGGACAGGATGGCATATTACAGCTGCTCAGAGAAAGTTGATAGAAAAAGAAGCTCAGCAGCCAAACTAACGTTTATACTGAAGACATCATAATGTACCAAGAGGATGGTGCGTCATTCCCGTCGTTTATGAATGAAATTACTGTAACCTGTGATTTCGAAGTGGCGAGTGATATGTTTGTTAAGTCATTGCGCCTCACGGAACGCAAGTCGCATTGAAAGATTTCAAGTGACATGCGTACAGACAGAATAATTTAAGTACCGTAATTCATGTACTAGACCAGTGGTTCTCAAACATTTTTCATACCCTCGTCATCAAACTGTACTTTTTACGTTATCATCGGCCCCCAAAACTACAACAAAATATCAAGTTACGGACAAGTTTATTGCAAATCAATTAAGAAATAGACTGATCTCGGTGCATGCTGTTTTTAATAAGATGAATGAATTTCACTAAGGTTTTTTGATATTTGAAGACATTTTAGTCAGGTACAATCCTAAATCATCAATCCTTGATTTGATCCCTTTTCTACCAAATATGATGTTAGAAATGGAAGAATCAACAGTAGTTCTACTTCGTCAAAAATGCCAGATGACTTGCGCAAACTATATTTTCAGTACATTACAGTCGTCGCGATAACGCCATTCCTTAAAATTGCCGGCTTTTTCAGCGATGATGACTTTTCTGTTGCGCAAAATATTCAGTCCATGGCCGTTACGAGTATTAAAATTGTCTCGCCATATTAATTTAATTATTTTCAATGTAAATCGTCGCTGCAACGAGGTGCAATAAAATGAAAGTATTACTATTCTGAAATGCTACAACCCGCGTACGTAAAATACGCGATTTACTGCCTGATTATGTTGAGAACTGATTTGAATTTTTGCGATTTTGGTAATTTGTTTAATTTGAGCCGCTCAAGAATAGTTTTAAGATATCACCGTTTGCAAGATCCTAAGGTCGGCCATAAATCAAATGAGTACAATTTTATTACGATAAAGTAAAAGCATTACAATTCTAACCTAATGCGGTAATCTGGCGCCTTACAAACAAAATGTTTTGGAACCGCTAATTTACCACGTCTAAAATAGGAATTGATGATGTTTTCCGTTATATTTTATATATGTACGTATATTGTGACACCGCCTCGTACTCACAATATTCACTTTCTCATTTTCAGTCGGAAATTGGATTTGCGGATTCAATCCTTAGTTTGTATTTGGCGTTCGTTTGCATCTATAGAAGGTTTGTTGATTGCTCTTATTGTCAAATTATTAACTATTTCGTTTCCAATAATTTCAACATGATCGGGTGTCCATAAGAACGCAATTTGTATTCCTTGTAACACCAAGTCATAGGTGCTAATTTCTCAATTAATATGTTCTTCAATTCTGAATAATTGAGAAGCGATGGAAGGGCATTGAGACAATCCGTTATTATTAATAAGCCTTGTTGTTGCGATCCACATGAGACAACTTAGTACTGTATTGCATATATGTATGTGAGGAGACAAAACGATGTAATTTTAATTTTTATCAACATCGTCTAGATTTAAGATACCAAATACATAAAAAAATTTCCGTTCGTCTTCTACTTGTAGACTTGGTATATACTACTGATGTTAATAATCAGTTCACAATCTCGATCTAGTCCATATTCAATTTCAAGTAAAAGTGCATTTCATGCCTCTGGAAGCATTCCATAGAAGCCATGAATAAACAGTATATCTCAGGAATTGATTTTCCTACTTCGGCAATGCTTATTACAAACTTTTCATAGTCACATTGGAGATGTAGCAATATCTATATCGAATTCTGAGTTTCTAACGCTCTGTCCACGCTCTTTGGACAAAAAAGGTAATGGCGTATGAGTCTGGATTGACTTTGATGTCCAGATATTTCAAGTGCGTAATTCATTTTTTTTAACGCGAAGCGGATTTACCGATTGCTTGGCTAAAATGTTATTGCTTTTGAAGTGAAAATGTTTTCTTCTCCCTCTACTTGACTAGAGGTTACCCATCCAAGAACAACCGATGAATTCTTAGGAAAACATGAGTTTTTCATGCATAAGGTGAGAACAAAATATGAAAATGAAGCTCGAAATCACGACAGATCATGGGGAAACACTTTTAAACAGAATACAGGGTTCAATTCAAGTTTGACACTGTTCGTTCTTGAGTAGCTTATCCAGATAAGTTATACCTTAATGACAGAGCACATCCTGTGTCATACTCCTTCAAGGCATTTTCTGTCTATTCTGTTGAAAATCAGTGTTTCTGGTCGACAGTGGATACCACTTATACCACATAACATCATTGACTACTTTTTGCTAAAAGATATTCACAACGTTCAGGTAAATCATAGAAAGGATCCGAGACCACTTTAGGATTACTGGACCGCTCCAATTTTCCAATGAATAAAAATGGTCGAATTAGAGACTCATTAGTACTGTAGTGCCTCGTTTTTTAGACTGCTAAATTCAAATAAAATTTACACATTAGCAGTCTCAAGCTTTCAATGTTTTGTCACAAGGTCTCCTTTTTACGACAGGGTTTTCTAAGCAGTGGTACTGTTACCAGAGGGTGAGATAATTCCGAATCGTTAAGTGTGTCTAAAAATACACGACCACCAAATTAATGGTACTGCGGAAACGACAACAACAAAAATCACTGAGCGTTGTGTTTTAATCGAGGCGCTGTGTATACTTATGTAATTTATTTTTTATTTTTTGCAAATTTACTAATTTTTATTACTGCGTCATGTTAGTGTCATATATATACACCCAACTAATAAAAACAAAGCAGTGGTTTTTGATATTTCGTTAATATAGACAGGGTGATGCAGAAATAACTCCCACATTTCAACAACTACCCACAAATGGCAGCTTTCAGCCTATCAATAGCTGTTGGAATTGGTCGGTGCTTGTACACACTCACCCTTAAGAAAACCCAACAGAAAATACTGATAAGGTAAAGGCCAAACGAACGTGCTGGCCTTCCCATATCACCATGCAAAGACGTCATATGGATTGGAATGTGTCCTCGCAAAACATCTATTGATTGTTTGCCGTACAGAAAGCTGGCTAATCCTGTTGAAACCACACCTTGGCATTTTCTCTGAGATTCTTGAGTTTTGGCATATTGCAGCATCTGCACATAACGAGATGAAGGAAGTGAAACCGCTTATTCCTCTTCCTCAAAAGAGTACGACCCTCAAATTACGAAACTCGCAACTGCGCACTACACTATTAATGCCTCGCTATGACGATGTCTTTTAAATATTTTCTGTTAGTAAATACAGCATTCTACTATAGATGCATCGCGTTTACCTGTCCAGGCAATATTCATACACCAAAGATTTTCATAAATTTATAATAAATCACTTGTTATTGAAATCTCTAGAAAACTGAAGACAAAATGGCAGACCATTACCAACATAATTTCCCTTAAACTAGATGAACATCTGCCATACCATCGCCAGAGTAAGGAACTAAAATGTGTTTTTTTGCGTCACCTGTATCTGCTGATGTCAAAAATGCTTCACACTTCAGTTTCAATTTTGAATACTCTGCAACGCCTAATTCTATTTTTAACAAAAATTCGGTAAAACTCTTTTATGCCCTGTGGCATGTTAACAATCATTTCATGTATGGTCCAAATATAAAAGTCAGTACACAAGCCGGGAACTGCTTCCATGATTGGCACACAATTGTTAATCTTTTGAATGAGTTGGATGAAAAAAAAATCATCATGCTCTGACAATATTCCTATCAAACTTATAAAAATAGCTAGGTATTCCATGGCACCTGTTTTAATAAATTTGATTAATGTTAGCTTTATGGTAGGTATTTTCGCGGATAGTCTAAAACTTGCCAAAGTTGTTCCATTGTATAAAAAGGGTAAAAGGGATGACTTGAATATTTATCGTCCAATATCTTTACTATCTCAATTTGCAAAAGTCATTGAAAAAGCCGTGTATAAAAGACTGACTGACTTTTTGATACATATATTTTTAAAATTATCAGTACCTCCCAATTTGGTTTCCGAAATGCACATTCTACAGAACTTGGGGTAGTCAAACTAAAAGAATCGATTTTGAAAAATTTATCAGATAATAAAGTAACCTGTGGTATTTTTCTAGATTATAGATAAAGGCATTCAATACGGTTGACCACAATATTTTATTATACAAATTGTCCCATTACGGCATACGTGGATTACCACTTAATCTAATTAAATCTTATTTAACAAGGCGCCAACAATTCATTGAATCAAATGGTTATAATATTCCCTTCAATTTGTATCATGTGGCTACATCAAGGACCTTTCTACTGCCAGTGCGTTTGATACCACGCTATTCGCTGATGTTACAGCTCTGCTCGACTCTGCCACAAATATTGTCGGTCTCCAACAAAATTAGAAGTTGGCACAATTAGTTTAGAGGGGACAAGTACTATAAAATATTTGGGAATAGCCTTGAATGAAAAATTTACCTGGAAAAATCACATAGATTACCTTTCAAAAAAAAACTTTCTTAATCACGTGTAATACTATATAAACTAAGGAGATTTATTAATCTTGAAATTTTTAAAATAGTTTATAATAGCCTGGCCTTTTCACATCTTCGATATGGTATATTATGTTGGGGTAACGCCATGCGACAAAAACTCCTTGCAGTTTCACAAAATAAGATGATTAGATAGATGTATGATGTACAGAGAGTCATCTAGATTCTAGACAAATACGTATTAATAATGCAATGCTGTATCATTGCTGTGGATTTCTTCAATTGAAGGAAATCTACATAATTTATGTGAAGTAGGAAAATGTATGTATCGTTATGAAAATTTACTGCTGCCAGAGTATTTTCAAAACTTTTTTGTCAAAATTTCAAATATTCACACATATGAGACGAGGAGTATATTAATTAAACAAATTGTATTTCACCCCTCGATATCAATCTTCAGTCATGAAGAAATCGCTGGAATGCGTGTTTCCCAAAATTGTTTGATCGCAAATTAAAACGGCATTTATTAGCCGAATATAATGTGATACAATAATGTGCAAATCTCAGTGTATGCTTTCATATTCATAAAATGGATAGAAATATCGAAACTTCTGTTACGCTAAACAGATGAGGAAATAAAACAATAATTTTTGCGTCTAAGTTAACGTGATAGTTTTCACAAAGCTGTGTGATCATTGTATTCGAATTTTCAGTGGTTCACAGGTAAGCGAGTTACTGGCCTACCGTCGATCCAGACAAATAAATATCTAAATAAAGATAGCTGTAACCAATAAACCTTAACTCTACCCCACACAGATACATTTCACTAAACCAAATAATTAAGTCAAATTCATCGGAACCACCCTGTATTATAACAGTTCAGTTGCGAATGGTACGATCTGTTACCCGCTCTCTATGCTATGTTAATATTTTATGTGCTTCATACTATATTTAATAACAAGTAAAAAAGGATCAAACAGGACAAATGAAAAACGGGCTTCAGATCATTCAGAAATATTTTTAAATTTATTTTATCAAATTAGAGTTCTCGCACAAATCAGGATGAGCCGTTCATTTATGTCCGAACAGATACCGACCGACTCTCAGAGACTTCGGTGACACCCAAGCTTTTCGGAGTATACCTGAGCATCCACACGATAAAATACAACTTACATATTGAAATATAGTGTTCAATTATCAAATCAGGCTGCAGAAATTAACGGAGCAACACCCGACTTGCTTCAACTTCTGTAACTCTGCCAACTCTTGATAGGTTCGTATGACTCTATGTCTTTTATGTATTGCCCGACGAAGGTTCTGGTTAACTTTTGTATCATCTGTCAATATGATTTAGGTGTACTCATCTGTCCTGCAGTGTCCATAACTTTTTATAATATTCATAATAGTTTTCTGTGTGTGTCATCGCGGAGGCGATAAAGATGAACGACTTGTGCTTTGCATCGCAATCCCATTTTCTGGTGTCAGACTTCCAGTTCCTCGACTTCTCTTCCTTGGACGTATTGCCATTGGTACTTTAAAATTACGGCAATTTGAAATCATCAACAATGTTTGCTTTCTTATTTTACTGAAATGAAAATGAAATAATAATGATCTTTCAAATGTCAAAAAAATTGGCGAAAGTGATATGTGAGCAGAGAAGTTATTAAAGTCGGTGTTTTTTTAAGTTTTGTCTTCCATGTAAAACACATATTTATTATTACCTGGATGAGAGATTGTATATAACCGGATTCATGCATTCAGAAAATCGGAGACAAGTGTACTCCACCATTCCAAAAACCCAGTCGACGTTCCTCATATACTGCGTCGTGTGCACTGTATTCGTGGTGTAAAAATGATAAACTGCAACAGAAACTACAGTCAATTAATTTAAAAATGAAACGTTACAGAATATTTAAAAAAAAAAAGTATACATAATCTAAACCGGTTTGCCTCCGTGACCAAGGACTGCCAGATCTCTGTGTTAAAATTGCTCAACTATAAAGTGAATTTCGTGGATTGCGATTGGTAATATGAAAATTAAATCTTACCGATGTGAGGTACATATCCCAATAAAAAGCTTGCTACGATCAATGTGAGTTGTGCTAATGCTTGTCGGTCTTTACGCAATCGCTTGTCGATTGCCCCGTTGAGCTGCATTGCTAGAGAACACATATAAAATATAAACATATTGCAATCTTTATGTCGAAAGCTTGACCTAATTTTACTCGTTTTTTATATTCTTTTGTCATAATATACGTGAAGTGTGGCCAATACTTGTAATATTATACCTCAAGCAGTTTTCCCTATCATGACATTGTATAATAAATACTCGGATTTGTTTACAGGATTATACCAATACTGAGTACAGTTTCGTTTGACAACTTGTGTTCTACAAAATAATACCAGAACGAAGGAAATAATTAGAAATAAAAGTTCGGTATAATTTTGGATAATCTAATTCGAAGAAAATACCAAAATGAGACGCACAGGAAAGAGAGAAGGACACGTTACAAGTAATATAACAATAAAAGTATTATGGATATATTAACCTCTTGGCGTTTGAGCGATGTGTCTTAAACGAATTCTTCGTCGTTTCCATAATAAGATGCTTATAGTAATAGATATGACGGTGACGCATACAATAGGGGCATAAAAGAATATTGGATATCCAACATAAGCGTATATTTTGAAAGATGGAATCCTGTAAGAGAAAAGATAAGGTTTATAATGAACTTTCTATTGTTTCTACAAGCCGCAATGATTGATGCACGATCGATATAAAAACGCAACTCCATACAACGCGAGATTTCAGGGGCTGCTTGTATAGGGCCTTGTTCGGAGTGAAAAGCATGAATATAAATCGTATATGAGATATGATATGATGAATGCACATACAAACTTTGGAGCAGATTCAACCTCGCTTTCGTGAGATATTGCGTAACATACGAAAGTGTCTATCAGACAGACAAACAAACAGACAGACAGACAAACAAATACCTATTAACATACTTACCGATCAAGATCGATAAGTAAATATTGTATTTATTGACTAAAACCACATCAATTTGCAGCAAAAACAAAGTGTGTTTAACGGATCGGAATCTTTTCTCGACTTTTTAAATGTCTTTGCAAATGCGACTCCATTTACTGTTATTTTGAGAAGTAGAGTTCAAACTTTACCATGATATAAGTAAAGAACATGCCGGCCAGGCTCCGCCAGCTTTGGGAGCATTCCTGATTTTTTCGACGATTCCGCAAAACATGAAGAATGGAATGAAGCCGATAAAAAATGAAATCGCCCACAACGAAGATACCGTGATCTGTAAAATAGTTTTTTGTTTTTATTAAGAAATATGACAGGTGATAAAACTCTTTTTTTCAATTAGCCTTTCGTTTGAAATCAAAATATCAAGCTTTAAAAAAATATATATGTTTTCTGGAAACCGCTTTATTTCTAAATCTTGTTCTATTAATAAGAACAGAAGTTTACATATTTTTACCTATTTTACATTTACTTTATTTATCAGTGTGAATCCAGAGTCTTCGTATTAATTAGGTTTCCCTTTCATTAAATTGTTCATCTATTTTGAGTTATTGTTTGGAATTTTAGGTTTCGAGTAGTGGTGAAACACTTACACCCTGGGATACGAGTGTAGATTGCAAAAATGGTAACACTGAACGTTGAAACAAACTTTGATTATAAAATTCAGCTGAATACCCTTATAACAAGCAAATTTCTGCCTCCAATAATTCGTTATTTTATTATTCAAAATCGTTGTATTTCATTTTGTTGGCTGTGTAGTTCTAATCCCATAAATATGTCATGTACTTATATAAAGACAATGCATCTTAGCTACCTTAACGCAGCCTATCATCCTAACGTAGCATTTAAAAACAAAGGATTACACAAACGCGAGAGAAAAATTACCAAATCATGCGTAAATATATATGGACCTTGGTAGAATAGCGAAAATACCTGGGCCGTGGTTTCATCGATATCTAAATATTTATCTTATCGGTAGTGCAAAAATGAAAAAAATCACAAAATAGCTGATGAACATAACAAAGGTCCTGTCAAACTTCATACGAGTATTTACAAGTTACGAGTATTTAAATATTTAACAACGAATCAAAAAACGCGGCTTAACAATTAGCGTATTCGTTAAGGTAGCATTTCTCAAACTGAACTTCATAACCAGGATTCAAAATCGAAAAGCTAGTGTTTACTTGACAAAAATAAAAGAAAGTACTAACATATATATGAAGTTGTATCAATTTAAGTAACGTATTTCTTTGTAAATGCGAAAACCTTCAATCACTCAATCATCAATAATTTTTCAAATAATATACATTTACTTTTAATATGTCACAGTATCTGAGAGATTTTTTTAAATTTAATAACAATTATAAGTTCACTTTATTAATAATACAGCCTAACAAGGGCGTAGCCAGAAATTTTCAAAGAGGGGGGGGGGTTCTGAAAATTTTTTTTTTTGCCAAGTCAGATCGAAACAGCTAGCGGGTCCGATCGAACGCTAGACCAGTGCTCTTCAACCGGGTATACGGTATATCCAAGTGTATACCAGACCATAAGTTGGGTATACAACTGATAAAGGGTATACGAAGGGTGTACAGCCTAGGTCAGGGATTCTAAACTCTAATATAATCAACTATAAAATATTCAAGCGGTGGCAACAATGCAAACGCGGCGCACATGAAATATAAAATGTCATTAATGCTGAGAAACTACGTGAGCACATTATTATATCACAAAATATATAGATAATGCGGTCTGTCTGGTTTGGTGATTTCGGCTGCCATTCATTTTGTTTGATTTACGTTGAACATTATTCGTGGTGCCGCTGAGGCCGTCAGTCGAATTTAAAACTTGCGGACATTAGCCTATTAGATTGAATGATGATATTGCAGTACAATATGTGCTTAAAATTTCATGTATATTTAGGCCTTAAATAAACCTTGGTATGTAAGGTATACAAAGTTCTTGAAAAATTGTAAAAGGTATACCACGATAAAAAAACGGTTGAAGAACACTGCGCTAGACTACGCGTGTTTTTAGTAGTCTTGGGGGTATAAAAAGCATTTCAAGCTACGGAAAATTGCCATCTATGATACAGAAGATAGATTTTTTTTTTTTTACATTTCAAAAGGGGGGGGGGGTGCCGACCCCCAAAACCTCCCCCCCTCTGGCTACGCCACTGCAGCCTAATAATAATACGGCTTAATAATACCGTTTGCACCCCGAAATAATTTGCTATAAATACCATCGTTTTGATAGTATGCATGTTGTACATTTTTTGGAATTAGGAAATGGTGAAATTATCATTATTTTGGATAATTGTTTATTCTAAGTCGATTATTGCCAAGGCAAGAAATATCAGGCCACAAGTTTTAGTCTGCCTTTACAATGAGCAGAAGAGCAACATATAACTTTAATTTTGACTCAGGGATGTCATTAGAAACCGGTTAAGACAAGCAACCCGGTAATTATTAGGTTTAGCAATATGAAAGAAAAGAAAACTTACCTTGGCATGACAGGCATTAATTTTACCAAAAGCATGAGGCCATCTGACAGATATCAATCGTAGTAGAGAAAACGTTGTAATATGAGCAGCTGTCACCACCGATGTCCACTGATCAATTCCGAAGAAAAACTAAATTAAAACAATCATATTTAAATATTCAATTTTAACCATACTATACAACTAAATTCCGTGGCACTAAGAGTTGATATCGCAGTCAGTCAGAAAATATTTCCATGACACGAAAAGTTTCTCAATGTTCATGTTCAGGCATTTGAGGGTAATATAATTTACAAACATTAAACAAAATTAAATAATACGAAATTGATACGAGAGGTTTCCCGCATTCCATAATACAATTGCAAACTTTTCAGACTCTGATATCAACCATTTTAATTATTGTTACAGACAATTTAGATTTCAAACTATTTCAAATATGAATACCTCTTAAATCTCTTAGAAGTATCGCCGATTACTGATTTAACTAAATTCGTAGTTTCACGGATATGCTTGGAAATACCTTGCAAAATAATCTCGGAATGTGCCAAGTTTCGTAACCCCAGGTTCTCCGGTATATGAATATTGGACTGAATAATGCAGACAGGAAATCAGATACACATAGACTCATGAGAAATATATTGAAGGTAGATCTGAAAGATGTAATATTTAATGCGTATATTGGATGAAAAGATCACATATGTGGAATATTCAAGGTATTTGCGACAACAAAATCAATTGTTTTGAAGGTCTTTATTACGCCTAATATCGAATTAAACATCGAACATAGCGATTTTAGCGATCGTGTTTTTTGTAGAGAGGTTATAAACCATAATCAGTTGATTTCAAATTAAGAACTTATTTCTGACCTCAAAATTTTATGCCGGTCTACATCCTCTACATCGGTTGCATAAAAATTTCAACCTCAGGAAAAACTTCGGTGAAACGGTAGTACATATTAAGAAGAAGAACGAGAATATCGGTCAGAGAACGAAGACTTATCGATCGAAAATTAGGGGATCACCCAAAACAGCGCTCTTACTCCATAGTGACACCTTGTGTCTCATCACTAATTAATTAATAACTCGCTAATTATACGACATAATTCGCCCAAAATCAATAGGCTTCTGGTCCGAGAGAAGATTAATGCACATGCAAAATCTGGAGCAGATCCAATCTGCTTTCGTGAGATATCGCGTGCATCTAACAGACAGACAGACAAACAGACAAATACCTATCAATATACTTACAGATTAAAATCGATAAGTAATAAAACCGGAAAGTCAGTAAATATTCTTCAAATGGTCAATAATAGAAACTGATGTGATCGACAAATTATACAACATTGATGATCCAAGTACTCGAATAATAAAGTCTACCTAGAGTGCTTCTTTGATTTTTAATCAATATTTTTCTTGAGAAATATTTTTATTAGGATGGAAATGAAAAATACAAAAATCACTTGATTTTCAGAGTAACTCATAATACAGCACGACTTCATCCTCAGTGTATTCATTAGTTTAATCTGTTTTTGATACATGAAAGAAACAAGTCCAAGTAATCTGAGTGAAATTTATCGGATTAGTTCTTCAGCAAAAACATGGATTTGAATATAAATAACCAATTAACCATCACGAGTCATCATGTAATCATGGGCCCATAATAAAACCATTCCGTCAATTATTTTATATTTACATAAGTAATAAGAAAAATCTTGGTTTGGAGAAAAAAAAACTACAACAGTTTAACAGTTACAACAGTTTTTACTCACTTTCGTAACTTGGTTCTGGCGATGACAAAAAATGTGACAGCATTTGCAAATAATCCGAAGACAAATAATATTGAAAGAATAAATGTGAAAATGTAGGCTTGGTACGGATAAAATGGTAGCATTCTGAAGAAAATCAAAACAGAGTAGTATAAAAAACAAGTTCTAAAGGAGGTAGCAGGAAAAGCAAAGCATTAGGTGACTTACGTTCTGTGGTGTCTCGTTCGATTGAATTCGAAGTCCATTGTGGCTGAAAAGATCTTCGTAAAAAAATAAGCCAATTTATTGTTCAACTGTTTCAATAACGCCGTATCATTTTATTAGCTCACAAATATTTAATTTTTTTCTATATCTGTATGTAGGGGAGGGCAAAATCGAATATTTCATTTTTAACGAATACCGAACAGTCGAATAACTAATATATTTTGATACACAACAGGAGGTCTACAACGTCGGTCGATACTCCCTTTGGAAATTAATAAAGACATTGAAAAATCGGTTACAAAGCGTTTTTTTACTGGCTAATTTCGTCATAATCGCTGATTGTTTTTGTCACCGTGACCGTTTTTGCGGCGATATATAATCAATAATACCGCCCTTTCGGTTATTTGCAAGTATTAATTCTTTCGGGTCGGCGGACATCGACGTTTATACTTCGGGTTTACCCGTGCGTTCACGTCGGCAACAGCTGTTAAAATCATTAAGGATTGATGTAAAAACCCAAATTAATATTATTCTCATTTTTATCATTTGCGTTGGCTTTCATATTACTTATCAACGTTTGTAAATTTACCGTCACAATATTAAGCGAACGGTAATATTATTATCGATACCGGGATGTAGATATTTATTAAGACAATACCGTAATTAACTTTGCTATGCTTTTCTATGGTGTATATGTTACTTTACAGATAAACCTCGCAAAGCTGCGATTGCGTCAATCCCGAATGTTGATTTAAAATAGTGACTAAATAATTCGACAATAAAGGCATTTCTGCGTGGCCATATGACGAGATGACGTTAATAAACAGCGCTTCTTGAATAATAATTTACATATGCGACCCTAATGCTGAAAAAAATTGCGCTTTTTTACTTTTGTGCCTGGCGCTAATTATAACTAACTCTCTTGACAATTTTGATAATGTCACGCCCTATTTATTAGTGCAAAAATGCTCAAAATATAACGAATGTAATCATTTCCGACGATAAAACAATTCGTAAACGAGACAGTGCGCGTTGTTACATCGAAATTCACGATTGATTTTACGCCATACTCCTGTTCACGATTTCTACACTCCACCCGCCATGCATGCCCGAGTAAAATGTTTACACTTTCGAAACATTATTTGGTCAAGAATGAAAGGGATCACTAAAGAATTATTTGAAAGTACATTAAAAGATCTATGTCCTGCTATTTCTTTTCTGGTCATAGCTTGTTCGTGTTATACTATGTATGGTTTCACGCAAAAGTTAATTCAACTTTTAATTTTCGTTAAACAAATTTATGTTTGGTTCATGCATGAAACGGCTAATCACGTGCCGCCAATCATACGGAGTTTAAAATCTGGAATATTTATTTTAAATTCCTCATCTGATTTAACGTTTCTAAATTTAGGGAACGGTGTCGGTACCTCGATGTGCAACATATGGAATTGAAATGAAAGATCGAAACGCAAAGAAAACAAATAACACCACAACGCAAAGACGATTTTTCAAATTTGTCGCTTTTGTCTGTTAGCGAGCGTTGTAGGTGAATTCTCGCGCAATTCACGATCGGTTCAGAGACGTTCTGTGTCCAAGTGAAGCGACGCAGATCACGTGGTACCCGATATTCGAATAGTAAAATGCCATTCGAATAATTTAATATTCGATTCGCTATTCGTTATTCGAATATTTTGCCCAGCCCTATCTGTATGTAATATAGATAGGTCACTCTTCATTATAGCAGAGGTCTGCTCCTCAATTAAAAGATATCTAAAATGAAATCTTCGTCTATGAGAAATTTTCTAACGCTGGGGGTTATAGACTTATACTCTGAATACGTACACATATATTGAAACTTTGAACCTTTATAATAGAAAAATTTCAATACGACCTCTAAATAATTTGTAAAATTAACCTGAAATTAGGTGTACTTAAACCAGCTACTCACAACTTCGACTTCTACGTACATGTACATATTGCTATTATTCCTTACAATAAAGCATACAAAGCTTAAACACTGTTGATGCAACTGAAATGTCAGCAAGATAGGTTTATCTAAATCCGACTAAAAGAAATAATTATAAATTGTGAAAAAAATCATGCCGCACTGTGTACAATGACAAAAATGACCGCCTGCGGGCAAAAACACCACAAAAACCCATTAATTCTTAGCTGTAACCAAATTTTCGTATGGTTTCTTATAGTTGTTGTACTCTACTACTGTACTCAGTTATTCCGCTAAATATTTTTAAAAAGATTGATTGATAAAACTACAACACCTATGAAATACTTCATTTACATAATCTTTATTTCTGAAGCTAAAATATGTAAAATGTTGTTCACTGAATTCGGATCTCTACAAAAGTACTAGATCTTGCTATATCCCAGTACTTTCCGTAAATATTTATATAAGGGTTCTTTTAAGCTTAATTCCCGATCGTTGCGAGCAACCGGATAATTATAGTTCGGTCACCGCAAAATGTTGTAAATCAAGGACGATGCGCAAAATCACGGATAGACTTCCGCGGAAATCTAAATAATTATGGCTCGCAGTGCTCAATAATACCATTGTTCGCAATTAAAATCTTTTATCTGGAATTAAATAATAAATTTAATTAAGTTAGTCCTTAAGACCTGACATTTCTGTACAAAGTACCTCAATTAATCTTAAAAATAACACTCTCACTGAAATTAAACACGATTTGTCCATGTATTCCCATGTTTGACAATGCTGACAAAAACTGTAAATTACTTTGATTTATAAATATACCGTTCAAATACTTTCCTAAAAACCAGGTTTTTAATGAATCATCAAAAGCAAGGATACTCATCTGCATTAGACACGATGAAAAATAATGATAATTTTGAAGAGGATTTGAATTGTTCACTAATTTCACGCCAACCGAACTATTTTTCAAATTGATATTCTACTATGTTATGATATGAAGTGACAATTTCAGGGAATAATTACGCAAAAATGAAGTACGATTATATATTATTCGGAACCATTCAACTAAACCATGCCCATTATTATGCTGATAGTTTCCTTCCTTTATTATATATTACATGTATATATATATTTCTGGGTAGTTTTGAAATTTTCTGTTTGTCAGACCTGTATACAGCAGGTAACATGAAGCTGCTTGAGCGAATTTGTTACGACACAATATAAAGTCATTTATTCCCCCGTGCGTCTTTTTATGAACAAGAAAGCATATATAATCTGCCTGATCTTGCAATACTTTGATGTTTCTTACAGCAACCTGTATATTACGAAATACGTATTTGAATTTATCTCAAATAATTTATACAAAGTCAACAATGATGTAACGCGGTATTTAAGCGTTTTCTCAGTTGCGTTTCAACAACTATGTCAACCATCTTTATTAAATAAGCATCAAAATTGTTTACCATATTTTAATCCGCTACACCTTCTTTTGCTAATATAAACATATGCAAACACCGCTTAGTAAGTCGAAAAGTATTTTCTGCTATACCAAGCTCTGTGGAATATCATGAAAACTGAGAAGTAAAATGAAGGAAATTAGGTCTTGGATAAAAATCTATCTAATATTTCGCGGAAATTTTATGCCTTTCGGCTTTTTTTGACAATTCATCATAACTTTTATGTAACTTTGTTGTTTGTTATGCTTAGTTATCAGCAACGATTACATTATTTTGTGATGTATTGAGAGATTGCTAAAAAAAGTAGTAGTGAATATGATAAAGATCGTATGATTAATTTGGAATCATATCACATTGCCATCATATAATAAAAAACCACATATGTTTGTTTTCTCCAACAAAATTGCTATTCTGTCTATCAGCAACGCGTTATTCATAGAATTAAGTTACACAAAACTGTAGCCATAGTTTGACACGCCTCGATTAAAGTTCAATTTTCGAGCGCGCACATGAAGTGTACGGAAAAGTCAATAGCAAATACTCCTGACGACTAAGGTTGCAATCCCTAAAACGAGCGAACCATCAGAAGAAAATACAGACTGATGCATAGTATGGATCACTTATATGCAAAATCAAGAATTGCGAAACAGGAACTTGGACAAATTTATCTCTGTTTTGCGCTGGCAGTCATTTTGACTCACTTATGTTCTAAATTAGGTTCTCTTTCTACTGAAAAATTTACAGAAAACATTTTAATTTCTAAATATTTAATTTAGTAATGCAATGCAATGATGAATTTTCAAGTGTAAGGTAATCCGAATTCAACTAATTTCGCAAGTATTCAATTAGTTTTTGACATCCATGCAATATGTTTAAGCGGTACCCATATTATCTTCTTCACCGATAAACGTGAAAATATCCTTCACGTATGGCCCCATTCAAATGAGATCGTGAGAAAAAGCTAATGTCGCATCGTGGGCACGAGCAAGATGGAGACGGTCTCCTCCGATCTCCATAATGCCTTCCATTCGACACAACTTTTTGCTCTCAAGCGCACTCTAGTGCACAAAAGTACTATAAAGCTAGAACGATATAAATATCAGCAATAATACGGGTCTTTGGTAATTTAACTTACACAGACTCAAATATTTGGTGTCATCACAACCACCACGTGGTTAAAACAATTCGGATATGACACAATTAATGATTACTGTTTTTATACTAATGGGATACAGGGTGACCCACAAAAAACTGAACCAATAGGTTTCTTAATTACTTCTATGAAAACGGAGTAAATTATTCAATTTTGTTTACACGTGAACTGTTCGTGTATGCTTGTTTCAGAAGTCTAGGACGCTTTGCACAAAAGTTATGTTTTCTTGTGCTAATATATGTGCTAAATGACCACCTGGGGCAGTCGTTTGGGAAAGACTTGCGCAAAATTATCAATCACTCGTACGCACTCCTCAATGTGGAATTTGCTTATTTTTGCTGCAATCACAGCCTTGAGTTCATCAATTGTTTGGGAATTGTTATGATACCCATTATCGTTCGGATACGCCCACAAATAATAATCTGGAAGGTTCGGGTCCGGCGAATGAGGTTCCCCTCGACGTCACTGCAAACTGCTGCTACGAAATTCCAGAAATCGCTTTCTTCAACAAGGGTGGGATTTGATGTGTGATGGGTCGTCTCATCCTGCAAGGACCAACGATAGTCTCCTCCAACCGTCCAGAACTTCCTCAGTACCCCCACGCAACGTCACATATTCATCGTTTGAGCTCTTTCATTTTCCTCTTCAAACCAATACGGACCGATTATGCGGTGTTTGGAAATGGTTATTCATCCCGTGCACTTTACTGAGTGTAATGGTATCCGTAACACTTCCTTCGGCGGTGCTGTTCCCTATTAGACATTCTTTTGGTTATTGACATTTACTCAATATGAAAAGTTCGCTTCAGCAGAAAACTAAGTGAGTGATTGACAATTTTGTGTAACACACGAAAGTCTGTCTCTTACGCCAAGGAGGCCATTCGGAACATATTTTAGGGGTAACATAAACTTTTGTACAAAACGTCTTAGATTTCTGAAACTTTTGGGTACAATCATACAACACGAACAGAAGTTCAAGCGCAAACAAAATTAAATACTTTTATTTTATTTTTTGTAGATATAATCAAAAATTCACTGGTTCTGTTTTTTGGGCTCACCTTGTATCATAAACAAAACACAAAACAAGTTTTGCCCATACAAGGGTCTGCTAAAATGGTAATAAAGTAATCAATTTTACGGTACTTTGAAGTAAGGGATGTTGCCGATTTTACAATATTGATATTTCATAGACCACAAATTGTTGATCTTCCTTTACAACTTTGCCAGTTTTACAACTCGTGTAAAACTTGAGTAAATCAAAAATAATAAAAAGTTAAACGTAAGGAAAGGACTGCATCCGGATAGATATGTTATAAGTGGAGAAGAACGTGCGGTTTGTCTCTCTGATCTACAGACCAAATAAGAAATTATATCAGTCCAGCTTGATACTTCATTTGTTACCAAAAGGTGAAACGATAGCCTGAACATATGTGATAGCTTGGTACACAAATACGATATCTATGTTCAGAATGGATGAATGTGCGTCTGATCAGGATCATAGCAGACTCCAGAGAGCAAATAGCTTACTCTAATACTTGAACAATACCGACCAATGCGTCATTTGAAAATGTGAGTTCAATTTGAATATTAATTATACCCTGTACAAGTATGCTTATTTCCATGTTGTTCTCAATTCTCGTGGATTATCCTGACATGTGTTGCATCATGCTCCTTGTTGCATATATTCGTGAAGATTGTCAATTGAAATTTCGCTATATCAACTGCCCCTTTCGTCAGAGATAATAAAGTATAGACAAGCACTGGTATCATTGTCGTTCCATCACCTGAAGAAATCATGTCATTTTTATTTAATTTGTGATATGGAATAAATTTCATATAATCAAAATTATTTTGCTATATAGACTTTTAGAGTGTGTGGACGGCAACCAAAATTTTGACGAAATGTTCTAGCTAGAATACCTAAATGCATATAAAAGTGAAAGTGACACACCTGTTGAATTATTAAATTTGTCTGGCAGAAGACAGAATCTGCGAATCAGAATAAAACTGTGTTATATCTGTGTGTACGGGATGTTATATGATCTTCGAGATTGTTGTTATTTATGTTCATTGGACAATGTTGTTAAATTTTAATATCTTGAATCGTTTTTTGACATTTGCAAAAATTATTCGGATAAAGAAATATATGTGTAGTGAATAATATAAGCATTGGAGTCATTTATGTGAACTGAATTTACGATTAAAAAGATCTGTAGAAATTCAAACATAATAAAACATAAATTTTATAGTAAAGTAAACAGTGGGTAAACATAAGTTGAAGATGCCGATACAAATTTCTGAAATCTCCGTTGAAATCAAGTAATGCCTGGAACAACTTTTTTTTCACCTAAAATTCACTTTCGATTTGGAGAAATATTATCACTCCAGTATTAAATAGTTGAGTCTCGAGTTTGATATAAACGTACTTCTTCAGTGTATTCTGATCCGATAAATTTGAAAATTTTACTGCTTTGATGCTGACTAAGGTCACTCTATACTAGTTTCGCCGCCACATTGTCTAGTTGGATTCTTTCTCTATTTAAGGATTCTATGAATTCATTATCCATTTGCTTAATGATATATCTGCTGGCATTTTCTTTACTTTTTTTCTGAACCCACTTCAAATTTTTCAGTCAGCTCTGTCTTTTTCTAAATTCGTTGGTGAAGTTTTCCTTTCGAATTCCAAATATACGAATGTTATTCTGATTAGACCATTTTTCTTTCAACAACTTTTTACAGTATGTATTTTCATTATATTTTTACATATCTTATTGGGGACTTTCACATCTTTGCTCCAAATACGTCTCTAGACAAGCACCCTCTGGTACATTAAAATGTTGATGGAGATGTAAATAAAAAAAAACATGTTGAATCCAACACATTAGAAATATCATTGCGCATGGTGATATCTATTTATAGTTATACCACAGTATTTATAAACATGAATAAGCGAGACAACAGTTTCTTGATTCATGGCCTGTGTTTCGTGCCGGTCTCCATATTAGTCTCGCATCGTGGAATGATTATATTTCTGTATCAAATTTGGAAACGATTCTTCTTTATTACCTCACAAAGCAAAGATTATTTATAGGTTTATTGAAACGATGTATTTTTGGATGATTCGATTATCACGAGCTGTTTGCAGTTCATGTAGCTGCTACAAAGATAAAAAAAAAAAAAACTTCAGCAGTTTATGAAAACCGTAGTTAACTTCTATCAACCGTAATTATTTAATTATATAACTATGCTTCATATAAACAAAAAAACTTTAGACAGAACTCCTTTTCTAACACAGTAGATATCAATTATTTTAAAGGTCCAAACATAAAATGATTTGGTTCAACACTGACTTCGTTTTCAACTTGTTGACCTTGCAGTTGTATTATATTTGACATGATTGTGTTTGGTGTCTATCATTGCACGTCTCGTTCGGGATGTTCATTTCATGCAATTTGCAAATTATCCTTAGATTAACTCTATTTGCATATGCTGCGGATTAAAAGTTTGCAAATAGAGTTGGTTGACGTTTCCTATATGCTATAATGTATTTCTCTTTCTTGTTTATTTTTTTATCTGTTCATCTATGAATATCAACTTTTATTAGATCTTTAAACATAACACGAATAGGCTTCATTAAAAATGCAGTTCTGATTCGTGCCTACATAAACATGGACCTGGCTAAAATACGTGACGTTTTTTCTCAAAATACATCACATTTAGGTATATTTTTATCTTCAGTGCGATGCATCAATTGTTATATTTTTCATTACAATTATACTTCGATTGTTTCTATTAATACTCATTCACCTAACTTGCAAGTTAAGATAAAATTGAAGTCCACGAGCTCTGCTGAATTGGGCTAAAAATGGATAGTGGACTATAAATAAATAGTTATTTGCAACCGAAGGGCATAAATATAGATTCGGGAATATTCTGCACGTTTCACATAGCTATTATTGTGACTGATTCGAGTGTGTATATTCGTCCAAAACATTCACGAGACTGAACTGGAAAAAAAAATTTCACAACTATTTTCAATAAATTGAAAACTTTTTTAGCAAAATGACGCTGAGAGCTCCCGAGGTCAAAGAAGTTTGAAAAATGGGCGGTAGATAATAGCGCGGCATTAGAAAAACGTCACAAACTTGTTAGCGCACTCAAAACTCTCCTAGTTGAGGTGGATTTTTCATATCAGCATTAAGCCGAATTATATTTTCGATAATACAACTTTTTAAAATTGTGATATATGAAAAAATAAGATAAACGCTAAATTGAATAAACATCTGAAAAATAATAACTGATATATTTTTTAAAACAATTTTTAGAAAGTTTTCGACTTCAGCTATAGAAATTCAGTTGAAATATGGCAGTGAAATGATCGAAACGTTTTTGTTAAACAGTCGAAACTAAATGAAAGGCAAGAAATATTTGTGCATGTAATGTACAAAATCATTGCTACTGATAAATAATATTATTTTCTTGACACAAGTCATTTGGTTATTCTCTTCATCTAGAGTTGACGAATAAAACTCAAACTGGGTATTATTTTCAACTGATTTCCTTGCAGGTTTGTGTTTATTGCTTTTTTTCTTTTCTAACCAATTAATTTCATATTTACAAAGTGATAAAGGCCAAGTTAGAACTAGCGAGTGATTTCTTAAATATTATTCATATTTGGACTTTCTACATCTCGAGTCAAGTTGTGAAAAATCCTGTACAATCGAGCACTTTCCCAATAATAAGATTACTTCAAACAAAGTTCCATTATTGATGAATATTTGATTTGTTGATTGTGATCATCTTTAACTAATATTAATCAATGTATTTTGATTGATATTGAATTGCGATGATTTGTTCATATTTGTGGGCGGTCTAAACATGACACACGCTAAATCACGACTAAACAATTTTACGAATTACATGAACTTATTTTAAACATGTATAATATTTCCGGATGAGACATTGCAGTCATTTAATTAATTCATTGATATTATGCGTCAATGACTCCGATACATTACTTTGCACCAGCGGTAAATATATTTCAGAAATATAGGTTTATATCACGTTTATAATTGCCCTAGTCAATTTACTTTCCCGGTGATATCTTACTGTCTAGACTCTAACTTTATACTGCCTATTTTATTATTGAAAGTTGAACTTACTTGACTGAATATAATCTGCCTGAAATGTGGTTAAACGGAAAATGAAAGGTTATATGGAGGCAAATCAAATAGGGTTTCTGGAAAAATATACCAAGACGCATTTTGTACAGTCCTGAAAACCTAGCACTTGAGCTCGAAATAAATTTAAATAAGGCTATCAGAAACGCAACCGAAGATAAAATGAATACATTTGTAGTTAATACTTGTTATTTGTTTTTACACACACTTGCTATGTACACGGTTAGTAAACTTCATACAAATAAAAGGGTATAAAATGAAAACCTGAGGTATGTAAACTGATGCAATTCGCTTATCAACATGTTTTAATCAATACCCAAATATCCATACACTCAAGCAGATACTGGTGAATGATGATCAAATTAAATGTGTAAAATATCGCCAACCGAATACGTTGGAGTAAAATAATAAATGTAACCTTGATTCCGAGGGACAATTAGAGCACGATTCCATGTGAATATGCTCAACTCTTTTGACACTACTACACCATGTCACACTATTATTAATATACCCACAAAAATAGTTCATTCCAAAAAATTTACTTAATTTTTTTATATGTCGTCTACAATATTTCTAAATTTTAAAAAATATATCAAATTCATTTTGTTGTTATATACGGTCAAATGAGTTAAAGACCGAGAAAAGGGAACTACCAGCCAGCTATTATAATAATGTGTATTCGGCAGTATGAATAATTTTAGTTCTTAAAACATAAAGATGAAAAAATAAATGATAAACTATATGTAGAACACACGGTATGCAATACCGTCAATACAGAAGAAAACGTGTTTACGCTGCGCACAAGTTGTCGAGAAGCATAGTAAGAAGCGAATACCCGAGTTTGTGTATTACCCCGGTTATTTTTATCAGGTGTTTATTTTGCGTTTAACAAAATTATTAAGCTTAGAAAAGACTACAGCGTGAACAACGCAACTTATAACGTAGTTGCAGATATTTTCAGTACTTGATAAATATCTCGAAATCTCGATGCTCGAAAATTAGCTCTTGCGTAATTTATACTTTGACTGCTGAATAGGTCGTTGTAAAAGTTTCTACATGAAGAAACTCTTCATTAATTTATATACATGCGCTTGCGCTAAAAATCTAATGCACCGAGTGGAAAGTACGAGTAATCTCATATCAAAAAACGTAATATGACATGGGCACACAATGTCCTGGCGTGACTCATCGCAAATACCAGCTCGGTGGTGTGCATCATATTGCGGTAAAATTATATTTCCCGTTCACGTAAGTGAATTTTGATAAAAAGATATGGAATTAAGTTTTGAGATCATTGAAAGCCTGATTCCTGTGTCGACTACACATTTGATTGAAATAAAATTGAGGAAGATTGACAACAAGGTTTAGATACTATTATTTAGGAATACTAGTTTATTATCAATTCTGATTATCGTTATATTTATATGGTGTCAGTTAATGAAAAAAAAATGTTCATACATGCTTTCTATACAAGATAGTGTGCAAATAGGCCGATTGTAAATTGAAGAGGGATGGCTCTAACACCAATTGAAGTTAGTCCCTACTGAGAACATCGTACCCATATTTGACAAAAAACTAGCAAAACGAAGTATGCTAAGTATGGCAATTATGAAGTCAAAAATGTGGACAAAATAATATGTAGATTTACGAACATTTGCATTTATATAAATTTTATGTAATTATCATTTAGAAGTCTGAATTTTTGAACAAAATGGAAACCACTTTCCAACCAGAAATCTACAACACAACGTGAGCTATTATTTTTATCTGAATATTCTATAAAATTGAACTGAATGTAAAAGTTAAATGATTGCATTTGGTGATCCAACCGATTTTTATTAAGAATTACAAATATTGTCGAAGTATACAGTTATTCAAAGATGGACTTTCTTTTTTTAAATTAAGTGAATTTGAACACCGCAGTAACCAACAGAAAATATTGGGATTGAATTAATTATTCATGAAGTTTATATAAGTAGTCGTGAACATGACAATATACTTTAATACAGGCCATACATTCGACCGTTTAGTGACGAGGCGATCTCCATTTCAGCATCGATTCTATTTATTACGATGATGTTTGGAATAGTAGCAAACCTCGTTACTATTCTCGTAATTGTAATGTCGGAAAAATTAAGGTAATTTCTTACTTTTCCTCATTCCTCATTCACAAATTTACTGAAACTAACTACTTCCGACAAGAAAGGTATTTGTAGTAAATCAAATTTTAATTTTTATTACAGTACAATAAATGTCTCGGTCAACAAATTTTGTCATTAAGTTTGGTGACAAAGTCTATGGTAGAATATTCAATTCTGACAACCTATAAATATGATAAAAACATTAGATTATGCAAATTATGCGAGGTGGAAGTAGTGATTAATTGATAGCCAAATACTGGAAAATAAAATATTATTTTTGTAGTTCTTCAGCAGGGTAAGAATCTTTTTCACCAATTTTTACAAAAAGCTGATAATCTAATTTCCTTGTAGAATATAGAAATAACCAAATTAGTTTGAAACGTTTCCATTCCTACTCTAATAGAAGATCTGGGTAGAAAGGTCAAGCGTAGGCCGTATTTTCATTCGAGAATAATTTTCCAGCAGAATTAATTTTATTTTAATTGCAGGTCCATCTTCAATTTTATGATCGTTAGTTTATGCGTTTCTGATTTATTATCAGCACTTGTCAGTCCTCTAGCGTTATATCGTAGGACGTGGGGATTTGAGGAATGGCTGCTTCCTGGAGTTCTATGCAAAGTAAATAAATTATTAAAAAAATTAATCTACGCACGTTGAGTTAGATATAGTTTTTCTATTACTTCCGTTATTCCCCATATGGAATAAATTAAGAATGTTTAGTTGATAGCATTATACTGAGTAACATATGCGTCAAAAGTTAAAAACGAAGTTAATAAAATGTGTAAGCCTTTGGATATGTGTACCATACATATTTTTATTTAGGGCTCTGTGCTTACTTGTCAGAGCACATCTTATGTATCTGAAGTACAAGCCTACTGTCATCCAAATAGACCTCTGCAGAGCAAACCATCAGAATAGCGATTGTGAATATAGACATATCACTCTTCCAAACTGTTTAAATTATTTTTAATTTATCATCTTTATGAAGTGGTATTATAATAATGTAGTATACTAGCAAGTTGGGATCAGGCGAATTAAATTCTTACCAAGAGATCTAAATACAACAGATATCTAACATGATTTTATCATCATAATTCAAATTTAATATATATTAAAATAAATAAATGAATAAATAATAGGGATATATTATTAAGAAACGCTAGAATGACAAATATCATCATTCTGTTAATTGTTGTCATTCAAAGAAAACAATTTGAATATTCAAAGAATAGAAACAGTTAGAGCAACGGTGCACAACCTGCGGCCGTTGTGAAAAATAATGCGCCGTCCACATACAAAATCATATAAACAAAAAAAAATAAAAAAGTTCAAAATATAGGATTTGCCGGCTATGCTGGCGTATATTGAATCAAATCAGAAGCACTGCAAAAAATCAGACGACACGATGCGTCACAATCTGGATGGTGTATCGTCTGCAGATTACAGCCCAGGAAATTGTAGCAGTTTTATTTGATTCTGACTCTGATTTGTATGACAAGCCTGATAGTGAATCTGTCGATTGGCCAACTTATCAGTGGAAAATACCAGTTCAAATTAGGTCTAATTAAGCTTGCTGTTAGCAACCAGATTTTGTTCATTACAGCGCTAGCCTATATTAAACTGCCTGAAACATTTAAACATTACTTCATACTGAATCCTTCCACGAATTTAGATCTTTTGGTCGATTGACACTTGGACAAATTACGTAACATCTCTTCACATACTACTCTTTGCAACAATAAGACTTCTATCTATCAAATGGCCTTTCGGATACAAAAAAATAAAATTGAGGCAAATAAAAGTAAGTACAGTGACTATTATATATAAAGTTTGTATATAATGACTTATGAAAAGTTCTTGTTTTTGCTTAGGCCTTCTATATGAGTCAACATGTAATATTTGAATTTACCTTTTTCTAGATTATTACAGCGATAATATGGTTCATCACATTTAACTGTGGATTTATTCCAAGATGGATCTGGTATGAATCAAAGAAAAGAGACAGACACGCATCAAGTGTGGATGCTAAATGGCCATCTTGTACTCTCAACACTGACTGGTAAACTTGTTTATTGTTAACTTTTTATTATTATTAATATGTACTAATATTGTCAATCTTGAATTGTGTTTTTGGATGATTTATGACATGTAGTCTATGTAGTGTGGCGAACCACTTAACTTATAGCCGTTATGGGTCACAATTGTTTTGTTTATGTTTTTGTCACGCATGATTACTTACGTGCTTTTCTTATGATAACTTGTTTAAAGAATATATCGACTAACAATCCAACGATATTTTAGTTTATTGAATACTTAAATGTTGAGAGAATTAATAAATTTTGAATCGATATGACTGGCTGAAAAAAGGATTCGGTTGCGTATCCTGAGCCAATTAAATTCTTCCATAATCCGTAATATCAAACATGATCCGACAACAGCGCACTTTGACTCAAATTTATAAAATTATCATAACATTGATTTTTCACATTTTATCTCACCTGTTTGAACAGATCACAATTATTTACACGTTTATTTTTTATATTATTAAATAACTCATTGATCTATTCTTGATCGCTACTTATTTATTTCCAGGCTGAATGAATATAGACTTTACTACAAAATAGCCTATCCAATTTTTATTTATTTTCCCATGGCTGTAATTGCAGTTTTATCACCAGCAATTGCAATTATTTTGATGAGGCAGAGACAAAACAGAGTATGGAGAAAACAAGCCAGCATGTCGAGTGAGTTTTTTTCGAAATATGGTTTTACTGATTTTATTATTTTAATTGCCGAGTTTGTTTGTCCCCTGAATATCCCCATCAATTGCTTGCGAAGCATCAAATAAAAATTTCGGATTTTTTTTGGTTTTTGGAAATAAAATATCTGATCGACTAATAATCATCTCAATCAATACTGGCATAGGATGAAAATAGCAAAAATATCGCTTGCTTATGACTCGAGTTGAAAAAAAACTGACAAATTCAAATTCATCGCTAAAAGTACAAATAAAATCTAAATAAATAAATAGCTATAAATAGCAATTGCGATATCTCTGCATTCATTGGTGAGGAAAAGTCTTACAGTTAGTTCGTTTTTAGTTTTTTCTTTCAAATATATATCCGTTATGACATGAAAGTTTGAAATAACGCCCGTTATGAATAACGTTAGCAAACTACCACCACTGACAAATTTTATTGTGTGAATAAATTTCTGTGTAAATGTAATAAAACTTAAAACGAGATTCAGAAATTTTAAATTTAGTGCTGTGGATTCTTATTATCAAACATTAGATTCATCATAAATCAAATACGTGCTTAGTGAATTTCTTCTTTGTTCAATTTTTATTATAAATATGTCAGTCAGGAAAATTTGAAACAAGAATTTGACGCGGAAACCCTGAATGTCGTTCACGGAACACCATGTTCCGCGGAACATCGGTTGAATATCACTGTTATAGGGTAACCATTGTAAATACAGAATTATATTTCCGTAGCCTACGGGTCGGCAACCTTAAGCATTGAAAAAGCCGTTTGGCATTATTTGCATCAACTTTAAAACTACTTGAAGCCTCTAATATCAATGGCTTTTGGAAAACCACTTATGATGCAATAAGCTAGTGATTACTAAGAAGAAGCCAAATGAAATATGAATGACGCAATAATTCAGTCTATGACGAAATGAAAAAACTTGTAAAATGAAAAGAAAAAGTTTGTTTTGAAAGACTTGAATCACCTTCATGCGGCCCATTTTCACCGCTCGCAACTTATACTTTGGGAACCGCATGCGGCTGCGGAGCCTCAGGTTTCCGATTGCTGCCGTGGACGAATACATACTGTACTTGTTATCATGTTCAATTGTGACAAACGTAATTAAGCTTGAAATTCTATAGAGCCGAGATCCCGAACGAGATAATTACTATTAATATAAAACAATGCATTTTTACAGTTAAGAACAAATGTCCAAAGATGAGTAAATGTGAAATGAAAACCCAGAGAAGAGAAAATCACGCGATTCTGCAACTGGCATTTATTTCCGGATCCTTTATGTTTGGATACATTCCTATAACAGGTGATAACACTTCCTCGTACCCATAAACAATCTCTTAATCTAGATTCTAATAAACTATTTTTTTCTTTTTTTAAATTTAACTATGTGTATTGTTTCACTAAATTACGGAAAACAAATGAAATTTCTAAAACTAGCCAAACGAACAGTAATTACTCTCATGGTATGTAATGAATACTAATGATAGGCGAATTTGCAAAACGACCAACTCGGATCAAATATACTTTATGCGCTAAGATTACAGGATGACAATGAGGTTCTATTTTAAAACTTATTCTCGTCTGCTCTCAGTTGCGGATATGAATTTCTGTGTAGACCACTGGTTCTCAAGCCACAGAAACATTTTGAGGTGGGCCCGGACCAATTCTAAATTGCGAGAGTTGTTGGCTGAAGAAATTGATTCGCTAACAAGACCAGCTTCATGCGTCTTGAAAAAAAACAAGATATTCATTTACAAAACATGCCTCCTTGTTAAAACGCAGTGTGACGCAACAAACACATTCTATGGTCGGATGGCACTAGACAGGTGATAGAAATAGTAATCGCATCGTCATTCGAAACAGGGAAATCGGTTGAAATAGCAAAACGAAAGTTCATCTTCTGCTTTTTTTTCAAACTCACCTCGTAGTTTTTTCCTAGCATAAAAAACTTAGTGGGCCACAGAACTTTTGTGCACCAAAAATGGGCCACGAATGGAAATGATTGAGAATCACGGTTCTAGACATTACTCTCCCTCCCCCTGTTAGTGCTTTAGGATGCTGGCTTAAAAAAAAACTGGAGCAGTGCCGGATTGTTCTTCATGTTCATGAGTTTCAACGTTGGTATCATGGTTATTTTCACTATTTAATATTTTCAGCTTATACATTTTACACCACAAATGTTAAACATAGTAAATTGGCTATGAAACAGATGGATTGGAACTTTGGAATGATTGCTTATATTCTGCTTAGACTTTCGGAATGTTTGAATCCAATTTTCTACAACATCGCATCAGCGTAAGACTTCATTGATATTTTCCATTTAACTATCTTCAACATTTTTCTTTTTATTCGATTTTATGGTATGTATTAATATAAGGCATGTTTTGTATTCACTGTATACATGCAAAGCAAACTTTCGATACGTCTGAAAACTTTGACTCGAGAAATCCTAAAATGCTGCTTTTTCGATGAAGCAAACTACAAAATATTGAGAAATGAATCATGACATTACCATATATAACCGAGGTCCACAGCGAACCCTTGCACAAAACAAAAATTTTCCTGTACTTGTATTCTACTAAGCGGAAGCAAAGATTGGGCAACAGACTGTATGCCATATTTGGTTGTAATCTCTGCTGCAATTTTTCATTTTGACTCCTGTCAAACGATCGGTGAACATTGACCTTGTGTGGTAGCAGATCATTAAAAGATCACTGATACGCTTATACCTCATTCAGTGGAGATTTCTGTCCATGAATAAATTATTTAAAAGTTTTCTTTCTAATTTCTAGAAAAATGCGACGGGAGACTGTAGCGTTCCTAAAAAAGATCATTAAATGTTGCTCGCCTTTAGTCGCCGTTCGTGGTAGAACAAACTCTTCGAGTTCGAATACAAGCGAAACAACATCTGGAAGAAATACTCTTGACCTTGAATTATAAAATGAGAATAATTTTTTTTATCGTGCCTCATTGACTTAGGTATGTTGAGTATGACATACTTGAAACTGTAGTTAATTGCCATTTGCCAAGTATTTACAAGATGTTGAACTGGACTGCTGTGGCCAATATGTATATGGGACTTTTTTAAAACTATAATGCGATTATGATATTATCCTCTCGTGATGTTTCATAAAACCTGCCTGCCTCGTTCAAGGGTGGTGTTCAAAGGCCGCTTCTATTCATTTCCGACATAAATGATGCGAAATGATTTCCACTAGAAGGCGCCGTGCTTACAGGAGATATCTCCAGATCGTGCCGGGCTAAAGATCGTGTTTTCAGGCAATGCTGACTCGGATTACCGAGAAATTTTGAATGTGTTTTTTCATTTAACACTATACAGAATTAAGACTTGTTATGCATTTTTAATTTAGCCTATTCCACTTTTCGTTCGTAATTGTTATTTTCGTGCAATGTACATTATTCGTCCACGGAATAGAATTGGAAAAAAATAAGTTGGTTCAAGTTGGCAGAAATAATAAAAAGTTTGGGTGTTTTTTTTTATCTATAATTACTCAAGCTTAAGTCAAATTCTTTAGCTAGAACTGGGAAATACTCATGAAAATGCAAATACCACTAAAATGCTAAAAATCGACAATACCGCTATTGATAAAGCAACTTTAACAACAACTACAAGAGTCACGATTACTGAAAGAACATGAACACCAAGTTTGATAATAGGAACAGAAATAAATTCTCAAAATTCGAGGTTAAAACATTTTTCCGGGTCGGGTAAGATTCAAATTTTTATATACTGTAGTCTCTATTTACTCACCTACCTACGTGTGAATTCCCATGTAGATGATGCCCTAATGAAAAGCCCTGAAATCACACTTAAATAATTGTAAATTTTTAATCAATTCGAATTAGGTTTTTATGTGAAAATATTGACAGACCAGTCAGTAAACGAATATGTCGAATCCCGGTTAATAAATGAAGACTACATAACAATTTTAAAATTTTCAACATCTTATACCACCTCAAATATATAAGCACGACACTTTTTCAATGTGTCGGTCACGAGATAGAAAATATTGCAAATTACTTTCATAGAAATAGTCAAACATTGTATTACGCAACAAGGGAAGCAGAGTTTTGCATACTTTTATCAAAATATCCCTAATTACTTGGTCTCTTGACCAATCGACAATACATTGTTTTTATCGAAAGGGTTATACCGCTAATTTGATAGCTGAAAGAACTGTCTGGTTGGGAACCAGCCGCAAGTCTATTTGAATTTCGGAAATGGCAAAGTTTCTAATAACCAATTGTAATTTCCGCCCTAAGATATCCCCGATTTTAATATCGGTAGAAATTTTGGATGGATAAACTAAATTTCGTCTAGTTGGTGCCACATATTTAAAGGGATTTGACGTGGAATCAATATGTATACGTCAGTGGCTTGGAATTTGTTAATGAATGCTGGATATACTTACCTGTCTCCGTCGCTTCACTAAGCAAATACTGATACGGCTTGAATAAATTATTGTGGCCCAGCTTAAGCCGGTGCATCTGTATGTGTTCTATGTCGCTAGGCCAAATAAAAGTAATATGACATATGATTATATACTAAGCAGAAAACTCTTTCCATTGGAATATTGTTGCATGATCGTGTTTATGATACTCATATCTATCATAAATACATATATACATTCTCTCATCTTATTGTACCGTTAATCACAAATGTTTATTTTTATGTCAAAATTTTCCTCCATGCACTTCAGATATATATGTGAATTGACCACCACAAAGCTATTTTTCGATCATATTGACTTAAATGTTTTCAAATCTGACTTTACTCAATTAATCGGCATAATATTTGTGTGAGTTTACTTCTGTGTCAATGAAAAACAATTTTTCACAAATGTCACATTGAAAGTTATCATATTATCATCATTGTTCTAGTTTGAGTCGTTCTCATTATTACGTAGTTTTAAATCCAGTATGTTCCATGCTAATGCCATACCATTCCAAGAAACACATCAAGTATTTACACAGAAATTCATGATATAAATAGACATTCATAAAAAAGCTGACGAAATTTGTGGAAAAATGAATCGCGTGAGAACAAGAGGAAATATTTTTAAATGAAAATAATCGACATTAAAAACCATAATTATTGAAGGGCTCACTTCCAGAAGCGCTGATTCATATCCGGTAATTGGATCCTTGTATTAGCAATTTGGGCAAATGAGCTAGATGCTAATCCCAAATCAATAATTTGACAACAAAAATATTCGGGAATGAGACCAGCTATTTAATGTGATGTTTAAACTGTAGAATCTTCATTTGTCAATTGAAGACTTTTTTATTTGATTCAAAGTTCTATTTAAAGATCCCATTTCTCATTAAATGCAAAAAAAAAACAGATCAACAAGATCAGTATAATCTATGTTTTTGGATACATTATGATATTGTGCAAAACTGAATAACGTCGAATAATGTATTTGAAGCGGGTTTTAGCTTATTGTTCTCTATATTTGGAATGGGGATCCAGATGAGAAGATTGTCTGTTACCGAAATTCAGTAGGAAGTTTAACTTAAAAAATGAATCGCAATAAATTTGTCCTAATGACTTAATAGGAAAATAGCGGAGACATCAAAGTAAATTATAAGGTCTAGTGGAGTTTTGGATGACACGAAAGCAAAATTAAGTTGAGTTTTCAGCCCAATGATCGCTAATTCGGTTGTTATGTTAATCACCAAATATTTCTTCGTTTATTCAGTAAAGTGTGGGCCATAGACTGAAAACGCTGTTGAATCTCTGCCACTAACTATTCGCGATCGCAGTGTGACATACATGTGCGGGCAATAACAACACTTATATTACCAAACGCTATATTATTTTTTTGAGGTATCAAGGCTTTGAATAGTGTTAAAATAGTCGGCATTGAGCAACAAATGATTTATGGAATATGATGCTGGCAAGTCCAGTGAGATGCGACCGTATCACAGATATCAGTACCATATTGCTAACAATGTAAATGACCAAGGGTGTAAACATTAGCGACTGACGAATAAGTATACAACACATCATGTATTATAGATTTGGCAGGATGTCCCCAGTTTATTTAATTCCAATTAAGGCTTAGATAAGAAACCACCGATGGAAGCGAATATGTTTATTGATATGCCAATCCGGTTTATATTGCCCATGCAATTAATAACACATAAAGATGAAAAGAAGCATTTTCAAATCTTGTAAACTGCCACGCGTTTTATGTAATGTCTATCGTTAACCTCGTACAAACCAAGAAAGGTGGTAATTAAAATAAACCCATATTTTTCTATGTGATTTTGCTTAATTACAGTGTAAAATGCGGCATCGTAATTATTGTTGCGGAGTAAAGTTTGAACTGAAGATTAGTCTTCAATTGCAGGTGTACGTATAATTGATAAATTAGAAATATTTTACTCAAAAACAGGAAAGAGACGCGGATACTCGAGATATTTTTGAGGACTAGCGCTTCACTCAGCTTTTAGGCTAGTGGGCTAAAAATTTGGTGACTCCAATTAAATGTTGAAATTTCTTTCTGTATTTTCAGTTCAGTCTGTCTTGTATATGTTTGGGTGACAGTGTATATATAGGTGGTTGGGCAGCCATTGATTTCTATTTAGTATTCGAAAGTTGTCATATTGACAACTATATTATTCAAATATTCTGTTTATGACTTAATTTTTCTGTCCGCAGAAGAAAGAGATCAGGAATGCAGTGCTAAGTGACGCTTTTCTTGTAACATATATTTTGACATTCAGCCGTTGCTTGCTATAAAATATAACTTAGATAATTTATTTCATGGAAACATCATTCTGAAAGACAACAACATTGATTTATTGTCACATCATATCTTTTTAAAAAGTTCCCAACGTTCATAGATAAAAAAAAATGACATTGGTGATATTATTCCCAGGTTGAATGATTTTTTATTGCATAATTGGCAATGCTTTTAATTACATGCATGCTTTTAATTACATTCATTTATCTGCATTATACAGATGAGAATAATATCCATTCTTTATTTAGCATAAGTCAGTAAAATGTCATTTCGAGCACAATTGTAAATTTGTTGAGATAATTGTAAATGCTTGAATATCTGAATTATACATTGTTTTTACGTTGAGTAAAATGGGTGCCTGTGGTATTTAGGCTAAATGAAATTCCATGCCTACGGCACGGTATACTCGCGCACAAACTTGACAAATGTATATAATTTTATACAATTTCAGGAGGTACACATGTCTGTGAAAATTGTTCAACTAAAAAGTGAAAAACTGAAATGTTTGTTGAAGTTGGCGACATAGGCATAACCTCAACAGCAGATGTTTCAAATACCTGCTATGACTTTTGCCGTCGCTACAAACTCAAAGAGAAATATCAAAGTATCTATGTCATTTATGTTAAGACGCCAGGTTATCTGCTTTAAAGAGTTTATCTGCGAGCTTTATTTGTGTTTACTGCACATTCGATTCGAAAAATTAAAATCTTAAGCCTCACTTCGGATAGTGAGGGATCATATTGTAACATTTGACGCGTAGCAGATGATGACAGTATATCATAAATTAACCACCAGTTTCACGTAAATACATCTGCTATATCTGCAACGACTGAATCATAGATTTTTACAGATTCGCATTTTAATTCCAGCAAAGTTATGCATAACAGCCCTTAATTGCTAAAATGTATTTTTAATATGTAACATGGAATTAGTGAACAAGAGTGTTGTGTTTTTTAGTAGCGTTCCGTCGATTTTTCTCTATTTGTCTGTTGTAATAATTTGTTTCGAATTCGTTTTTGCGAATAAACCACCGGATTACAACAATTAGTTCACGTCACATATGATCTTAACTAACCAAATCGTCTGACGTAGTAAAAATATATGGTGGAAAGTATTAAGAAGAAAAGGTGCTAATTTAGAAAAGGAAATTGTCGTTATGTGGTATCTGATTTCTCAATTCACAGAATAACGGCATTTTTAGCGTTCAATATTTTAAATATGGCGTAACGCAAATGTTCTCACCAACAATCTTAATTTATTGGGCAACAAAAGCAATTAATAGTTTAGATATAAGATGATATTCAAGAGAAGCAATTTTCATTATCTGGTCCCGGTTTTGAAGAATAACATTTTTAGCATTCAAATTTTTGTCCTAATATTTATAATTTGCATAATCCTGTTAAAAATAACTCCGATTTCTTCTTTAAACATTTTGCGATGAAAAGAAAATGACAAAAAACTGTGATTTTGCATTCTAGTTTGCATCTTTTATCAAATAATAGGAAACCTTACAAGTTAGATTATGCAACATTCAAATTGTATTTAAATGTTGCATATGGTGGAACGAGATTGGGGTATAATAAAAATAGACTTTCAAGTATATTTTTATTTTATATCATCAAGTACAACCAAGCTTGTTGACAGTGCACACTGTGACAAAACTATAAATAAACAACAAATATCTCACTAAAAATTTACAAAAAAAAATATGAAAAATTCAAGTTGAAAATATCAACAAAATATGAAATATCTGAGTAGAATGTTCCGTGATTATGATAACCAAAAGTGATCGCAATTATGTCAATAAGTGGTGTAGGTAGAACAATGCTCTGATAATAAATTAATAATAGTAGTTTCAACAATTAAAGTAAATTAAATTTGAGTGGTGATAATTGCACTATATTTATGTAACTTTTCACATAACTTTGAAGAGAGGTTCATTCAAAATTAATTAAGGAAAAAATTCTTGAACCAGACATTTGGTCATTTATGCTATTTAGTTATTTAGTTTCGAGTACTAAGGCTGGTGTCTGGTGAGGGACTGGTATGCTTTTAAAATATATTCTTCGATGTTTAAAATATTTGAAGTGTGCATCCTTGAATGTTTTGACTAAATATTGTACTCAAGCATTTAATTACACATTTTAGAATGATAGTTGAAGCACTTATTTTTGCAATGTGGTAGGTAACCCCGTAACTATCTGATCTCACACACGTACATACCCACATAAGAATGTTTTTATTTCATTTTTTAAGTAAATTTATGCGTCAAAAGTGTTGTGAATTATGTTTATACGTATTTGTGACAGTAATTTACTTACTGTGAAATAACATAATTTATTGAACAATAAGAAAGAAAAAACAATATAAAAAAAGATGAATTTTTCATTTTTTTCTCTTCTGCACATGAGAATATCATATGTAAAATAACTTATTTTGTGTTATTGATATTAATCCAGGTTAGGCATCACGGCACGTTGTAGATTAAATAAATTAAGTTGTGCATCATAACATTCAAACAGTATCTATATTTTGCTGATCGACTCCTTTTTAAATTCATTTGCCTCCGATAACTTTTGCTAATATAATACCCAATCCGTCTAAAATGCCTGATATCTTAAAGTCCAGTTTTCTATAATTTTCTCATAATTATTTTTTACGATCATTTTTTTTTTCAGTAAACAATTAACTTGTTCTATGCGTATTTTGGATTTGTATGATTTTGGTATAATTAATCGGAAAAAAATAGTACTTACAGTGAAATAAGATTTCATTGTTCATAAATTTCCACAGAATGGGTTTATTTCAGTGATACGCTTGAAGACTTGCTTCTCCACATCAGTCTTTAAATCACACTTATTGATAATATAAATCTTACTTAGCTGCTTTGTGAGTAAAAACCTGCATAACTATTTTAATGACGATTAGGGGCTTTAAACAGATCTACATTTACTGATTATCTGCAAGTTTGAACGTTAAAATGTTACATCTTACTCCAATCGGGATAATAATTGGGTCATTTCGTTGAGAAAACATCAGATTTCAATCCATTTTTGTTTTTATTTCATTCAAGGCTTTTGATTATGTAGAAATGAATTCCGTAATAAATCCTCCACGAGAAAGATTCGATAAAGATCGGAATGCTGATGAAGTGTCAGTAACGACTGAGGCAGCTAGATTTGTAGTTATAGAAGACGAATCACATGTGACAACTGTTGAACTAATTACTCTTGCACACACTACGGATATTTCAACTTCTAACATAACTACAATGCAAATGACAACCACGCTGCCGTTTTCATATGCTGCTACAACATATAATAAGACGGTAGATTATAACATCACATTCAACAATCTGACGACAGTGCAAACGTAAGTCGTGCAAAAAAAATTAATAATTTTCTTATTCCGAGTATATATGGGTTATTGGAATATTCTAAAACTTTAAAACGGATGAGCTACAAACAGTCTTAGTGGGTGTACATTGCAACGTAATTTTAATAATTTCAATTACCAAAAAGAAAAAGATGGCTTTTCATGATAACAATCACTAGGTGGTGTCGCGGCGTATACTACAAACCACTTAATTGTATTGCGTCCCCTATTATCTTGAAATGTATATCAATTAGTCTATTTGGATTTAAATGATGCGTTTCATTCGCGATAATAAAAAATATATAACAAATAATAATAGTTTACTTGTTCCATTTGCACCTAATTTCTGGTTCAACCTAGTCTTCGCTGAGAAACTTATCAAAATAGATAAATCGGTCCAACCTTCACGATATTTAAAAAAAATATAAAACTCGAAACTTTAAATATTTGCTATTTAAACTATCCGATAATTAATGCATGAATTGATTGCGATTTGAAATATGAAATATCTACCAGAAATAATATTTCTTTTGACTAATCCGTTCTCATATTATATATGTACATTTTACAGGCCATATGAAGTACCCTTCTCATACGCAGCAATTATAGTCTCTGCGGTTTTGCTGATACCTATGGCTGTTTTTGGACTTTTGGCAAATCTAATTACACTGATCGTTATAGCGAAATCAAAAACATTGAAGTGAGTAATTTGAATTCGTTATACAATATTTCAATCAATTGTAAGATATAATCATTCAAATAATTTTCAGTGTAATATACGCTAATGAAATTATTAAAAACATTGAATATTATCTTCTATTTTGCAGGTCACTTTTCAATCATCTTTTATTCAGTCTTTGCCTCTCAGACATGTTATCAGCGTTGTTCAGTCCCTTGCCACTTTATCGTCAAACTTGGGGGTTTGAGAAATGGTTACTGACTCAACCTTTGTGTAAGGTATGTCAATTAAAATACCATTGATTGATTGAAAATGAGGAAATTTTTACTCCGTTCAAAATCTGATTCTCCATTGTTTTTATGGATTAAATTTACCATTTTTTGCTGCCACGGGGCTCTTACACTTGAGTTTCATTTTAGTGTTCCTTCGCTGTCGACGGGCTGACGACTTACGTGACAACGATTCATATTTTGCTCTTCGCAACATTTCGATTGATTTCCATAAAATGGCCGATTTCTTTCAAGAAGGTTTCTATTAGGCAAATAAGGGTATGTACAAAATATTATTATGTTTCCACGTCTCAGGCATAACACTTATAAATAGAATGACTTATAACCAAAGTATGTTGTCTAGATTATCATAGTATGTGTATGGATTCTTGGTTTCGCATGTGCCTTCGTACCATACTGGCTCATGTTCAAAGGCGTCCATAGAGAACGGAACAGCAACAATCCGGATGCAAATTGGTCACACTGCTCTCTGGATCCTGCTTGGTATGCTTGGTTTTATGATCTTTATAAATTACTCCAAGGCAAAACAGCATGAGTGACATACCACATATATTGATTCAAACATACATAGGAAAATTGATATACTTTTATAATATATAACAAGATTTCCTACGAAATCTAATTTTCTGACCGACTAAAGTTTCAATAACTGCGTATAACTCATCAACTATCTGACTCATGTCTAGAACTAAGCGTATAATATAACTTGATGATTTGATAATTTTTGTTATTTGATTTAAACTGGCTGGGCAATTTGGTTCATCAATTACAATATATGTTAGTTTATTACTAGTATGAATTGCTACATTATACACGTTGCTCATTTATTCACGGCATTAAGGAATCGGGTCATGTATCCTGTGTACGAACAGTCTTCGCATTTGAGTATATGCATTCTAGTTGCCGAAGCATGGATTATTCAGTCGCCCAACGTAGGCACTTCTGTCTACTATTCTGTGATGTTTTAGCCTTATTGCAAAAGCTATTTTTCAACATTTCTGTTGAAACGAGTTAAAATTTGTTTTTCAGGATCAACGAATTCATCACCTACTATAAAATATCGTATCCAATTTTCATATATTTTCCTATGGCATCTATCATAATAATATGTCCTGCAATAGGAATCGTTATTAAACAACGAAGATTCAAATCAAGAACAGGTATGATCAGTGGTCGTTAAGTTGAGTGCATTTTCTTACATTATTGTTTCGCCAAAGACTTAACAGTATGAGAAAATTGTTTCTGATGGGATTTCCGTTGCGCAAATAAAAGCTGTACCGTTTTTACTTCAGAATAGAACTATTGTGAGGCATACTGACTTATTAGTATCGCAGTTTTTCGCTTGTACTCCAATAATTTGTCTGAGAAAATTGCACACAGAAATCAACATACCGGTACTCGAATTGTTAGTGTTCAGTCGCGGTTCTATGAGTATCCTATTTCAATGGGAACATTGTATCCTCCTACAAAAAAACGAAACAAAATAAAAGAAAATGCATAGGTATAAAGTACTAACAAAGGAGTCGATTCAATTAGTTGTGAAATGATTTTAAGTCTATTTCATTTTTTAATATAGACAAATTGGGGGCCAAGAGTAAATGGTTCTTCTTGTGTAACGACAAGTCGCCTGATCCAGATTCGGCTCTTTTATCACACCATCACACAAAAATGACCCTTGGCATACCAAGTCAAGGTATGACTCAAATTATTGACGATTTCATGTTTGAATAGGACAGTTAAGATGTCCCATATCCTCTATTAAATTAAGTTGAAAATCTGAATTTTACATATTTTTGTTTAATTTAGATAATAAATATAAAAGCCAATTTTTTTCCTAATTTTGCAGCAAATACTGAAGATAAAGAGTCAGAGAGGCGTTTGAGGAAAAAAGAACGAAACGCCATTTTGCAATTAGCTTTTATAACGGGATCCTTTCTTATGGGATACGTTCCCAACACAGGTATCTTATACTATGTACTGCCCTTCATGTTACAAATTTTTAGTCGTATTTTTCAGCTATTTGAAATGTACTTTTAAAAAATTCTCGCTGATAAGCATTCGACTCAACAAACAAGCCAAAATCAGTATCAATTAAATATATTGATTATACGGCGGCAGTTGAATTAATTTAAAAGGTCACGTTTGTATACTATGCTACTATGCGACAGTTTGCAGGTGCCAATCAGTCATTTACAAATGTGTTTAATGCAAATGTAATGCTATGCATGGTTGAAACACCAGTTATTTTGTTAATCCATATACTGGGTGGGATACGAAGAACCAGGAAGAAATGAAAATGATTATATATATATATATATATATATATATATATATATTTGCTCTTGAACTTCTGTATCTATGTATGATTGATTAGACCTAAAAGTTTCAGAAATCCCTTCGCACATAAGTAACGTTCTCTCTTGAATATTACCAAATTACCCCACTGGCATTGTAGGTGGACTTTTATCTGTTGTGCAAAATTGTTAATCACTTACTTGGATTTCTGCTGAAGCACAGTTTCTGCTTCAGCTTCTAGAGGAGTGTGTGTGAATGATTGATAATTTCTCGAATACAAATCTGTCGGCAACGCCGAGGACGGCAATTGTAAGATATTCCAGAGAGAACATGACTTTTGTTTAAAACGTCTGAATTTCTGAAACTCTGGGGTACAATCATATATACACAGACAAGAGTTTGCGTGTAAACAAAAATAATTTACTCCATTTTCAAAGCAATTAAGCCAATTATGGGTTCCGTTTTGGGGGTCACCATGGAATCGCGGTACATATCAGTTACTGCGTTTCCATGGCTTTGTACGTCGCGAATCTGTAGAATACGTCATATCGTTTTACTTGCCCAGGAAACAGTATAGCAACGAGCCTTAAACTAAGTATTTTAATTGTATTTTTAGCGCACGTGGTTTATACAACAAATGTTGCGTTGGAAAACATGTCGTTGCGAGTATTAGAATGGAACTTATACATGTTGGGATATATCTTTTTAAGATTTTCAGAATGCCTGAATCCGATTTTTTATAATCTTGCTTCCAGGTTAGTAACAAAAGTAATCATTTATATATTTGCTCAGAACTTAACTATTTATGTATTCAGAACAAATTTATTTGTGAATATTAGATGAATATTATTATATATATACTATTCATGGTCTTTAGAAATATTTGAAAACCAATGACGTAAAGTTTCTCAATGTTTATAGTAGCAAATTTCATCGCAAATTATATTTTTATCGTTTTATTACTTGTCGCCCCCAAAACTATGGTGCCAAACAATATGAACAATACCATCGAATATTATTTGTCTTGATGAATCTAGAATGGAGGCGGGTTTTGGTCGTTGCTATAAAATTCACTATCTATAATTATATTATGTACGTACTATATATTTGCTGTCAAAAATTCAAACTTGAAACAGAATTGCATGGAAATTTTTTTCACTTATTTGTTGTATCTGACTAAGTAATACCTTATATATTTCAGTAAAATGAGGAAAGAATCAAAAAAATTTCTTAAATCTTGCTTTGGATGCAAGCCGTGTCAAGAAATGGATTGCGGCGGAGTGGCGTCAGGCTCAAGTCAGGGACAATCAAGTGGATCATCCAACGGAGTAAGAACTACCAATGTCGTTTTATGAAAAGTGAATAGACAACATCCAGATGAAGTGAGAATTGAATGTTCTTGTACCTCAAGTAATTTATTTGCATGACCGAAGAGGTAGAACGAAAGGAATGTTTTATTTACTGCACAAACGTCATTTAATTAGCTTTTGATATAAGTGGGAAACGATAGTGATCTTTTTGTATGTTCGATATTTTAGCATACAACAGCAATACTGCTGAAATTTGTGAATATAAAGTATGAAAGTTTGATTTTTTTTTTTACATATTTATTGCTTGTGATAAAAATAAAAAATATGAAAATACAAAACATGTGTGTTTGACTAAGCAATGACACTTTTGAATATGGAAATGGCTGACAAAAACGTTCTAATGATACCATATCGAACATTTTTTACTAGGCGATGAATGTGGAAACTGTAGTGCCTCGACTCTATCCTCAAAGTTCCTTATCTTGCTAAGCTTTCCCCAAAGCAACACACGATATTTGCACGCAAAATAAGAAACTTTTACTGCTACAATTCAGTATGCATAAAAGTAACTAATACAACTTAAATATACAGCGAATAACACCATACAATAGAACCAGCACCAGCCACGCCGTCAAGGATTGGTAATGACCTTCTGTTCCCCTTGACATGTATCCTTGCGCAGAACTAAATCATTCATGACCATCGAACCATAAACACTACTTCCCCCATTGAAAGTCTTTAAATCTGGAAGGCAGTTTTCGTTCTTGCCCTGGACGCTCATAAGGCTGAGTAATTGATTCCGAACTTGGCCTGGTCGGGCTTGGAGCAATTTGTGAATCTGTGGCATTATTGCCAATTTCATTTTGAGCGTCTTCTTCGTATTTCTTCACAAATGTTGAATTGCGACGATATACTTTTCCCTTCTCATCTCTTGACTGTGACTTCCCTTCCTTCCTTCTTGACGACTTCACGCGGAGATTAATTGAAGTTTGTCGACATCTTGTCAACTTTCACTTGCTTAAACGAGCACCGATTCTCCGACCTCAACATCTTGCAAGGTTGATCTTTTGTTGTAATCTGAGTACAATTTCCCTTGCAGCTTGTTTCTCCATCTCTAGCTCTGTGTTCTTTGCCGATTATGTTGTATTTTGGTCTGATTTCTGGAAGTTTTGTTCTCATCTTTCGACCAAACATCAAATAATATGGCGATATTCCTGTTGTTGTATGCGGTGTAACCTGTATGCAAGTAGAAATTTGTTCACTTCAGATTTCCAATCTTTATTTTCTACTTGAGCCATTCGTATGGCTTTCATCAAACTCCGGTTTTGTCTTTTCATCTCGTCGTTTGCTTGTGGCTCCATGTTTGTCTGATATTATTTGAATTCATTAGATACAAGCTGTGGTGCATTGTCGGTTTTTAATGTAAGTGGAATTCCGTAACGTGAAAACAAAGTGCTCAACGCTTCAATTATTTTCTTACTTGTTGTCGACCGCACAATTACAATTTCATAAAAACGACTGAAGTAATCTACATTTACCAGTATGTTATCACCAAAGAATAAAGGTCCTAAAACATCGGCACAACAATCTATCCAAGGTCCACTGGGTTCAGGGGGATTATACGAACTTGTTAAGTGACATCCATGACATACTTTACATTTTCGTTCAGCATCACGATCAATGTTTGGCCACCACACTTTACTTCGAAGTCGATTTTTCGTCTTCACAATACCTTGGTGTCCCTTATATGCAAGCTCTAGAACAGTGGTTCCCAAACTTTTTTGACCATCGCCCCCCAAAAGTAGTTTATACAACTTCATCGCCCCCCTGTACTACAAAAAAATATAAAGTCAGAAACGAATATATTACTGACCAAATAAGAAGACAAATCATGGTTTATAGTGTTTTTTAATGAGATAGATGAGCTTGGTGTTCTTCAGCGAGTTTTTTTATATATCTAAAATTACCCCGTTTACTGATGGAAAGGTGATTTCGTTGTTTTAATAGCAATAGTAGCACGGCTGAAAAACCCCTTTTTATCATATATAAGGTCGGAAATGAAAGAATCCAGGGTTCTACCTCCTCAAAAACCGCGGTGTACTCTTGCCTTATAGCAGTATAGCATTTCACTTCCTAAATTCACCCCATTTCACATTAAAATAATAAAACCAAAGTTAATTTTCCCAAACCTATAATAATGATTTTCGTACATCTCATTCATTCGTACAGCCTGATGACCTGCACCAAAAAACTTCGGAAAAATTCATCCCCGATTCCTCATCCTATCACGGCCTCCAGTCCGATCACCAGTCCATAATTAACCAGCCATTTGTTTTTGGATTCATAGACTCGGATGTGGAAAAAGCCGTGACTGACTATCGGCTACGGCCCAGGGGTCGGCAAATTTTATGTCGCTCGCAGGACAAAATTCAGGGTTGTTAGTATTTTGCGGGTCGCATATATTTTTCGAAAGTTAAAAACGGAACAGCGCGCTAAAACTGCGACAATTCGTGAATTCAACTCAGTCGTCGTATTAAAAAAATATTACAATGACATTTAATGTGACACTGTCTTGTTGCTGCATCACGCTGGATAGCTTTACGACGCCAAGATTGAAACATTTTATAAATGGGCATCACCAAACCCACTTTTTTGCTTGTTCTTTGTAATGTTCATTTTCGAAAATAATGGTTTGCACAAATACGCACTTCCAAACATCGAAGTGAATATTTCCGCATGATTTGTGAAATTTTGATAAATATTTTCTTTAAGAAGATACATTCTTACAAAAATTAAGCAGTGATCAATCTCTCGAATAGAATATGAATTTTATTTCCTTATTGCTTTGCAATATATTCGAATATTTACCGCGCTATTGAACCCCTGCACTCAGCATCAACTTATCTGCGTGTTTCCATTTGTCTAATTATAATTAAATTGTAGGCTCGTTTAATTCAGTATAAACGTGTCTCACGATAAATTCTGTTACGTAATAAAATGTAATTTACTCCTCGAGCGTAGATTATAAATAAAAAAAATTTCATCGTCAAAACCGCCGTTTGGATATTTCCCCGGGCATAGACTACCTTGTTTACTTCGTGGCATTGGCCAATCAGCAAGATGCAAAAAACGTAACAATGCCCCCTTTCGCATCCGCTCAGGCGCTCAGACACTCTCACTCAGACAGATTTTCAGGCGTGGTCGTGAACATTACCTCATTTTCGCGTTTTCGAATTATATTCGTTAGTTTTTAGTTGTTTTTCGGAAATTTGAATATAAATCAAATAAGTCAATGATTACTTTGTCTTCCTATGAGTTTCAGTTTAAATACAGCAATAAAAAATTAGTGTAGAAATAGCTGTGATAGACTAGGCTAAAATTCTTTATCGGTACTTTTAAAAAACAGATTGTTAAATGGTGTGTATTAGAATGATAGTTTGAAACAAATACCCCATTTTACAGGCAACAACTCACGAAACCACTCTTAAAAATAAGCACCGAAAATTTTAAAATGGTAAAGTATGGGAAGAATTTTCCGCGGTCAAAGGTCGGGGAAAGGTCCATTCAGTGAATCGTCCCGGGCCAGATTATTTTATTCCGGCCGTATTTTGCCGACCACTGGGATACGCAAACTACCTTGCCTTACTGCGAAGACGAGACCAGAAATCCTTTCGCGTGTGATAATCGCCCACGTGATTCAAGCCTGCGAATGCACACAGAGTACAGAATTAAGTGCGCCGAACATAAAACAGGTTTCGCAAAATCGCCCCCCTATCGCCCCTTTAGACTTTTTCGCCCCCCTCTGTATCGTTTTCGCCCACTGGGGGGCGATATCGCCCACTTTGGGAATCAATGCTCTAGAACACGTTCTCTGAATATCTGCGGAATTACAATTCTCGTACCACGTAAAATTAATTGACCATATACATATTTCGAGTTCAAATTTCCTGCCAAAAATATACAAGTAAAATCTCTCACGTACCCACACTATAGCTAAAGCTTCCTTTTCCGTCTGGCTATATCGTCTTTCTACGTCTGACATAGTCCTCGAAGCATACGAGATTACCCTCCAAATTCCGTCCTGCAGTTGAGTTATTGCGGCTCCTAGTCCTGTCGGTGAAGCATCGGCAATTATTCTGGTCCTGCAGTCAGATCTGTAATAAGCTAATGTATTTGCATTAGTTAATGACCGTTTCAATCTTTCGAAATTTTTTTTATTAATTTTGAGTCATTTTAGTCAAAAGGGTATTTAAAATGAGTTTGTATTAATTTCTTTAAGATTATCACATAGAATACAGATACACATCTCTGGAATATTAAAAACACTGAACAGTAGCACCAAACCATGTTTCGATGAAAACTTTGAGCTGTTTTATATCGTAAAACCCCCATTGAAAAAAAAAAAAATCAGGTGATTTTTGCAATGTACATGTCAAAAGCTAATAGGAAAGCTAGAGAAAATGATAAGAACAAAATTTTTTTTTTATCCATTTCGAAATTTTTAAACACGAACCTATATATGTCCTTGCTACATTTAAAATGGATGCAGAGATGATGCCTAACTCTGTTTTTAATTTAATAGACATCACTAAAAACAATTTCAACGCATTGTTTCCAACTTTCATCAACATGCTCTTAGACAAGCATTTTCCTGTCGAAAAAATACCACATAGAGAACTGGAATCAAAATCCATCATCTATATCCACCAAGCGAGAAATATTTGCGGGAATCTCATATCCACAGTAGCAACCACAGAAAATCGCTTTTTAAAAAATACAGCAACATCCTAACTCGACTGAAAGATAAATCTAGGATGCATTACTACAACACGCTTTTCACTCAAACCTGTGGCGATGTAAAATCAACATGGCAGACCATCAGAAGAATTGTAAACCCAAAATCCCAGAACCAGAATATTTCGAGTTCCCCCAGGGTTCGAACCTGGCCCATTGTTGTTTTTGATCTTTGTTAAAGGCTAACCAGTAGCCTCTTCCCTTTATACATACAGCATTTTTGAAATCTTCAAAGTCTTTGGTGGAACTGAAACAAACAGTTAATATTCAACTAAACAAGAGAGCGATGCACAATTATATGGACACGGTGGCCAAAAGAAAATAGTTCAGGTATGCGATCTGTCACAGTAGACCACCGGTGTCTGACCATCAGATAGTAGCGGAAGCGTACCCACCACAAGATGCACAATTTGTGATAACGTCATCACACACAAGAAAACCATCTCCATAGATTGTTTTTACGTTCAAGAGTATTTTTGGGGTGTTTGCAAAATTTTTTTTGCAAGTTCCAGCTTGTTTCAAGAGATATTAGAG